AACACAACATGATTTAATAATCACATTTTGTTTATGCACTTTTGACTCGTGATGATCAAGCCCTCTGGTGAATCAAATGTATTTTGCAGATAGATGCATGTCCCATTCCTACCAAAACTCAAAAGTCCATAAACTTTGTTCTGACAATAGCCCTAATCACATAAAACAAGTCCCATGTATTGCCCTGCCCTTTCTCGCTGGCTCGCTCTGCTGTTCACATAAACACACGAAGAGGGGGAATGTTTGCTACGTCATAAGCTCTGGAGACCAGCGCGCTCAATATATAAAAGGGGTTCTCAGAAGTTGAAAAAAGTAGCATCTTATAGCCCACCAAGTTCTGTGATGCATTTTAATAATGCATCTTCTTTTGGTCTTATCATTTTACCACCACTGAATAAATGATAATAACCAACAGCATTCCATGAACCCTCAGCCTCACCTTTGACACAAAAATTGTCTAAAAAACCTTATATAACTTTGTCATTCTCTAAACATATGCCTCGTTCAAGCATGACTCTGCATCCTGCCAGTCTTACACAATCTTTATTAACTGTTTGTGATGGGCGCCGGCCAACGCTGCTTTGTGGCTTTAATTACAACAGTTTAATCCAGGCTCAACTATCAAATCTCTAATCTGCCTTGTCAAGGTATCACCTTCAATATGGAGGATGAGACCAGCTGTACTCAGCACCAGTGGTGAAAAGTAACACAATACAAGTACAATTGTCAGGGCATGTTGATAGTTAACTTGTGTTTTACTTTTAGTCAATTTATTTGTATTAATAATATGAATAGAGTGTTTGTTTTGTTCATGTAATCTGTATTGAGTCTGCTTAATGCCAGACTAGGAGTTTTGTGTGGCATCACTTCGGACTATACCCAGTAAATTGTACATAGTTGTGCTCCTTGGCCCTTATTCAGTTCCGTAATCCCGTTTTAACCTCACATTTGATATACCCTGACTCTTTGCGATGCGTGTAAGTGCTGCATCATATCAGTAATCCTACAGTGGCCAAAGTCTGTCGAGCAGAAAACAAACTCTCTTATGCAGGGTCTGACTGCATGAAGCAGCAGAATGTATTATGTAATTTAGTCATCCACAGGCCAGACATTCTTTTCACCAGGAGAAAGCTTTCAAAGTCTGTGTTATTTGAATGCTGAGAACAGCACTACCCTAAAGGTGTTTGACATAACAGGTCAAGTGCAGCAAACACTGTCCAAAGAATGGACGGTCCAGTCAACATGTCTCCTCCTCTTCCTCAGTGAAACCACAGGGTACTCACAGACTCTATATTAATGTATGGATGCAATAAGAGCTTCCAGCGGCCGCCCAAGGAGAAAGATCTGGTTCCATAACATTTGTCTTTTACCTTCCTCCGAAAGGAGAGACCCCTATTTCAACTTTCCACCGTGGTGCGGCCAGTGTCAAGTCGCACTGGAGTGGATCCTGTGGCAAATGGAGCACAACTACCATCGCTGTCATAAATCTCCTTTTATGAAACACAGACCGAGGGGACACTGATCAAAACATTGGTAAATATTCACAAATATTCTACACTGTTCCCACCCAGGTCCATCATAAGACCAATACTGTATAGTAATGTACCATTCGCAGCTAATACAAACTTATTTTATCAAATATTTAATAAAAAACAAATGTGGAATATTCTCACAAAAGTTTGAGAGTTTATTTGTCTTGTTAAATGTACTTCAAACATAATTATCAGATGTCACTGGATAGAATTTTCTAATATTAGAAATTAAGACTGTTTAATTGAATATGTTATTAACAAGTCATGAATGTATATGAATCCTAAATACTGAGTATAGTATTAACTTAAATACATGGAATCATCCATCTTTTATTGAATAATCAATGGGTTGCATTTGTGTGACATCACAATATTGCAAAGTAATTTGCTAAAAACCAATTGTGGTGGAGGGTAGTTGAAATATTATTTTAGAGCTTTTCTTTGTAATTCCTGGACCAATCCACATGAAACAAAACTGTCAAAGTCCCACATCTTCTTTGTCAGGACATGTCAAATATTCAAAAACATTTGCATGATATTGGCCAGTAGGAAAAAAACAGAGTTGTGTTTATTTGAATTGGGACAGTCCACATTCAACATCAACATTACTATTATAGTATTGGCACCTGCTCTCCAACTGAACTATATTTATGAATGTAATTATAGTCACAGGTCTGCAACAAATAGGTACCTTCTCCAGGACACGCACTGGATCACTTCACTGCCTCCCTGTTGATAAAAAAAATAATGGACAAATGCAGCATGTGAATCCATTCACAAGATCAGTTTTCCTTTTTCAACCATGCCTTTTTAACCTTCTCACGAACATCTGCAGAGCACCATTATGTAAGGTCTGAAAAGGACTGTCCTAAAAAGAGTGTCTTATGGTGCTCATTCCACTCTAGCACACAGCAGCAGCGCAGCCTCCAGTCTCCAGTCTCCATTGAGTTTTTGCATCCTGGCATGAAGTCTTCTATTTGGGGCAGATGCACGAAGAGCACAGTGAACCTCCCAAAGTGTTTGTCATCTTCTGTCGCTAATGTTCACAGCAAGAAAAGCCGTGCTCAGAGCCATCAAAGTCCATTCATGCGCTGGTTCGTCACACCTCCTGGCTACAAAAGAGTGCTCCTACATTACATAGTGTTTGAGTGGTTCTGCCTTTTTAGAAGTAGCATATAAGCGAATGCACGCCACTTGAATAGATAAGTCTCCTCTCCTGAATGTTGAAAACCAGCTTACCACGGTTGGAAATAAAACTATTTGCATTAAAAGGGAACATTTGGAGCAGACGTTAAAGCTAATTTTGAAACTATAAAACATGTGCTATGTAATACAAAGCATGTAACTCTTTCCTGTAGCACCCAAAGTGTTTTTTTTGCATACATCTGTAGATCAGTTTGATTATAAAAAGAGAGAACCCTGAAACATGTATCCATCATGAGATCAATAAAGTTTTATCTCTTATATTGGACAGATGTGGTTTTATGAAACAAACAAAAGTTGTAGGTACTTCATTTGGTCAAATCAGGTTACAATTAAGCTGTACATTTTTGAGGGGAGGGGAAGACATTTCTAATAGTTTTCAACTGTATTGCACCAATTATTTATTAATGCAAGATAAATTAGATCAAATAAGATATTGAATGAGCCAAAGAGACAATGGATTTGGATTCAAAATATCAGGGCTATAACTTGGAATATAACTCCCACTGCCTCCTGTTATATTTTTTTCCCCTCACAAATCTGCATAAATATGAAAATCCTCAAAATAAAATGCATCAGTTTCTGTTTACAGTTGAACACTTGATGAACCAATAAGAAAAAAATGAAGCACAAAGAAGATATCCAAATAAAAACACTTAATTGAACATCAAAGCCTTTATTTTTTGTCTTTCTATAGTTCAAGTCTGTTGTTCCCACCCACTGAAAAGGTGGCGAATATAGAGTAAAGGAGTAAGAGGTAGAGCAAGTGTTCCATTTTCATTGTGATCAGCGTAAAAATTTACACACCAAGGGAACAGCCATCTGAATACGGCTGGCAAAAAAATATTAAAATCAGCAGCCTCTTGGTGGTGTTGCAAGCTTTCCCTTATAATTCACAATCATAAATACTCCAAACGCTCCAATTTCAGATAAAAGGTCCCAGTACAGTGTTGAATGGGGCTTGGTACTCGTGCACCACTCTGAATACTCCTAAAAGGGTCGATGTGCCAATAAGCTCTGCATAGTATATGTGGAGACAGCCATCTGCGCCCATGCAGCACAAAAACATGAGCAGGAGACTACTCTATGTGAAGCCGGGGCCAGTGGATCCAAAAGTGTGGCCCACAGAGCACACAGGGTCAAGCGGTATTAAAAAAATGGACCGATACATCCACTATACCGCTCTTACATTGCCAATGACCAACAGTTACATTAAAAAGGAGATAGTATTTACATCTTTAACACATAAATTATTTCCCTACCATACTGTATAAGGCATAATAAAGGTTTCTGAAAACAGTTATGCAATCTTAAATGTAAGGACTAGGCTGAGGGCCAAAGTTGAAGAGGGTAAAAAGGTTGAAAGAAGATTTAAGGGGAGGGGAGGGAAAAAAATGAATCAAAAAGCCAAAACAAAAAATCATTCTTTCACTGAACGGTTTACAAAAATGGCACAAAAAGCTGCAATACCTTCAGGTAGAAGCTGTGGACGCACTGGAGCAGACAAAAAAAAGCTCGAAAGCAGCACTACAGCTGGAAAAGTAATGAAGCAACTGCTGAGAAGCGTTCACTGCAAGAATGGCGGTGCTGTACATCACTTCAAGTTCAAATATGTAGGTCGCTTGGTATGCCTCTCTCAGCACAGCGAGACTGGGGAGTGGTCGGGGAGTCCACTGTCCAAAATGTGACCTTCCTTTGCCTCAGTTTGGCAAGCTACGTCACGGTCCTGGGACGACAAAAACCACTGCCCGCAAAAACGGATCAGTGTGTGGGTTCTGATAAACAAGGCCCTAATTTGGGCAATTCACACGAGTTGAAGATATACAGTATCAAAAATCTGTATAATGAAATAACATACAATGCATTATGCAAATATAACTTTCAATACACAACATCATACACAAAAACTAATACATTTGCAGATGAAATTCAAAAATTAATAAAATAAGTGTCACAGGAATACATGGCCGGTTCTGTCCATTTTGAAAGGGGGCAGTGTGGGACAAAAATAGAAAAGGAGCAGAACGAAACAAAAAAAAGTGGGATTCATTTAGTTGCAACTGCACACAGGAAGCTTGGAGTGGAGCAAATCTCTCCAGTTGAGTTTGGCCTTAAGTTCATATCACCACTCCAGTGCTGTCCATCAGTCTTTGGGTCACCCCTGGTTATGGTGGGTGCATCAGAGTTTGTCATTCCAGTGAGTTTAAAAAAGGTAGATCGTGGATGGGGGCGTGGTATCTGAGGGGGGCCAGACCCATCGGCCCATCAGTCATCCAGGATGGCCGTCACGAACCCGGCCACGTCTGTGTCTTTGGAGTCATGCAGGGTGAAAAAGGGATGATTCTGGAATGACAAATGCCTAATCACACACACAGTTTCAAGCACAATTGCAGACTGTAACAGATAAATATGGTTATTACACTTAACCAATTATTATGACTCTAAAAAAACATCCCTGTTTATAAGGAGACCAATCTTTGGCAGAGCACTATAATGCACACATTTTAAAAGAGAAGGACTTGTTCTTTTGGAGGAGACAGCCAGTGACCAGCAGCATGCGTCTATTCATTTCCCTTTTACCATGTCAGGCTTAAATATGCACAATAGAACAAAAGAAAAATAAAATCCCGATCAATCAATGAAGCGTCGTTTTCCTCAGATCGCCAGCTTTAATACATCACGTTACCTGAGGGCAGTGCATGGTCAAGTAAACGTTGAAGTCAGAAAGCAAGAGTGGTCGTCTTCATGAAGTTTCACTTCTGTGACTACTGGACAACTGTACATTTGCTTAGATGAGTCATATCACCATAAATGAAGCATTTTTGGTGCATTTGAATTTAAAATGTAAATATGTAAATAAACAAACACAACTACATACTCGTAGGACTCTGTCTTTAGTGGATTCATCAGACCATTGTTGGATTTACAAAGCATATCGACAGGTTTGATTGAAGGTATAGAGCATATCAAATCAAGATTTAGCAGTTTACTAACTCATAAACCTCATGTTTAATTTATCAGTTTTTAATAACTAATATTGTGGTGATTTTAGGTCAGACACATAATAGTGTGAAAGCATTTGTCATGCCCCATATTTACTCGACTAATCAATCATCAGAGAATGTCCAGAGTCGACCAGGACTACAGCTCTAACATACTGGAGAGTATATTACCAACAGAGAATGGTGGTTAAACATTAGTCTCGGCCATTCAGTGTTGAAAGCCAGGGAAATGTTTGGAACTCTCATTGAGCACTCCATGTATAAAGAAATACAAAAATAAAAAATAATTCTTTGCTTGCTGGACCAGAGCAGGGCCATTTTTTTTTATTCATTTAAAACCATCCTTACACAGCAAGGAATATCCATTTCTACAACACCATCTGCTGTGTTTGTGTATAATAGTCACGATTTCAGCAGCTAAAATTACAAACTTATGTTATCTAAATAAATAAATCAGAAAAATGTTTTTCAAACTTTTTTACCTATTCTAGTTTTCATGAACTGGCCAAATCAGCGGGCGTAGTTTACCCTCGATGTCAAGCAACTTACCATCAACTCTGTGTAAGCAGGTCTTTCATTTGGCTTTTTTCTTAGGCTGCAAAACAAACAAATAAAATATTAATTGTGACTTACAATAAAGCAACACATTTCAGTAGTTTGAAAGGTTATTGCATTATCTAGCAGATATGGCTGTAGATTCTATAGACTACAACTGCCCCCTGCTGGGCACCGGGCAAATGCCATAGTAACAAGGCACCAAGCAGGCATTTGCAGCTTACCACTGGGAGATGAAGTCTACAAACTCAGGGGAAAACTGGTCGGCAGGCAGCTGTGGAGAAGGCTCATCCACCACTTGCTTGAGCTGTTGGAACGGTGTGCCCCAGGGGTCATATGGAAATTTCAGAATTGCAAGTTCAATCTGGTAAAAGAGAAAGACTGAGTTGTAGAATATGATACAATTATTTTAACTTTGAATGAATTCTGTAAAACCATCTTACCATTGTGATGCCCAGACTCCAAATGTCTGATTTGACACTGTAGCCCTTCTGGTTCAGATCAGGGTTGATCCGTTCCGGCTGAAAAAAGCAGATGTGCAATAAAAAAACTAAAACCAGTGGAAGGTGAAGATAATAATCCCCCTTCTCAGTGGGGCTGTGCCTCGAGCAGAGATCGACAGGAGCTTCTCCCGTTTATTACATTAACCATAGGTCTAACAGTTTTAAAAGCTGCTCCCAAAAATGTAGCTTCAAATGGAATTAGTATAAATGTTTAAATATGATTTACATTGTAGTTTAAGCCAATAGTACAATTTGTCGCAAAAATGTGAAGTGACAAAATATAGGTTTTTAAGTAGATAATTTAAGCCACCATTTGATAAAATAATTGACTGAAGACTGATACGAATTGGCAATGCCTAATCTGACGACTGAAGAGAGGTTTCCTTCATAGTACTTACCGCCATATATGGCTTGCATCCTGCGTCCATAGTTTTAGCCACAGAGTCCACCAGATGGCCACTGATGCCAAAGTCACACATTTTCACTTGGCCCAAAGTGTTAATGAGAACATTTGAAGGCTTCACATCTGGACACAGACAATGGGAATAAAAGGCCGTGTGAGCCATGTGTAAAAATACAGAGGTTTTCAGCTCTTTCTTCAGTTACCTCTGTGTATAACGGACAAATTACTGTGCAGATGCTCCAACGCCTTGACGATCTGGAACAAAACGTACTGCTGTGATGTCTGAAATACACTTGACACCAGCCATCAATACACACAAAGTGCTATCGAGAGAAGGAGTGGAAATGAGAAGAACAGAAAGAACAGTGGTAGAATAGTATAAGCAGCACACAAACTGAAGCAGGGTTTGGATCCATGTTAATTTAGAAATAGTCCAGCATTCATAGCATTATGACTTACGGCTACATTGATCTTGCCCAGGATGTCCTCTGGGATAGTTCTGCTCTTCTCCAAAACCACCTTATAAAACTTATCCAAAGAGGTGTCCATGAGCTCCATACAGATCCAAACATCTCCCTGTTAATGATACATGTCATATACTTGTATATTTCACACACTGAAGCATGAATGAAAGCTTCTGTCACCTCTCTAAAGAGTGCCCCATAGAAGGTAACAGTGTAGAAGCAGTCTACAGTCCTCATGGAGATGTCCAGGTCCATCAAAAGCCTCTTCTGCTCCAAAGTGTTGACGGTAGCCCGAATCCTCTGTGAACACACAAACTACTGCATAACTGGGTGCAACGTGTGTTTTTCAAATCTTTTTCTTACTTTAAATCATAAGATAATGAATGTTTTGGACTGTACCTTGACAGCCATGATCACGCCACTGGGCACATGTCTCATCTTGTCTACCACTCCGTAGGCCCCCCTCCCCAGCTCCGTGATTTGCTCCAAGTCATCAGCCTTCACCACAAAGTTCTGGACGGAAACAAACAGGCGTTTGAAAAAATGACTATTGGGATCTGTAGAAATAGAGCGAGTCATTTGACGAGAACAGTAAAATGAGCTTTACCCTGTCTCCAATTGTGACACAGGCCTTGGAGTCGAGATCTCGAGGGGGTCTGAAAAGAAGAGAATGTAAAACTAACCACAACAAAAAACAGACCATATTACATTTACTTTGTCTTTCATTAGTGTATCTTAAGTGGAACAATACACAAAGTGCCAAACTATGCAACTGAACGAGTTTTGTATTTGTTTAACAAACGCTTGGGTCATGTTCGAATCTGTCTTCAAAAGAATGCATCCATCAGTCATAACTCATTAGAGGAGTTCTTACGCTGTGGCTGCTGGTGATGGCGGCTTAAACACGTCTTTAGTCAATTTGAGCCCGGGATTCTTCCTCTTCCCTGTAACAAAACAGACAAAATTGTGTACATACTTTTAAAAACAAAAGAGTATATTCACAGAATTTGCATTTCATGTTAATGTTTTTATTGAAAATATGGATCAACAAAACATATATAATGGATAATGAAAGAAACCAGGATGAACAAGTTCTCATCTAGTGGTAGGAGTGGGAAATTCCATTATATTTGTTGTCATAAATTTACCAACAAGGCTTTACCTTTACAGGCAGATGCATAGACAATTATTAGGCAATATTTTTTCAAATTTTGTTTTAAAGCAGAAAACTGCCAGTTTGGAACATTGTTATAATGCCAACACAAAGTATTTGCATAATAATATGGTGTACTTCTGTAAGGAACTATTACAGAACAAGTTTATAGTTGGCATTTACTAGTTCCTCAGTACAAACTCTCCCAAGAGCAGCTATAATCTGCAAAGAGGCCTCAATATACGTTATAATCCGGACACTTTGAGAATAATGACTAATACTAACACTGCACTACTTTAAGCCCTATGTGAATCAGTGACAGCCTCTCATTCATAACCGTTTAGTAGCAGCCACTGGGACTTCCCACACACAGCTTCTGCTACTGGACTCACAGAATCACACGGGAAAGCATTTCTGCACAGTATAGCAACTGGAGCAGCACACATGCTAAACTTGGATTTCTAACACCCGTTCCTATAGAACAAGAAAGTGCGATTAATAAACACTACATTTTACACTTAAATTAATGTCAAATTATGTAGATGAAAGAAACTTTATAATCTCAAAGACTGATGTTTGCCAATTGTGAGTCAATCCTACTGTAGAGGAAGTGTGATTGGGTAAACACCTCATGAGGCAAAGGAAGTAGAGTTTTACTGAAACCACTTGATTCTTATAGCAGACAGACATGTCCAGTTTATGGTATGAAATGAGACCACAGACTGGACCGTGGTGCGGTCATGTGATCAGCACTGATTGAGGTGTGATTTACACACACACACACATGCAAAGGCAAAAATAGACCTAGCTTTTCCTCTGTGTGGGTTTTAAAAGAGAGCAGTTGAGAGCTTCCGATGACCTGACAAATAAGACGGCCTTTTGTTCAGGCAACAATTCCAGTGTATCGCATGAAAGACTGCAGCACAAAACAGCTCACATACCAAACTGCCTTTGAGCTGCAGAAGATAGAAACAAAAAAGCTCTGGCCTGCAAGGTAAATGGTTGCAAAGTGCACAGTATCAAACTACACCACTGCTTGGACAAAGGTAGAGGGGTGACTGTGACCCAGTGTCCAGGACATCTACAGAAAATACTAATAGATGGAACTTGAAATATGACGGCACTTCTGTTGGCATGCAGGCCTTGGCTGCTTCTCTTAGTAGAGACCAATTTGATTTCTGCCTCATGCTTTCCACAACATTCTGAAATGGAGCCTGAAAGAACAAAACAACACTATGCATGATCTGACACTCTTAATTAATGCATTTTTGCAGCCTTGACATCTAACTGTAAAAACATAACACTGTAGCCATTTAAGTTCCTATATACATTCACCTGTGTGAGTGACATGTTATTACACTCTTAAGCATTTCATTTGTAAGAAAAAAAAATAGATTGTGCACAACAGGATTTATGTAATTTCCACTAGTTTTACATGGTAATTTGAAGACTACTATACAACATTGTGCACTAAAAATGAATCCGAAAAATAGGATGCAAGACGGACTGATTTCATGTAATTTGTGCATTAATTCAAATTAGAGCGATCCAGAAGGAAAGTATATTTGAGCATGAAATATGAAACATGGTAATACAAACAAGAATTTCTGGATTGTGCATGGGATCAAAGTGTCAATAGCAATGTGGCGTGTCACCATCAGGAAGCTCCAGCCTTGAGCAGGTTCTTACATAGATGGGGATGACTCATGAGCATATAATCTTATGCACCACCCAGAACAGAAGTACGAAAGAACTCAATATCCAACATGTCCATGCAATATTACAGTCATGTCAGCTATGAACTTCTGCATAAAACCCCCCCTCCCTCCCTCGATGACCAGAGGAACAGATAGCTAACAAGATACTCGTAATAATAAGTGAACAGAAATAGTGTTACAGCTCCACAGTCTGAGCTTGCAGCCAGTCAACTGTCAACAAAAGCAAGAAGCGGCTGCACCAGCAATTGGTAGTGCAAGTCAAAACATGCCATGGTAGGCCAAAGGCGCAGCCAATCTACTGCGGCCTCTCAAAACAGTGTGTACTCCCGTCCATGGAAACGCTAGTATGATTGTGTAACAGCACAAGCGGTGAACTTGAAATGTAAATTGACATCATCACGCTCAGAGTGCGTGACGCAGAAGAACCTTGATTTTTCCTAAGTGTGTTATTTTATTTGATACATTTGAGATCTGGCTGTAATAGCACATCTGCCGACCACTCAGTGATGTTTTAAAGGTTGTGTTCACGTTTGACTTGCCTTAACGTCATGCACCAAACCTTAAATTTGTTTGTGCTAACCTTTGCAACACAAACGATGAGTCATGATGTCAGGAGACATTACACCTGTTTTCAACCACTTCATGAACTAAAAAGAATAACTCAACTAAAAACAAGTGCGCCTTCAACACTTCAAATCAACATTGTTTTGATGCACTGCGTCCAATTGTCACAATGATTTTATCAGTGGATAAGTTCTTGCAGCTTGGCATTAGTCCTGTATTGTCCAAAAGCGCAGCTAGCCACTCACAGGAACTTTAACCAACACGTTGCTGTTGTGAATAGCATGCTACCAATTCAACATGTGTGCTCAAATATTTCGTTTACGAGACCAAAGAGCCAATATGTCAATAGAATCAGGAATAGTGAGGATCCGCAGCAACATGAAGCAGGAAAGACATGCTGGCTAGCTTCTTTTCCTGCTCATACATGCAGCTTTCCACCTGGCAAGGCTACCATTTCTTCTACAGAGCTAGCTAAACTACTTCCTCGAAAACTGCACCCCGTTATTTCATGGATGTGCATGTCTAATTTCACAAACATATGCGTTGGATGACTTACCTCCTTTGGACAGAGACATTTCCCCTTTGCTTTGATGAGGGGGAAGGGAAGCACAAAGACGTTTGCCTTTTTCTACTCCCTCCCTCCCTGCATCTACCCTTAGCTACACTCGCTCAGGATCGCAGGCTTGTCGTGCAAAACTAGCTGCGATTCACGGAGAGATTTGCGCGCTTCTTTGCAGTCCACTCCGCAGACACGGCCTTTAAAAACCGTTCAAGTAACAAATGCACAACTTTAAATCAAGTCAACGCGAGTTTAAAGCAAGAAATAGTTTGATAACAAATCCTGCACTTTTAGGGTGGCCAAAGTCTGACAGCTGAAGGCTCCAGCGATGTCGTGACGTACTTCCTGAGTGGACGCGAGCATGCTGGGATATGAAGTCCTCGAATATTTAATTACACTTAATCATGGGTTGCATTCTATTCTTTAAAAATACCTCCCTACTTATCCTTCTCATTTTGTATTGACATTTGTGGCATAATATTTTGCCCCAGGGGCATTACAAAAATATTTAGAAAATGTGTTCAATTTCACTTGGGCAGACCTTGAGCTAAAAGTATTATGGAGAAGGAAAAGGGTATTTTTGGGCTAATATTTATTCAAATGTAGCCATTATGCAACCTCACACATACAACAAACAAATCCACAAAAGAGTTACTCATGATCCAAGTACACTTTTTTCTTTTTATTATTCCTTAAATCTAACATTAGATAGAGAAAATCCTACATTGACACAAAAAAGCCAATAGAAAAAAAAAAAAAACTAAAATAACTAAACGTATATCACAAGGACATGAAACTTTTACTACAGTTCTCCATGTATGAAAACAAAAAGTAAAACAAAGTTAGTTGCATTTGGGTCAGGCTGTTATAAGTCAGAGCACCAGTCACTAATGTAACATTGCATAAAGATAGAAGGAATAGTATCAGTACTGAATGGAAATTTTACCCAAAAAACAAACATGGTTTTACATCCCCACCATGAGTTGTACGATGATAAAAATAATTTGGATCCACAACAACACACATATCTTCAGAGATGGAAGGCAACAAAATGCATTGATTGACATGAAGAATGCAGTGATGAATAATTATGTGATATGAGTGGACTACATGCATGTTTTTGAACAGTAGGACGAATCAGAATACATGGTCAGGTGGCCTATACAGCAGAGACTTATTTTCTTGAAACCAGCAGAGTGTGATAGACAGGTTTTATGACAACATGCAGGTACAACGAACTATCAATGAGATACTCTGAGGCGCGGCGTTGGAGGTCTGCATCCACCAAGAAATCCCCTGACTCCTCTGTGCTTTGGTGAAAGTTATAGACATGACGTACAACCACTTTCCCCTGCTGTTTAGCCATGACAATAACGGTCTTCTGGAATCCCACTCCGGCAAAATCTGGGCTGGACGTAGCGGGTGTCACAATGACCCTAGGGCGACCGCCGTCCGTACGCGTTGGCTGCATTGCCCCGAGTTCTGTATAGGTGGATCTTGCGCTGAGTGGCAGCCAGCGGGGTGAAAAAAGAGCATTCCAGGTCACTCTTTTGTTGGAGTCGTGACCACTGGGGCCCAGCTGGGTCTGAAAACTGAAGCTGCGATCGTCACGGGTTGGGTTGTTGATGACCCAGCTGGAGCCCCAGGTGGGAGACAGGTAGTTGCGTGGTGTGAATATACTACAATTTACATCAAAGTACTTGGCGAGTTGGATTGGCGAGGCAGAATGGAACTGGAACGCCAGATAGAGGAGATCACGGATTGCCTCGTAGTACTTTACAAGCAGGGGAGATTGTTTCTGCAGGTGGAAAAGCTGCTGTGGAGGGATCATGCCATACCTGATAGCTCTCAGTGCACTTTCTATAATGGCGCCGATGGGCTGATTATGGTTTATCCAGGCCTCTACGGCTTCATACAACTCAAGCTCACTTTGCAGAATGAGGTCGGAGCGTTGGAGCAGAGAAAGAAGCAAGTCTTCGCTTATAGAGCCCCATTCGGCACTCTGCAGCACCGAGGACAGGTTCCAGGACAGGTACTGCAAGCAGCTGTCCCTCAGGGCGGCATCTCCAATTTGCAGAGCATAGTTGTACCAGCTGACCACATGGCCCGAAGGGGAATCACTGGAGAGATGTTGGGTCATGTATTGGGTCATTCCCTGCTGCAAGGCTCCCACATGGTACTTACTGGCCAATTTGTGCAGCGGAATGGCCTGGTCGAGTCGCACACCAATGTCTCCGCAGTAGAAATATCTGCGAACCACAAGTTATTTTTAATGGGAGGAAAAATCAATGAAACAATCTAAAAACAGACAGCAGAGATGGAGGTATTTCCGTGAGTCACAAAAAACCCACATCGCACAGTTTTTAGAGGTTCCGGTCAAAGTGTTGTGCAGGTATAGTGGTAATGTTCTACTTATAATATCTGGACATAGATTGGCTGCTCTAAATAATCAAGATTCGTTTCTTCTGTCACTTTTACTAATGAATTTGCAACATTAGACGGAAAATGAAGTCTCTTTAAATAAATAAAAAAATATTAAAGCTGTGTTGTTCTTGGTTTTATTATCTTCCCGGTCCACCCAGAGGCTACTCCATCTCTGCTGCTGTGACCGGTCCTGCTCCACCCAGAGGCTACTCCATCTCTGCTGCTGTGACCTGTCCTGCTCCACCCAGAGGCTACTCCACCTCGGCTGCTGTGACCTGTCCTGCTCCACCCAGAGGCTACTCCATCTCTGCTGCTGTGACCTGTCCTGCTCCACCCAGAGGCTACTCCATCTCTGTGCTCATGCTTCTGTGACCTGAAGGGCTGTTGCTGATTAACCCTCTATGGCATACTGTTGCCCTCGGGCAACAAACCAATCTTTTGGCTCTTACACTGGCCCTTTAATGTTTTTTTTTTATTTTTTTATTTATAAAATTACTAGACATGTTTCTGTCCAATTAAATCAAGTTCTGAAGTGGGTGGGGGCAATTGTCTGGGGGTGGAGCAGTCCTTTCAGGAAGCAGAGTCAGAAAAAGGTAGGATAAATATAACTTTTCTACATGTTTAAATTTGAAAAACTTGATAAAATAAATATGTGACTGTGCATGAATATGTTAAGAAGCATATTTGATTGTTAATATATGTTTTTTGTTTCCATTTATATACAAAAACTGCACGTTTAGGTTTGTTGCCTCAAGGCAACATCATGCAGTTGTAGCACTTTTGTTTGGGCAGTGTAATGCTGCTGGTTGGGGATGTGCTTGAATGGATAATCAACACCACACTCAATGTTTTTTGCTGTTCTATCTTCCATTCTGATCTATCTACTATTGCTTGTAGGAAATGGATGCAATAACGTTTTACGGGTCCAAGAATGAAGGAGTTAGGGACATTCCAATCGATAGTCCTGGTCTCAGGTCTCTGTCCTGAAGTCCTCTCACATTAGTCCTGGTCTCAAGTCTCTGTCCTGAAGTCCTCTCACATTAGTCCTGGTCTCAGGTCTCTGTCCTGAAGTCCTCTCACATTAGTCCTGGTCTCAGGTCTCTGTCCTGAAGTCCTCTCACATTAGTCCTGGTCTCAGGTCTCTGTCCTGAAGTCCTCTCACATTAGTCCTGGTCTCAGGTCTCTGTCCTGAAGTCCTCTCACATTAGTCCTGGTCTCAGGTCTCTGTCCTGAAGTCCTCCCACATTAGTCCTGGTCTCAGGTCTCTGTCCTGAAGTCCTCTCACATTAGTCCTGGTCTCAGGTCTCTGTCCTGAAGTCCTCTCACATTAGTCCTGGTCTCAGGTCTCTGTCCTGAAGTCCTCTCACATTAGTCCTGGTCTCAGGTCTCTGTCCTGAAGTCCTCTCACATTAGTCCTGGTCTCAGGTCTCTGTCCTGAAGTCCTCTCACATTAGTCCTGGTCTCAGGTCTCTGTCCTAAAGTCCTCTCACATTAGTCCTGGTCTCAGGTCTCTGTCTTGACAGAGACCTGAGACCAGGCCATAGATGTTTCACATCTATGGCTGTGAAACATAGATGTTTCACAGCCACTAGCAACTGCTTCTTGCTGTTCCATACACAATAGGCTACCGAGACCCGCAGCTGTGTGACTTACTAGAGGCTCAGAACTGTTTTTGCTTTTGTTTTTGCAATCTGGAGTGCTCTGTACCCGTTTAAAAAAGTTGAGCTTGAAAAATAAAAGAATAAAAGCTTCTCTAATGTATTTGTTTTATTATTTTCCTAATTCAATGTAATATTGAAAACCTTGGTGTTTTAGTACCCTCGTCGCACAATGTTGCCCTTAAGCAACAAACCATTATCTGATTGGGGGGGTGGGGGGGGGGGTCAAATGTAAAGATCAATATGTTATTAGGGACCCACGAGCTCTTAAAAAGTGTGTTGAAATATTTTTTTCCCCCTAAAATAAAAAGTCATGCCATAGAGGGTTAATACTATTGTTAGGTTTTTAGAATGATCAACTGTTTTTCTGTTGTTACTGCTACTGGACACTTGAATTTCTCCTACGGGAATCAATAAAGTATCTATCTAAAATGTATTGTAAAATCAAACGTTTGTATCTTGTTTGTTTTGTTCTGCTGTATGATAAATATAAGTTTGAAATAAACACTTAATATTGTACTGAGAAGTCTTCTGGCATCAGATAAATGTATCTTTTTGGAAGGATTCACAGCTCTGTCACTGGTCTGTAGCACTCCTTTGTTTTCTCATTTTTGCCTGTTTGCACACCATGAGTGATTCTATGTATTCCAAATGTGATGTGTACATTTTTCCACTGTCTATATCTTATCTTATATTAAAACATAATGTGGAATTTGTGGACAATAAAGGATCGTCTGGGCCCCATTTTTATTTGAGACATATTCTAACTACACGAGGGATTGCAATTTGAATATTTCTTGGCAAAAGATTCCTAAAGAGTAAAGCAATCAGTGCAGCTATGAGGTACAGTATCAGAACTCTCACCTGAGGAACTTATCAAAAACTGCAGCACAGTCAGCTGCCTCCCTCAGAACCAAAGTGGTGGAGTTCCGTGAGAGCAGCAGTTCCTCAAAGACGTCGCTCTGCAGACTGAGCACCAGAGAGTGGGACTGCAGCACCTTCACCTCGTCCGTGTTGATGGTCTGCACCCTCAGAGTCACGTCGCTGCTGTTTCCGGACAGGAACAAGTTCTCCAGACGCTGCACCAAGCTCATGGAGTGGTTCAGGACGGTGGCCCCGCTGTCCAAGGCGCCCTCCGGCTTCAAAACAGCTGCAGGCAAAATAAAACACATTTACTCCTTACGTTGTTTTCCAAAGTGACTGTGTAAAAATATAAATGTTTAAATTTTAGGCACCAAAGTAGCAGAATAGCTTCATGAGATCCTGAATGTAGAACACTTTCTTTACAGCGACCTATGTTTCTCAATATTTTTCATTCAGATTATTTTCTTACTTTCTGCTATTGATTTTGTAGTCTTCTGTCTATTACAACGGGCTTCACTGTTTGTCTGAAAAAAACACAAACCTTAACAGATGTGTGAAAATATAGAAAGAAATTGCAAAATGACAGTTTTTTTTTATTTAAATGTCTTTTGCATTGTGTATTCTGTCCTTTTTGGGGTGGTCAATAATCAATGCTAACATTTGTATTGCAACTTACAAATACATAACAACATGATTTTGTTCCATATTTGTCTTCTTTCTGGACAAATTGAACCCTTTTTGATTATGACCACATTGATTCACTTTGATACCAGTAGCTCCTGGTGTCCATTACTGTAAATGTTGACATATTGGCATCACTGTAGTAATGAATCTGGTATTGATTATCAAGTCTATTCATATTGAAATGTTTGTATTGTGACAACATTTCATATCATAAAGTGTTCACATCGATCCTCACAAATTTCTCAAACACAATGACTTTTGCATCACTCCCAAGCCTGGATAATTGTAGATCCTGCTGGAGTCAGGCTTCAAATCTGTGTGTAATGGAGGAGCAAATCATCCTTATACACTCTAAAACTCTTGAGCTGCAGTTCAGTTAAGCAAAAAATTAAAAATAGACTAAACTTTTGAGCGGTGGTGGCTGACTCAGAGAAGCATGTGTTCTAGAAGAAAAGCCTGAGTTAGCAGCAGCACCACAGCGTGCAGCACATACGGAGAATTACACATGAAAGCCCTTAGAAAGTCTGCTCCTCCACCACCGCTGTCAGCTCCTCTGTGGCCTGGGATTAATGAGGGGCTTCATAACGGCACCACAACTCAGAGGCCACGCATAATCTTCCTTCAATTAACCCACATGACTGTAGGGGCCAAGAGAGATTGACATTCATAACTTTAAATGTAGATCTAAAAAAGAAACAAAAGAAATGCATCCAAGAGACACATTTGTCTGCGAGGTTTAGTGTTTGTCACGATACTGAATCTCAAAACCGACTTCTTTTAACCGGTATAATTACTGTTTGTCTTTGTTTAGTCATTCACTGTTTTATTTTTATTAATACTGTTTATTGGCCATACATACATTTTTTTTATAGTTTGAACATGTATAAAGAAATGCTTAAGAAATGTGAAATGATATGTTTTTGTATAATTACTTTTTGTATTGATGCTGAAATGAGTAGATACCACTAATAGTACTAGACACTCTTAGGTAATGAAGTAAAACAATGTCATAAAAAGCATTGGGTATCTACCTTATAATGCGGAGCACAATTGATGTCATTCAAGTTTTTAATGCAAAATTTGTCTCCGCTTCATGATCAAAGCACAGGTGATAAATGATATGTGATATGTTATATGATCTCTCTCTAGAGTTGCTTAATTTAATGTATGTTCAGTTTGGTACTAATAAGTATGAAGTTTGTAATCATTCATGTTTGTGCTGTATTGTAAAATCAAAGCGAATCAGAGCGATGGATGAGGAGAGTGGAACAGTTACATTACCAGAACAGTGCCCTTAGATAGCCCAGCATCAGGCAATTCAAACACAACAATTGATTTCATGTAAAAGTGATCTTACCTGCTTTGATGTGAGAGAACGACAGAAGTCCCATTATAACCAGGGCAGAACTCCTGGGGTCACTTAATCGGAACATTTCTTCAACTCCTCCTCTCTGGATATTGTTGTGTTGTCTTTGAGAGTTGTCAGCACAATGGTGTGTTGCCCCGTGTGCGCTCTGCTCCGATGTCCCGCACTCTTTATGTAGGACGCTGGCCTTTCCACGGTGCATCTCACAACCCCGCAGACGCCATTGATTGGTGGAATCTGGCAGGGGCGTTGCTATGGCGACAGCTTTGATTTTTGATTTCTTCCCCCCCTTTTTGGGTGCGACATGGCATTGAACATAACCAGGTCTGCTTTAAGGAATGAAGGATTAGAGACCAGTAGCACACAATGAGCAGTAGATAGGATAAAACGAAGTAAAGTACACGTTTAGTTGGATTTTTCTCTTTAGTTAAATCACTGCTGTTAAGATTATAATTACTCACTTAATTTCCTTCAAATTCTTAATAAGGGTTTTCATTCAAAGTAATTAGACGCCTAAAAAACACCACCGAACCACAGTCAATCACATATAAGAAACCATTCAGTGGCGTTTTTCGCTTAAAAGCCAATTACAGCTCAAAAGCCATGTTAATTTCACTAATGAACAGCTAATTCTGTTGCCGCTGGGTTTTTCCAACAGAAAATGTTTATGCATTCAAGTCAGTGTTTTACCAAAGAGAATATGTAAATTTGTTTATTAAAAATACATAATTGGAAGCATTATTTTGGAGCCGGGGCAAATAGAAGTGGTCCATATAAAGCAGCCTCAGGGTTTGGACAGTTTTTAAAGGCAGCCATTAAAATTTACCCTTTATTTACCACTCCCAGGGCATCGATCAGCAGCATATGGGTCACTCAATACAGAATCACTGTTATAGCTGGATGTAGTTTTGATTTTGAGCATGCAACAAGGCCATTAGTCCATTACAGATATTGATATGAGGGCCATGATCCAGAATAAAACTATCTCTAGGTTTTAGATCACGCACAAAGCCCGAACTGCTGCTCAGAATAACTTGACCGGATCTCAGAGAGCTGATCATGCAGGGACACTGGAGCAAAACGGGAAGGAATTGTACACAGAAAAACAAAAAATATAAAGTTTAGATCTATACTGATCTTTTTTTTTTTTTATGATTATTCTTCCAATTAATCCATTAGTTTTTGTCAAGTAAAGCCACCAGAGGAAACTATAGACTTTTTCTCAGACCAGAATAGACCATGTTCTATTTAAAAACAAGACATTTACCAAAAGTGGTAAAATAATAGTAAAATAATAGTTTATTTGAAAACCCTTTAACTATTAATTATTTTGTAAAATAGGTCATTATTGGAAAAATGTATTGGCGGCCATGTCATGCCATATATAAAAAAAAGTATCTACAACCACACACTAAAGAGCCATTGGAAGGTCGGTGTCCTTCCCTAAGGTCACTTTGCCTTTTCCTTTGAAATACAGTATTACTTGTTCATCAGGTCTAACATGAAAAGTGCTAGATTAACTCGGCTCACAGCGGGAGATCCATTGAGAAATCGATGACCCACAGGGGGCAGCATCACATACCAACGCAGACATAAGCTGCAGATGCACTTCACAGAGGTGAATTCAATGACCCAGTGCCTGTTTGTACAGTCTGCCCCACGCAACATGGACAAGTCGATAGTCAGAACACGCATTCATATGTGCTTTCATTAAGCTTTAACATGGCATAACAGACAGAGAGTCACTCACACATAAAACACACCATCACTGAGACTATACAAACTGTACAAATGTATCACCCTTTCTACATGAGGAACTCTTCATGCATTTGTTCTCTGAATATTTTTTTCTCCACATACATAGATTCTATCTATCTGAAAAAAAAGAAAAAACCACAGATACAACAAAAACACCTAAAATTCCCGAACTACTAATGTAGTAGTTCTTGTTTTTGTATTTTCAAATATAACAGAAGTTGATGTATTAATTATTTCAGAGTAACTAATCAACACATTTTTTGGTATAATTTTTCCTCAAAAATCCACTTATTTCACTGGCAGTGAAATAAGTGGATTTTTGAGGAAAAATTATTACAGATTGTGGAAGTTGCGAGATGATATCCATATAATCATAGAACAATTATTGATACACACTATACATATTTTAAGATAAATTATATTGGACAACACAATGCGTTACTCAAACAAGACTCTTAACAGATTTATTGTATTCTATAATTATTTCGAATTTAAATGCTTTTTTGTCACTGATGGAGAACTGCCATAGCTCGATCAGTTTCTTAATGACAACTCGAATCCACTAGGGGGCTCCCAAACACTCCAAAAGTATTTGCTCTCATGTGTTGAACGAAACTCATAAAATAAAAAAGTGTTGCTTGTCTTTAACACTTCTTAGGTAAATCAGGTCAACAATTAATCAGGCAAGTGCTCAATGATGGAATTAATCAAGTCACACATCACGTGACTGTGTTTAATCATCAAGCACGCACAGCGCTTAACACATTTAACGAGTTTGAAGTTCACAACATCATATGATATTGTGCATGGATTACCTCAGTGTGGTGCGAGAGGTGAGTGGCCCCTTTGTTTGGGGTAAGCTGCCAGTGCTGCAATAATCTCACTGATATGCAAAGCTAGACCACCGCAGAGGACAGTCTATGGGACAGACCAGTGGAAAGTAGGAGAGTGCGCCTTCACTGGGAGCGCACGGCACTGGAGGAGACACAACTATCTGATAACAAGCTTCAGTGGCTCTACAGCGAGGATGGAATAAACAACTTCGCACTCTTTGGATATAATGGACAAGTAAACTGAAGCTGCGAACCACTGAAAAGGTTCATTAGTTGAGTAGCACTTGCATATCATAACTATTGGAACCCAGAATTATCAGGTAAGACATTTATATATTTGTCTTCACTGCATGCCAGGTTTCCCAACTCCCTAACCATAGATATTATCGATTAAATGCACTCTCTTGTACTATTATTATTTGTATTTAATGTTTCCCATGCTATCATTGCTCCGTCTCCTGACCTAAATAACAGTTATGACGAAAAGCCTTTACATATCAAGCTGTGGAAACTATATGTCTGATATAAATCATTAAAAGAGTGTTTTGCCTAAAACTCATGAATAAGCTGTATCTGCTGATACAAAAAATAATGAGTATTGGAGAAAATTAATGAATTTTACCAATGTGAACACTGTGTTTTCAGCTTGTATCCAGCCTCAGGAGTGACACCATGAGTTCTGCAGGTTCCCCTAAAGGATGTGGCCCCGACGTCAGCTCTGTCTTCTACAACCTCTGTGATCTGACCACAGTTTGGGGGATTGTGGTGGAGACTGTTGCGGCCAGTGGCATGGTGACCTCTTTCCTTCTGTTCATCGCACTCATGGGCTGCCTTACTTTTGTAAGCGACAAGAAGCGCAAGGGCATGGTGGCTCTGCAAGCTGGCATTCTGATCTTCACTCTGGGACTCTTTGGTCTCACGTTTGCCTTTATTGTGGGCAAGTACACCACCACCTGCTCAGCTCGAAGGTTCCTTTTCGGAGTCTTGTTCTCGGGATGCTTTGCCTGCCTGGTGATGCACGGGCTGTGGCTTGCATTGCTAGAGAGATACATCAAAGGGCCCAGGAGTTGGACCTTGTGCCTGGGTGCTCTGGGACTCTGGCTGGTGGAGGTCATCATCAATACAGAGTGGCTCGTTCTGACTGTAGCTCCACGTCCCAGAGATGACCTGCCAGACCTGTCCTGCATGATAACCAACACGGATTTTGTCATGTCTCTTATTTACGTCATGGTTTTGCTTGTAGCTGTGGTGGCAATGGCTGCACCTGCCGTCAGACACAAGCACAAGCAATGGCGTGCAGATGGAGTCTTTATTCTTCTAACCGGCCTTTTCACATTGGTAATATGGACAGCTTGGATCATTATGTACTTATATGGCAACGGAGCTCTTGGAGATTCTTCATGGGACGACCCGACCTTGGCAGTAGCAGTGGTGTACAATGCCTGGGTGTTTCTCTTCTGCTACAGCATCCCAGAGATCTTCCTCCTGACCAGAGAGGACCCAGACCGGGAGCAGCCCCCCGATGGAGAGCTTGTCTACCCTGCCCGTAGTTTGGTGTATGACAACACTAAAGAGGTGGATGAAGCTGCACAAAACGTGTATCTGGAAAACAAGGCCTACTCCATGGATGAATCTCCAGGTATAATATGTCACAGCTTTTAATATGACCAGATTTGACATTGTGTTGTCAAACTTTGCTCCTTTGCTGTGTAAATGCAGACATTAAAAAATCTTACTCTTTCTACAGAATCATCAAAGTCCCCATATGCAGCTTTTAATGGTCATTTAAGAAAAAATGTGTATCAACCCACTGAAATAGCCCTTATTGCTAATGGTCTAACTATGGTAAGTGGAATAATGTATGGAAATGTCTTCACTGTTTGTTTTTGAATGGATTATGTAAATGTGTTTTATTTTCTTTAGATGGATCAAGAAATAAGGATCCCAAGAGCCAACACTCCTAGTTTAAATCCAGGAAACAGCTCAGTGGTTCTTCCATGTCAGCCTTAACCACAGCAAGGCCTTACTCATTTGTTTATGTTTTATAGACAGCCTTCCACTGTAAACAGATTCCACAGAAACTAAACCGGAACTAACTCGAAAGGACATAACGTATGTGCATAGACTTTTTTCTCTATGTAATAAATCATAAGCAACTGTCATTTGCTTGTTGCTACAATTTCAAGTGGAAGACTGAGGGTTTTGTGGATTCAACATATTAATTTAAAATCTAAGTTTTCTTCAGACCATGACTACGGAGTGCCTAACTTTGAAGCCACAAAAAAAACATAATATTCATGTATCTACTTGCTCTAAAAACAGTTCTATCAATGTTTTCACAGTCATGACTTTTTTGGCCTCTGTCACAGCTTGGCATCAGCTTTTCTGTATGTATAAGATTAGATGTTTTCTAATAAGTTGACAGCATTTGTGGTCTGATTTTTTCACAAAAAGTTACTTAGACAAATGTGTAAGTGATGTCCAGCAGTTGCGTTAGAAGAATGGCCCTGGAGTCACCCCAGCAGCTCCATCATTACAGGCCACAGGCAAAGGTTCATCAATAGACAGTAAATGATATGTTGTAGTTTATGAACAGTGCGGATGTATCTGTGTGCGTGTGTTTCATGGTGAAGCTGTCTTGTGCACATGCTCAATTGACCCTTGAGTTACTTCAGGGAGCCCCCAGTCACCAGCAGATGGTCCCTTATGGTCCGTCTCCAGGACAACAGGAGTGGACAAACACACAGGAGCCAATTGTTTGATGCGTCAACTCTAAACACCTGCTACTGGTTCAGGGAAAACATTGACTTAGTTACTTTATGAAATAAAACTGACTTTATCTTACAACAAATTAAAAACTATTCATAACATTGTTTACCTTCTGTTGAAAACGGTCAACCTACTAGTGTATTTTGTAAAATGAAAAAACTGTATTAATTGTGGTTTTGTTTATTGGAAAAATGCCACTTCCCCCAGAAACAAATGTACTGTCATTGTAAAGGCTGGGTCATGTAAAACACTGCCCTGTGCTGGACAATAAATATGTGAATATATTCTAAAACTTGTATGTATCATTTACGGACTACTGACTGTTACTTACCCACAGTCCAACAGTTTGTCTGAAACAGCGTTTGCATCGTGTTGCAAATCATTTACAGTCAGTTCATGGTGTTTATCTATTAAGTCACTGTTCTTAAAGAGTTCTTTTTTCCTGCGGTTGTTGCTTCAGTTTCTTCATGTGCCGATAAGCCTCCACCACTCGCTGTCGCTCCTCCTCCATGATTCGTTGTCTGGCCATCGATGGCTTGACTGTAGAGACGACTCTCTGACCAAGCAGGGAATTTAAAAGAAGATCCTTTGGACGGTTCTGACAATTCCAAAGAGAAGAAAGGTACTCCTGGTTACTACTACTAATGTGGGAATATACACATTTTATACACAGTTGGATGTATTTCCTGGTGACATGGCCGTGTACCTCAAACAGAGACCCTTCTGAGCCACGAGCTCACACAATGCTACTTGGTTGGCAGGAAACAGCAAAAAGAATTCTGATCAGTGCACTGATCACAGAGGATACGGACCACAGTGACTTTGTTTTTATTTATGAAGAATAAAAATATAATGTTTTAGACTTCGTCATCGCAAAAAAGGAGCAAGGGCATGGCCAGAAATCATATTTTTGATTGACAGCATAACAGTTCTTATGCCCCGTTTATAAGGAGTCGTTGCAGCATTGTTGGAAAAATAATTAACAAAAACGACCAGGCTTCTGCGCAATGTTTGAGTGAAAACAAAGTTCAAGCGCCCGGCCAGTAGTGGGCAGTGGAACTTTTCAGATTCAGATTCAGATTCATTTATTTGCCATTTGCAGTAAAACCACATTGGAAAAACTGTGCAAGACTACCCCGGTGTGCACCAGGACACACACCAGAGCTCTTGCCACGGCGCCATCTTTACGGCGCCATGTGTTTTCAACACAACACACGCGACCCCCAGCAGTATATTCACTTCCTCAACAACAACAAGAATTCTCCTGTGTTGCACTCAAAGCACACTTAGCTAGTTAGTGTACCCGCCGCCATTGTCGTTTTCGTTTGTTCTCGGCTACTGCGCATGTCCAAATGTACGTGCCGGGAAGTGGAGGTCATAGCAGGCAGAGAATTAGCCCCCGCTGAGCAGCGTATCTGTTCCACTCTGTAGGCTGTTTCTCAACGCTTACGTTTTCATCCCCCTGAAACACTGCCCCCATGTAAACGGGAGGCCAAACCGATACCCAACTTTAATGTTTTACTATTGAAGCGCCTCTGTCTAATCGGGACCTTACCTTGGATTTGTCCTGAGCTTTTCTGGGCTTGGCAGTGAACGAGGGTGGAGCCATAGAAACTTCACCAAATGGAACATCCTCTGTGAAGAAAACAAGATTGTTACCTCGATAAACTTTAAAAGCAACGTCTCCTGTGTGTGTATTTGACAGATGTTTTATAACAAAGGGCTCTGGGAGTTTAATACAATGAGTTGAAGCACATGAAATGGCTTTTTCATTTACAAATACATGTTTGTTTCTTCCCCCTCACCTATGAACCTTTCTTTTTCCATCCTTGTCTCTTGTTTATCAAACTTCTTCTGCTGCACCTTCAATGCTCGGTCTTTAGCATATCTGTAAGGAAAACATCTTTGAGACACAACAGTATATTCAGTCCATAAAGCACAAGACTTATGTAATATCCATTTTCATGAGCTCTTATACTTGTGATAACCATGTACACTCGTCATTATGTTGGTGAAAGTCCTACATGTTCGAGTCATCCTTTATTGTCCTGCATTTGAGTCTTTCATACTCAGAAAATACTGCTTTATGTTCCATTAAAATGTTTAACAGGGGACTTTCAGAAGGCCTGCGAAAATGATCACACTAATAGATGTATTTAATTGGAAACACTTATATTATACACTTATAATATATATTTACACACACACCATGCTCTGCTCACTGATCCAAACAAGCAGAACACCTTAGGGCCAGGCTACAATTCAGATTCAACTCAATTCAGAACATTATTGATCTCACAATGTAGAAATGTATAGGACACAAAACGGTAAATAGTCTAATCTACTTTTGACAAATCAAAAATCCGTAGACACACTTGAGACGACTGCTGACATAAGTTATACAAATACATTGAAACAAAAATACTCACTGCTTCTTTTTCTCAGACTTGCCCTTGTCTGCTGGCTTTTCTTGTTGCTCTGGCTCCAGTTCGGGATTCCGATCTATTTGGTTTTTGGTCAGAAAGAGAACATGTCTGGCAGCTTCTTCCATTCGCCCAAGATAAGCCCTCACACTCTCCTCTTTTTTCCTCTTGAAGTGTGGCACAGGGATATCCCCATTACTCTTCTGTGTGTCTTTGACCAGTGAGGCTGATACAAGTAATACGAATAGAATAATCAGATGCATTTTAAAATATAATAAAACTACATTTACTTTCTCGCAGTATACCTTGTTTTAGCTTTTTCTTTTTACGAGACCCTTTCTTCATCTGTTCTTTACTCCTCATAATCTCTCGAAGTCTGAAGGGGATTTCTTGCATGTGGTCCTCTTTGGCTTTCGATGCACCTTGTTTCATATTTTTCCTGTAATATGAGAGATTTAGACATTGCAAATGTAGAGTATACTATATTTCTATACATTGACATCACCCGCGAGTACATGTTTACAATCCATAGCTCAAATATCTGCTCCAATGACAACAAACAGCGGCTAACAGCTAACAAGCTAGCCAATATCGCAGCATCCAAACACTCTTTTCTTACTTACTTTAGGGGCTTCAATGCTTTCTCAGTATCTTTAGAAGAAGCCAGGCCTTTTTGGATTTTATTCTTCCCCATATTTCACCCCACGTTGTTGTAAAGGCACAGTTTTACACATAAAAATTAACCACGTGGGTAAGCCAAACAGAGAACTTAGGGAAACCACTTCCGGTCTTCATAACATCGCGATACTTCAGTATAAAATTAAAAGTAGATCTGCATTTAACTTGTATTTTGGTAGTAATTGTCTATGCTTTGAACTGATGGACTGTATGTATAAGAAATTTAATAAATATACACATTAATAAATACATATTAGATCTCTCAAGTCGTGCATACGATTTGTTGCATTTCCCTTTCTGAACACTTGGGGTCAGTGTAGACACATAAACTCTCGGATTGTTTTTTATTTAGATTCCTCTAAATGGCCTCTTCGGGAACGCTACATTTTGCATTTAATTTATATGCACTCGTTTTCAAAGCATATTTAGTAGTACACTTATTATGGTTACATTTTTTACAATTTATTTTAAAAAGCCAATGAGATCATGAGAATATTAAACGTTACAATTTCATAACTACAGTTTCAATGAAAGAGAGCTGAAAGAAGAAACTTATTACATAAACAAAGACTAAATATAACAGAAATCACAGTGATGCAACATGAGTTTTGAGGTTGATTCAGTAAGCCAATTTAGCCAAACAGAATGTCCAAGCAAAAAAAACGTTTCAAAATGTTTCCTTCTGGGTCTTGCTGCCTCTACTTTCCACTGAAAAAAACATGTATCACCCAACTTTATACCATAAGATCTCTTTGGTTTAGTCTAAAATCAAAGGGATCAGTAAACCACTAATCTGTATACAACAAATATCTACTATATTTAACTACATTGCTACAATTGGTAAATATGTTATCAATGCTCCTACAACTTGTTAGAACATCCTCATATCCACACAGGCTTATCATCACATGTTGTCATTCTCTTAATTCTTGTGTAGATTATGAAGTGAATGCAGAGCCAGGTCTGGGTCTTGTGTGATGCACACAAGAGGGATTACTCTGAGGCACTTAATTCACTTCAATCTGAGATACTGCTGATGACAGGAGAAATGTGTCTTCTGCGTCTTCCCTGCGGTGAAAGCTTGATGTCCAGGACAGGTGATATGAAAAGAGTGACTGATGGACACTGGGCTATTTCACTCTCATCATATATTGCCAAAGGAGATGATGCATTTATTATACATCTTAGTATAAAATATAACATTGTGCATGTGTGTGTAGAGATGTGCACGTTTGTAGTCGGACAGGACATCCTCGCTCAGCGTCATAATCCAAGCACATGCAGAGTATAAAAGAGCTTTACAGACATACCACGTCATGAGACCTTTGCAAGTGACTGATACAACAACACAACAGGTAAGGAACTATTTCGTTTGATATTTTAACAAATAGATTCAAAATCTATGTTGAATGTACTTTTATCTATCTTGCTTGTACAAGTATTTACTCAATTGTATTCAATAATATAATATTCTGTGGCTGTTTGTGAGACTTTTGAAATCTTTGACACATAAATATTTGAAGTGAAATGTTGACTGCTTCATATTTCTTCCTTCTATAACAAAGCCAACAACATGAGTATGCCAAAAGCTGAAACCAAAACAGGAACTAAAGCTCCAATCAAGGCCACAGGTCCTGGGTCTCCCCGAAAATCCGCTCCAAAGTTCAAGCAGAGAAATACCCGTCAGTTCAAGAGCAAGCCCCCCAAAAGAGGCGTCATTGGGTAAGTGTAAAGTGATGCTGTTTTTATCTTGTTGTAATGCACATTAACAAAAGCAGGTTATTCTTTTAAGTTTTGGTGAGGAAATCCCTGGAATGGAAGGTCTCGGAACTGGTAAGTGCCAAATGCATATACAAACTTTATTTATATAGTGCATTTTACAGACTTAGTCCCACAAAGACCTTTAAATGGAATGTTAAAACTTCTCAATAATCCTCCTGTTTCCTCAGACATCACTGTGATCTGTCCATGGGAGGCCTACAGTCACCTGGAGCTGCATGAGCTCGCACAGTACGGCATCATCTGAATCTCTCTGATCTTCACTTCAATTCTTTTACGAAACCAATTTGTGTCTTAACGCTGACATTCAGTTATCAAAACTACATGCATTTTTACAATTGCAGAGGTGGCAACAGTATGAGAAGGACTAAAATACATTATATGATAATAAATGTATAGATGCTACAATTGAAACCCTTCCCCTACTTTTAGTAAAAGTACAAGCTTTCATATGTACTTTAATGTAAGGAAAAGGGATTTTTTGTTGAATATTTGATCAAATATTTATTTATTTTTAAATCATTTATACAACATGGTACTGAGAATATCACAATAAACAAAACACGTGCTTAAGCTGGTTGGTTATGTGAATTTAGAAGCATGGTAATCACTTTGTGTTTATTGTTGTGTTGTCATCTGCAAAGTCATTCGAAAATATTAGATGAGAAAGTACAGATATTAGGATTCAAAAGTAAGTGTTAAAGTTCTGATACCAGGAAGACAAAATACTTCATAACAGGACTTAATTAAGTCAATTTACTTGCCACCTCTTTTCAATTGTGTAGGTATAACATAAAAATACCAAATACCATTTTCTGCAATGTAGTGTGTAAATGCTCAAACAAAACTGTATCAGTTATCACCATCTGCGTATGTATTCTATACTGCCATAAAGAATAGATTTGAGTGGTGTCAATAAATAATGTCTTTATTAAACTATAGCTTATTCATGGAAACATGTTTGTTCTTCCAATTACATTACACATCATTGTGACATTACCAAATGGACTTGACAAACTCTTGGTGTTGTTGTCTACATTCAATCGCTGCTAAAACACAAACCAATCCTTTTCACAATCTTGGCCTGTAATAGTTCTTGATGTGTTTCTGGTACGAGTATATACTGTCCATCAGTCGTGCAATGATAAACACACCCAGTATCTGGACTGCGAACACCAACCCCTCTGGAATCACGATGGCGAGTCGGTGTTCCTCAGCCCAGCGGGAAAGGCTTCCCAGACATCCGCCCAGGAAGACCACGCTCTGGGCCGTGAACTCATCCATGGCCAAGGCCCCAACGCCACACTGAGAGTTCCACACCGTGCCGTTCTCCAGGGGGTCCACGCAGCAGGTCGGAGGCACGCCACAGGCCAGCACGCCGGGAGCGGAGCAGTTGTAATATCTGTCAGGAGAAACGGAGACCAGTCTATTTTTTTGCAAGATCCCTGAAAGACATTAATGACGCTTTGGGCCAATCTTGCCCTGCATGTAGAGTTGATCACACACACAGAATGTTTACAAATGTAATGTGTTTTTAATGAAAAATCAATCATAAACATTTTAATTTGAGATCATCATATATATTTATTCTGTACTGGCTAATCAATGTGCACTGTCCCTTAAAATATAGTTTGTTTGAAAACAAATTAAACATGTATTTTTGGTGTCATAAAAAATGTAACATTTTTGTAGTCGAGTTTGAAATTAGGAATACAATTTTAATGGACTGGAGAATTTGTAGCAGGCAATAATGAAGAATGAAGACTGTAAATACTGTAACCCATAAAACCCATAATGCAGCACCCACTAGATATCTGAGCAGCCTGAACTCTGTCACTCACCCGTGTGCTTGTGTTTGGTGTTTACTCACATGTTGAGCTGCCAGTCGCGGTAAGTGTCCACTCCGCAGCACTGCAGATTGCTCTGTATCTCATCCATTATGAACTTGACGTCCAGATCATCTTGGTAACGTACTATCCCCGCCAACATTGAGGACCGCATGGACGCACTAATCTCATTCTTGAAAAATTCCACAAAAATGACCAGCAGAGCCTCAATACTGATGAGGACCACCAGAATCAAAGCAAAGGTCTTCATCAGGCAGAGGTTTTCCCTGAGGACTGCCACACATCCGAAGACACACAGGGCAAACAGGAAGAGGCCTGCAGATACTAAGACCAGCATTGGGTCTGCCGCTATGGCTCCTATATTCTCTTGTGCGAATGACTCTTTGGTGACCAGGCCCCACATGCCCAAACCAAGAACAGTCAGGCCAAGGATGGTAAAAATAATGTTACAAATTAAGTAAAAATATTTCAAAAAGTAATAAAAGGGAGAGAAACAATATCTTTTAAATTCTTTTTGGGCTTTAGCTGTCCGTACATTATCAGTTTGGAGTGTCTCGTACTGTGTATCATCCTCTATGTCCTTGTTGGAATGTACCTTAAAACAAATAAAATAACACATTAACAGCGATACAAAACCACACCGAGAACTTTGTATGAACTGAGGCTTACCTTGGACAGCAGTGGACTGGTCTCATCATCAGTGGCCTCAGTCTTCTGCCATGGAAAAGTGATTCTTTTTCTGAAGTTCCACATGGCTCCTGCCCAAGTGAGATGTGTGTCCCTTCAGAGCTGCAATAAGTACGCCGGCCGGGATCAGTAAAGTAAATAGAGATAACATTTACTAATCAGGCCGCAGAGAGCATGTGAGCAGTGTGCAGTGATGGAGCAGAGAGGCCTGTGGGATTTCAGCATCATGTGAGAGTCACAGTGCAGGGATTACACTACTCCCCACTGGGGGCAGGTCAAAGTGTGTTTTACATATCTCATTATAAAGTGAAAATGTGATGTAAAAGAACATCAATTCATATTTTATTTTGTGTATTTGATTGAAAAAAAAAATCTAATTTCTAAATTCTAAAGTTATATTTAGGACATGGTAAAAATTGTGCCTCATTATAAAAACATTTGTTATAAATAATTGAAATAATCAATAATTAATAGAAGAAGACAGAAGAAATGTTATGTACGGTACTTGATCTTTGTTGCACCGGGCGACAGTAAAGTGCTTTGGCTGACCTTGGTCCTTAAAAATGCACTATATAAATAAAGTACTTACTTACAAAAAGTTCATGGATGTACCTCCTCAAAGATTAAATTAAATAACTTTTCCTATTTCCATACTCCATACTTGTACATATATGTAGTGTGACATTTACAGTCTAAGTGTGACCAGCTCTGATCCAGATATGATTTGATGGAATGTATTAGGTCATTTGAAAAACAAAGTCTTGATGGATCCTCAGGTTTGAGGAGTGGAAACACTAATTCCACATTCTACTATGTGGGAAGTGAATACACTTCATCAGACATTCACTATTGATGAGATTGAATTACTACAGAACTGACACGATCATTGATCATTGATCCATTGATTGATGGGGCACGTGACAATCAAAAGGATGCTGTATGTATCCTTTATCTAAACTCTCTTGTTATCTCCTAGAAGAACACTATGGTCTGTCTACAGAAAATGCCTCAAGAGTTGAAAGTTCACCAAACTATTTTACTTGGACAGAATGAAGACGTCCCGAACAAGCAGCAGAGGGCCAAGACCAACATGACACACACATTTTGGTACATTTTAGGCTGTACTTTTATTCTTAGTGGAATGTTTGTTTGAGGATCCGCTCATTTCCGCAATTTAAATAAGACATTTGAATCATAAAAGGAACTTCATGCTCTTTAAACATTTTCTAAACTATCGCAGGACACTTTTTTGCAGGGCCTTCGATTAGGCAACCACAGGGCTGAGAATGGGGCCAATTAGAATCTAGAAGAGCGAGTAGAACACGATATTAAGATAAACATGTATAGCTGAGAGATGCTATTTACTGGAGGACAGCAACCTACGTCAGGAAGTGCACATTGCCAAGAGGAACTGCCCTGACGTTTTAAAGCCTGCACACTACTGCCCCCGTGTGGCCTCATACTGCCACACTCGTTTGGATGAGCATGTGTTCAGGTGCAGTAGTCCTGTTGTTATTTGTGTACGTCCAGAGAGACAGAAAAGTAATCATGAAGCTTGTTTTTTTAATAACAAATCGGTTTTATATAGCACTTTTTTGGACACTCAAAGACGCTTCACATGTCATTATTCATTCACTCCATACACGGTGGTGATAAACTACTACTGTAGCCACAGCTGCCCTGGGGCACACTGACAGAAGCAAGGCAACCAGGATGCACCATCGGCCCCTCCAACCACCACCAACCATTCATACACACACCAGACTCATTCAAGGCAATGGGGGTGAAGTGTCTTGCCTAAGGACACAACGGCAGTTTGGCACTTTACAGCCGCAGCCGCCCCACTGTGGCTGGTGTTCCCAGAGGTTAAGTGTCTTGCCAAGGACACAACAACAGTAGTCAGTGGGAGTCGATGGTGAAAGTCTTGAGCGGGGCTTGAACCCACAATCTTCTGGCTCAAAGGCCAACGCTCTACCAACTGAGCTACAGCCGCCTCAACAGGAAGCAAATAAAACCTAAAACACATTCGATTAAGGCCGTTATTTGGAGACTCCAGGTTGATTAAGAAATGACGCAATGGGGACGTATAAGTTGAATGGAGAACAGAAAGAATTGCTGTTTACGACTATCGAGTAGAGTAGCTGTCATAGTGGATGAGTCTTAAATGTGACGGCACATTGAATATTACAGTTCAGTAAGTCGCCCCTGACAAGCAATTGTTATAATGCACACAGGAGAACAGGAAGGCCAAATTTAATGAGAGACTGCATAAGAACTTATCTCACTTTGGCCTCCAGAAGTCAGTCTTTCCTGGCGTTAACTGCACAGAAGCCAGCTCAAATTCCTGTCCCATTAACGCGGTCATTCAAAAAGCAAACACAATTCACCCTGCCTACATGTGAGACAGGCTTATCTTTCTGTAATTTGTCAATTTGTCAGCACTTATGACTTATTCCTTGAACTTATCTGGTATCCATCTTCTTTATCGCAGACAGTGGAAGCAAAGCCTTTCCCTGTCTATGTGATAAAACCTGCTGCAGATGTATGGGAGATTTGCCCACTCGGACTCACCACTGACAGCTCATATATCTTTAATATCCACCTGAAAAATCAGAATAGTCCACCTCAGCTCAGCTCTGAAATGACATCAACTGTTTCACTAAATGTTGGAAGAAAATACACTCTATCACACATCTGGGCACTGTGACAAATATTGTGAAATGTTATGAAGTTGCGACAAAAACAAGAAACAGCTAGTACACAACAAAGTTACATTAAATAAACGTACACATTTTCTCTATTTAAAACAACTCCTCCTTGCCAAGTGAGTTGTTAGTCGAAATGGTGCAAAACCTGTAGGATTTGATCAGCTTTGACTGGTTTAGAGCCACAAGTCCTGGTGTGTGTTGTTCCAGATGCTGAGCACATTGTATTACAGATGGCAGTAAGAATGTTGCCCTGGAGACAACATCAAACACCTCCACTGGACCAGGACCCATAGACGCTGCACTTGCCACACACCATTGACATCTGATTAAATAAATGTAAGTCTCTTCACATACTAGACTGATTATGGACACCCTATTTGGACTGTGTAATTGGTGTTGATCGAGAAAGGCAAAACAATGTGCAAATGTGGTAATCTTTTTATTATAAAGGAGGCGGCTTTTTTGAAATGGGAGGTGCAATTCAAATGTGCTATAAAAGAGTTTAAGTCCAATGTTTCCATGTGGGATTGTCAACGGAAAAGTGAGGGAGACTGGCTTTGGGAGAGACATTACAGCTCAAGGTAAGAGTAAGATTATTCCCTTTGAGCCCCTATATATATATATATATATATATATATATATATATATATATACATATATATATATATATATATATATATATATATATATATATATATATATATATATATATATATATATATATATATATATATATATATATATATATATATATATATATATATATATATATATATATATGAAACTTTGGTAAAAGCTAGAGTTTTTGCTTTACTTAAAACAACAAAAAAACATGTTGTTTATCTCAGCAGAAACTAAACTGTTTTGAACAAATCATGCCGACAATAACATCATATTGTTACCATCTTATTAGAAATCCTGTAATCTTTTGCATATTGTTAAGAAAGAGCCCCAGGAGTCACTGTTTGATGCTTTGGGCTCAGATCTGGTAGACTGAGTGAGGGTGCAAAAATTGATGAAAAATAAGTCAAAAAAGGTTATATTTTGGCCTTGTGTATTTTAATTTGGGCACATTCTGACTGCCTTAAAACAACATTTGCCAATGGGACAAGCAAAATGATTTTAAAAAGAAATGTCTCCCTTGGAATTAGAAAATAAGGCAAAAATTCTTGCGATAAGACTAAACAGCCCAGTCCCATTGTTTTAAGACAGTACAGTGTACTCAAAATAAGATAAAAACCTCTTCATTCATCTTCACCTCTTCATTTAATTCTTGAAAGATCAAGGCTATGCTCACACTCAGAGAGCAGCCGTCCTCCTGTGGACTCACCACCTGCAGAGGGTCAGTGAGGGGCTGGTGCTGTGAGACTTGGGTCGCATCTCTGACTGCCACCCCCCTGACCCAGAAATGGATTAAAGGGAAGAAAATGGATGGATGGACCTCTTCATTCAAGCATTTATTACCTGCTATTTTATATATTTTTTGCAGTGCACTCCTCTCTTTTTTAATTTTCTGTATTAATGATTTTGTTCTAAATATCTGAGGCCAAAAATGCAATAATGTGAAAACTTGTTATTATGGAATTTATTGCATAGTTCCATTGATTGTTCTGTAAACCCACAATTTTTCTTCATCTTGTATAATTGACATCACATCCTCTAATGAAAACAACTGATCTTATGTTTTTATATCAAAGGATGATGAAGCTCCTTGTTCTGACTGGGTTCATCACACTATGTGCTTCCCAGAGATGGACACAGGAGACAAAAGGTGAGCTGGTTTCCACAAAGAATTGTCTCTATAATCAAGTAATCTAAACCTTTATCATGTCAGATTCTGGGAAGACCTGCTCAAATTTGACTCAAGTTTTGGACAATTGGAAGTTTGCAATTTTAACGCAGATCAAGGACATGCTGATTAATGACCACGTCTCTGTTCTTCCTGAATACAGCCGGTGAGTGCATTCATAATCCATCCATTCTAATCAATCATCAATTTGTGCTTGGATCTCTAGATGATCTTGAACATATTATGGACGTCTGCCTGTTCATTTCTAGAATCGAGCCTCTGTCCAAAGCCCTGGGCGATCTATACACTCAGTTCAACAAGCTGAAGGAGGAGCTGAAAGGACTCACGGCTCATGTGGACAAAGTGGAGAGTGTTGTGGATGAACTGAAACAGCGTGGACTCCATCCTGGACGTTTCTCTCAGAGTAGCTCTTCAATCAGAGCCAGGCCCGGGTCTGCAGCGCTGCTGAGGAGAGCACGAAGAAGAGGCACCTATGAAGACTAGTGTGCCAGAACATATATGCATGTCTTATGAAAAATACACATATTCTCAATGCAGTTAAAGCGGGTAATTGCTGTGTTTATCTTATTGGATCTTTTTTCTTGCCAACTTGTAAAGAGCCCTACGAGTCACTATTTGATGCTTTGGGCTGACAGTCACAGTTTTATGGTTTTAAAGTCAGGTATCCAAGCTTTAATTGAGTGAGGTCTAAGCAGTGAAACGTTAACTACATTATATGCATGATGATCAAACACAAAGTGGCAGCAGTTGTAGTCTCTGTATATATGTGTTTTCATTATTGTAAGTGGAAGTTTGACCTGTTACAACATAAGAAACAAATAAGATACAGCAACTTAAGTGATGGAACTTATTATGAATGGTTTTGTAAAAGATGATTATGAAAAATAAACAGTTTTTAACTTGTCTTTAACCTGTAAGAAATAGATAAATATGAATACATGTAAGCCCTCGCATATAATAAACTCTAAATAATTAATTACTGTCATTATTATTATTTTGATTTACATTATTAATATAGGCATTTATACAACATTTTATTGAATTTTGAGTGTGTAAATGTTAAAAACGTACTCATCGATAGAGAAACGCTGCTTTCTAAATCAAAGAAATGCTGCTCTCTAGTGGGCAAATATGTATCTGGTTTAACATATTATTTAATACAGACATCCAATTACGTCTATTTTGAATGGATAATTTTACCTAAAGATTACACCAATTTATAATATTACAACATTTAGCATCACGTGACCACAACACTGTAAAACGTCTCCAATCCTTCACGTGTCGTTTACGATTATAAAATTACCTTTACCTGAATTTGACTTTGCTTTTTGGACAACTTCACGAAACCGTCGTCCATATTTAGCAAAGTGAAAGATTTATTCCACGTAATTTTCAGTAGTAAACAACAACTGTTTAATTTTGTATCTCCTCTGTTCGATAAAAATAGAGAAAAACTCAGCAGAAATAATTTACCACACTTACGTAAAGTCATCAGTCATATGCGGAAGTGCCAACGACTGCAATTTCAAAAAAAAATCAAAACCGCGCGAAACTGTTGGAGGACAATTATTTTGAAAGATCTCACTTGAGAAAAAGCTCGTAGTGGATAAAATATTGACATTGGTGCAGTTTTGTCGCTAAGTCCTTGAGGCAAGCCCAACCTGTAATGCTAATGCGCATCTCTGTGAAACATTTCTTCACTAAATGAGACTCACGAAGGAGTCAATGGCAAAGGCGATGGAACCCCCTGTTTTCCTCTTTATCCTCGTCAGCTACAGACTTTGAAGGTGGGATGCAAAACGCAGCGTGTCCAATCCCAAAATCGCGCACAAAACTGGAATTTTATTTTTGACCTTTTTTCCCCCGTTTAGGCTCCGGCAGCTGAGGAAGAGGAGGATGCTCTATGCTGCCCATGTGATTGTCATGTCTTCAGCCTTTTTCAACCCCAGCTTTGCCTTCAGCTCCCACTTTGACACAGGTAATATTCCAAGATCATTCATGAAGAAAGCCATTTTATACTTATTATTATATCAGCAGCAGCAGCTTGGATCCAATTATAAGTCACGCATGTACCACTGATTAAAATACATATTCTTTGCGTTTGTATGCATCTGTGCACTTCTGCATGTGATCCAGCATCTGAACCCTATACATGAATGTGCAAGACATGTCCAAGTAAAGGGGTGACCTTCTGACAGCAGTACATGGTTGTGTTTTGTGGTGATAAGGCTGGCTGATCCAAATCTTATGGGTGTCTCTTGGAAGGCATAGGGTATTCCAGGTGCCACTGCTGCATTGCAACAGGACCCCCAGTGCAAGAAGCGGGGTGGTTTGCATTGACAGACACAGTGAGGAAAACAGAATAAATCCTGGTGTGTGTGTAAACAGGAATGAAGAGAGTCCCCCGCACAGGCTGCAGTGTGCCTGGCATACCAATGACACTGAGCCCAGCATTCCTCTCCAGTTACAGCTTCATCTATTCCTCGCACACTTTAGGTCTCAGGGATTTTTGATATGCTGCTGCCAAGGCTCATCACTGTCATTCTCGGAGTGTCAGCGGTTGACAGTTCAGGCTTAAAAAAATGCCATTTAACAACATCATAAAACATTCAACCAATCAAAACATGGACTGCTTCGCTGCACATGGGCCCTGGTGTGTCCTAGCTCAGACTATGAGGAGACATGGTGTGAGATGTTCATTATTCTATAGATATATTTCATCGTTGTGTTATAATAACTATGGAGCACATAATTCAAACACAAATTGCCATTATCTGAATGTTGACTGCATAGAAATAAGCAAACATATTTTGTATAATACAGTATAGTGCTATATTTTCAACATTATTTGTAGGACCAACTGCTGTAACAGAATCCATTATGTGCCTCTGTGGACATTCTTCCTTTTCCTGTGTGCTGTAATACGATACAACTGGCCTTGTATCATTTAATTTAAAACAAATCCATATTTGAATGCTGCCCTATTATACCTCTACTTCTATTTTTGCAACACATGTGTAACAAAAACATTGCTGAGTGTGTTGAGTGGGAACATGCGTGTTACGGGAGGACATTTTGACGATTGATTGCAGCTTATGTCATGGCGATGTACTTTGCAGCCTTGTGCAAGATGTCACTAATACTCTTGATACATTCTTGTAATTCGACTGAGAAGTGATGTTGCCTAGGTGACAGAAAGGGGTGTGTTAGAGGGAACCAATCATTCCTCTATTGTTCAGACAGCAGGGACGCAGAGAATCCAATAATAGCATACTCAGATCTATATTTATAAACCTGCAACATTTCGCACACTGTTTTAATAGCAGCAGTAGTTGTTTTCTTGTACTCGGGGCTTGTCTGGTACAACATGTGCCCACCGCCGTGACATGTGTTCACACAATTGCAGACGAATGCATGAGGAAAGAAGAGGAGGATACTGCTGTTCCCTGCTATAGTCCTTATATAAGGCCTCCTCATGAGTGACCAGATCTGAGTAAACGCATTTGGGGTTCTGCATCACTGATTATTCTCAGTCCACACCTGGTCCCAGCGTCTTCAGCACCAAGGAGAGCTCCCAAGGGATCCAGACATCGACGGTATGCAGGTGACAGAACATCATGGGGAGTAGATTAATGCTGAGGGCTCTGGACTCATTGTTATCATGATCGTGTTCATTTCACAGTGACAAGCCCCCTGCGGCTGGAGGAGACCGGTTATGATTTTTTTGTCCAAGATTACAGTTAAGATGATCTGTTCTAACTCTAAGGATTAGAAATTCTTCAATCTTCTTTGGATCAACTTCAATCTTATTATTAGTGGTTTTGGCACATGCTTTCACTGTATGGACTTAAACAAATGTAGGTATAGTTTGTAGGTGTATGGTATATTTACCTCAACAAAGCCATATTGCTAAAAGGGGGTTCTGAATCCAGGATCCTTTCGACACAGAAATCTGGCTTTAGACGACCTTTTCCTACATTTTCTGAAAGATTGTTGTGTCTCTAATTCTGTAATTGATTTTAATAGTGCTGTATATTTTCTGGTGGGACAAGTACCCATACATCTTTTTAGAATAGCCTTTTCTGATTAATTAGTGTTCATTCTTAAATATTTTTGATTTTCTATTGTGATTGTCCTTTGCCTTATGTTGGGAAACCATGCCATTAATATTAAGGTCTCCTCCAATACGTTTTTTTAATACATTTTCAAGCAGGGCTAATCTTTGTTGACTAATAATTCCTTGGCCTATGAGTGCAGGCCTGGTTCATTCCTAACTTTAATCTGTGAGTGTTGAATTGCTGTGTAAGTACTAATGAAATGTGATTTGTCGATTAAGATTTACAACAGTACTGTTGTGGAACATGGGGGCAAGGACCCACTTTTTAGAATGTGTCTGTTTAAAGTTTTGTTGACTTCAGCTGGAGGATTTGACCTATTGTACATGTTTTTAGTTGTAAGGGAATCTATAGCACCCAAAGGAAACCTATGCATGGGGAGAACATGCAAACTCCACTCAGAAAGGCCCTGCACTTGTCTAAGGGATTTGTTCATGAAATCGTAACAACTTCCCTTATGGGTTACGGTGGTTTTATCTGAAATGACTCGTCCCATTTCTCCTGTCAAAGTGGTTTGGATGATTTTAGGGACTGGTTTTAGCAGTGATGTGAAGGGCAGCAAATACAATACACTTGTCCAAACAGCTGAGCGTGCAGGGCTGTCTGTAATCACTCTCCTCTGAGGCCTGGAGGGGGCACTGCCAGCTTCTGCTCTGCTCTGGGTGACAGCACAAAAACCTGTGTCAACAGAGGACTCGAGTAGAAACCAAGCAACACGCAATAAGCAAAGTATTTACCCAACATTATTGACTGGGTCAGCACAAGCTACAGGAGTCTGTTGGTTTTTATTGATTATTTATATCTCGTATGTTAGGGCAAGCACTTTAGACACATAAAGTGCCTCTGGGGAAATTTGAATAAAAATTAATTGGAGGTAATAACCACAGTGAGAGAACCGTATGTGGCGTTCTGTGCAAAACAAAAGGTCAGTGTGCTTTGGACCAGTAATCAGTTTGTAGTTGTCCAACAGAAAAGCAATTATGAAACGATGTAGACAGAGATGCAGTCTTAAATGTGACAGCATTCACTAACAATAAGAAGCTCTCGTGTGCATCATGAGACTATGGCGGAACTGTCCTCTCAAGCACATTTTTGCGTCTGCTTATTGTCGGCACATGCATCCAATTCAGCCCGAGGCGGAGCGTGTGTCAAGATACTGCGGAGAGAGTGTGAAAATCAATGATCGTCTTGTTTGATTTAATAGATCTCCGTTATGAAATATAAATGGAAAGGCTCTAGTCATCGTTGGATTTATTATTATGAGGGTTATGGATACAACAAGACAACATGATTCAGTCCTGGTTTGTCCCTGGTTTGGGTTGGAGTTTGATCTATGCTTAAAATTGTTTACGAAAAAAGGACATTAATGCTAATTTGACAACAAGATTGTGTGGTTGCGGTTTATTTTCTGCACTGACTGTGGATGGGGAATGTCACTATTTGTTTATATGATTATTACACTTTGATAAATTATATTTCAAAGTGCAATTTTGAAGCTATTGTGACAATAAATGGTGTAACTTGCAGTGATTTGTGGTTGTGTTGCCTGATCGCCCTCTTCAAGATAATGACAGTCTCTGCACATGAGCTATTCAATGACAAAGGGCTTAACTGTGAGTAATCAAGGAAACTAACCCTAGTATTATTCATAATGGGCCATACCGCATTCTTCATTTTCACTATGTTCATTGATCGCAAAATTGATCTTGGTTCCATAAGTGAATAATAGACTTAGACAATCTTTATTGAATCACAAGGGACATTTCTTGGTCACACTTGCTCAATAAACACCAAGACTTAAACATTGTTAACCAAATAGAATGCCCTATACCTGCTTGTCATCACCTGACCCTGCGTCATTACTCAGAAGCTAAGCAGGGCAGGGCCTAGTTAGGACAGGAGACCTCTGGAAACACCAGATGTCATAGTAGGATCACCAAGGGCCAATTTGGTGTTGCAACTGAATAAGATCTTCTCCAAAATGGTACATCCGCTTTGTTTCTTTACTGCAGCTTTGAGTGACCCCCTAAATACTGAGTGTGTGAACTCTGACGCAGCAGGCAACTCCCCAAAAGAGGCAGATGGAGTGGAGCTTCACCCTGCAGCACTGGCCTCAATGTAGACACATAGAGCTTCTTCTTCACTCACTTGTATAGCTTTTATGGTAATAAAGAGAAAGAGTATGTCTACAATGTAATTGTATCACTCAAGTCGTCCAAAAAGTGTCCAGTCCTTAATGGTATTGACTTTAATGGTTGTCCACGTCTCATGTTCTAACCCTCTCTCTGGGTAAAGATGATTTGATTGCAGTGGTGTGGAGTTTGGCCCAGTGCCCACTCTGCAGCCCCTGCAGCTCGGCCATCTCTCTTGGATCTTGTTTGGACAAAATCAACATGGGAGGTGTACAGATGTGATGCATCCTGTCCATCAGAACCAGGCTCTCTAAAACAATACTGTGGAACTTTACATATGGACACTCAGTCGTGTCAAAGTCTTTATATGGAAGTTTATGCTTTTCCTACAAAGTTGTCTGGTAACCCTTTTGCCACTGCTCTCCTATATTTTTCTTTATTTTGCGTCTTATTAAATTACTTCTGAGATGCAAAAAAGTGTCCAGGACACTCTTGAAAAAGAGATTACTAATCTCAATGAGGTTCTCCTGGTTAAATACAGGTTAAATATGATATATGAAAATACTTTGAATAGTTGTGCCAGATTATTTGACACCTACAATATGTACAATATTTACGGTACTGTACTAAAATGTAAATAAAGTGTCTATCAATATGTTTATAACTAAATATAGCAACATTACAGAATTACACCAAAATGGCATAACAGAATACATTTTCATTTGTGACTTTCATCATTACATTCATTTGTGATACAGCTGAAAGCAGAAGCTTTGTTTGTCATTTTTTTCATCCTTAAAATGTGTCGTATCCAAAAACCAAAAATGAAATCATTCATTAGACAGATTGACCGATGCTCACAGGGATTTGTCCTGTTCTTAGCAGAGATCCATGTGTCCTACACATTTGCCTTTGGGTAACTTCGAGTAAATGTTAGATTACTTGATGTAAACATGTTTGTCTCAGTCCAATCTGGTGCTTGTGATGCAGAGAAACGTGTTTTGTATAGATCTTTCCTGTGCAGGAGCTGAAAGCCTTTTCCACTGACACATTCTTTATTCATGACCATCAGTTGCATGCAAAGCTGTCCACACATCACATCCTTATCCCAGTCACACATGAAGTCTTTATAGACTTAAAAAAAGCTTTTGACACTATCAATCATTCAATTTTACTTAAAAAATTAGAAAGGTATGGTATTAGGGGGGTGTCATGGAATTGGATCAAGAGCTACCTATCAGAGAGAACACAGTTTGTGAGGATGGGTGATATTGAATCAGAGCGTAGAGGCATTGCTTGTGGAGTTCCACAGGGATCTATTTTGGGGCCAAAACTATTTGTTCTGTATATTAATGATTTGTTTCAAGTATCCAATATACTGAAGATGATTTTATTTGCTGATGATACTAACATATTTTATAGTCATGACCATTTAAACACTCTAATTAATATAGTAAATGACGAACTAAAGAAAATCAAAATATGGATGGATACGAATAAGTTATCTCTTAACTTGGAGAAAACTAAAGTAATTTTTTTCGGGAATCATAGAGAATCAGAACTCATAGTAAAAATAGAAGGAACAACAATTCAAAAAGTGTCTGAAATAAAATTTTTAGGAATGATGATTGACAGTAAACTAGATTGGAAGTCACACATCAAATATATACAAAACAAGATTTCCAAGAATATATCCTTGCTATATAGAACAAAATATGTTTTAAACCATAAAGCCCTTGATTTATTGTATTGTTCCCTTGTTCTACCTTACCTAATTTACGGAATTGAAGTCTGGGGTAACAATTACAATACTTCTCTACAATCGCTCTGGAAACTCCAAAAACGTGCAATAAGAACCATTCATAGAGCCGGCTACTATGACCACATCAACATACTGTTCCTGCAGTCCAGACAGTTAAAATTCTATGACTTGGTTGAGTTTTATACAGCACAGTTATTGTACAAAGCAAGTAAAAATAATCTGCCAAAAAAAATTAAATTACTTTTTCAAATAAGACAGGGAAAACACAATTTAAGGGGTTCTAATATCTTTAAAGTTCCAGCCGTGAGAACGACACGGAAGAGTATGTGTGTGTCGGTACGTGGGGTCCGGCTCTGGAATGGTTTGGGGGACGACCTCAAACAGTCCACAGTACTTTGGAAATTCAAATCTAAATACAAAGAAATTATATTAATGAGATACAAATTAGATCAAACGTTCTAAATAGTGTTAGGTTCCAACTTAAAAACAAAAGTAGACTAAGAGAATATAGGTATATTTTATTGTCTTATACAAGCTTTATATGTGTGTCGATTGTGCGTGTTAGTATATATAAATGTGTACATGTATATGGATGTGTGTGTATGTATATATGTACGTGTACTCAGGTATATTTAAAGATATGTGCGTATGTATGTGTGCATTTGCACGTGTTTATGTATTAATCTGACAGACAGAGTATAATGTAAAACTTTGTTGTAACTTTATGTTGTACAGGACGGTATCCAGTATTTAGTTTTATTTTGTAGTTGGGGGTGGGAGTAAACAAGTGTTTCACTTCTTCTCACTCCCTTTCAAGCAAAGAGCATTACTTTATTGTTAAGGAAAAAAATAATGATAATAATAAATAAATAATGTAATCTGTGTTAATATATATTGTTTACTATAACGTTTATGAATTTAAGTTTCGTTATTGTGACATTGTGTCATGCTCATGCTTGCTTGCTTGCTTGAAATAAAATTATTCATTCATTCATTCATTCAAGTCACATTCAGACACAGCCCATCTGCACCTCACCGTGGGACGCACTTCTATATTTCTACTCTTATTACTTTCTCTCACGCCGCCTTCTTGCACTTTTATGAGGCTGACTCAGAGTTTGGCTTCTTTTCGATTTGTAAACGTGTTAATAATGGATCAAAATACTGCCAGTAATCATGTTGTTTATAACTAATGAACAAAACATTGTGTTGTTGCTTTGAAATGATGATTAGTAAGATTTAATACATTTGTTTTGAATCTACAGCACATTATTTCAAAGCATCAGAACACAACTACATTCTTTGAAATATTGATGCCAGTCATTCAGCGGTCACTTCCAATCTGGGAACAAGGATCCTTCAACAAAGACGCTGCTTATGGATAATATAATTCTCCTTCTTAATCACATTGTTTAATTTGAATTTGTATTGCAACCACACATTAGTTGTGAGGAAAGCATTGGCAATCTCAATTTCCAACAATTTTATCGCAAACTGTCAAATGGTGCTGGAACTTGTGCCAATTCAATCTGGTGAAATTGGATTGTCGTCATTGGTGGCAAACCATATAATCTTCTCTTGAGAGGTTCTCTTCTGTAATTTCCCCACTGTGGAACTAAAAAAGGCTTCATTCATTTCTTTTCCCAGTCGTACATTATAATACAATAAATGCATGCCCAATTCACTTGCGGAACAGCGCAGAACATGTGATGGATTTCTAACTCAAAGTTGGTTTAAAATGATCAATAACTACATAATTACAGACCTGGGAGAGAAAAGGATTTTTGTCATCATATTCACTTGTTGGATATGAAAATTCTATTGTAAGAGTAAGTGAATGGCAGTGAATGGTGTAGAATTTACATTGCAGAATTGGGTCTGGACACGCAGACCAGGACATGAGGACAAAATTCTCATCAAAACCAAGGGAAAAAAAGTATTGATCCTGTGCTAATCACCAGAATATTGGTCCCGTCCCACTCTAGTAAAGCACAAAACAATATACTACACACTTAACCACAAATGTCCTGAAATACTTCTTACTTCTTACTTTTCCTGTTGTTAGAGGCTTGGACTGAAGTCACAAGCTGTACCCCCAGGATTATTATTTCACATAGTCCAGAACTATTGACTATCCTCAGAAATATGACTTCATTAGGGTCTTGCTCACCATCCTCATGTGTACTCTTCCTATTTTACGAGCTGTCCTTGAATGTGCCGGAGTCACTGTGACCCCTGATTCAGCTCCTGTCATCTGGCACCATCTGCACATTTCCTCTGCTCTCGCTTCTTCTTTCTGGTCATTTCAATTTCAGATGGGAGACAGCGAGAGTTCAGCTGGGGACTGGACACTTGTCAAGAGGGTTTTTCACACCAGCGACCGATTCAGTCAATAATTGCCTCATAAAGAACTGTCTTCAAACATTTTAGTCATAGATGAATCAATAGGACCAATTTCTCATGTTATTCGGTCTAAAGATGGGTCAGCTTTTTGTTTGGGTCTGAAGGTTTTTATTGTTGCCAGATATGTTCCACAGTATAGCATTTCAATCAGGCAAAACACACACAAGAAAAAGTATTAGAATTATGTTAGTGTGCTTAGTGTGTTAGTGGGCCATCCGCCCCTTATGGACCTATGTTTTTTTATCATTGCATTTTCTGTGTTTTTATAATTGCATTTTCTGTGTTTTTATAATTGCATTTTCTGTGTTTTTATCATTCAATTTCTGTGTGTCTGTCTTTAAACTGTTTTATTATCTGATCTGTGCTGGTAAATCGATAACTTTGTGGTAATTTAGGGCTGTACAAAAATTGATTTGAACTTGCATGGACTATATTAGTTGTATAGTATGATAGACTACTGACGTGTGGTGCATGAAAATGTGGATGTAGTTTTATGTTTAGACCTTGGCAGAAACGTAGCATGTCGTCTGCTGGAAGGGATTGAATAGAGATTATGAAAGTGAAAAGTTGGTGGTGGAAGCTGAAGTGATGAACCGATGAGATGAGTGATATCCCAGTGAGGAGGTGAGTTGCTGCTCGAGCTGAAAGCTTTGGAGTTCTCTTTAGATTCAGCAGAGAAACAGATACTGATTAGCAAAGGCAGAGAAAGTGTGGATGTATGTATGTGTGTATAGGTAAGTATGTATGTGTGTTTGTATGTATGTATGTGTGTATGTATGTATGTGTGTATGTATGTATGTGTGTTTGTATGTATGTATGTGTGAAGTGATAGTGGCCTTGGAGATATTTAGTGTTCTTGAAGGAAAGCAAGTGACTTCCGCTTTTTTTGCAACGTATCTTGATTTTAATTGTTGAAACTGCTGTAATGATTGTTAACCTTGTGTGTGATGACTCAGAGTCAATCCAATTTTTACAAACTGGCAGATACAGCAGCTAAAGGTGCAGACGGATTCCCTGAGCACGACAGGATTAGGCCGGATTATTCACACTTGCATAAATCACTTTCCATCATATCTTATGGCAGGGTTGAATTCTCGAGTTTGGATCATTTGACTCTTTCAAACTTTCACAATTCCTACCGGCAGAACGCAGAACCGTTTCAGTAAATACAACGTCCTTCACTCTTACTACATAGATACATAGAGTACCTTTGCTTGTTCTCTAGTCTCCATGGTAATGTGGTGGTGGCTGCATGCCCACACGCTTTCACACTTAGAAAGGTTCATAGCTTCAGTCTGTGCTGTTTGCATTGGCTGTTCGTCTGTGTCTTTGTTAGCGACAGGCATTTGGGCCTATGGAACATACCGGGAACAATGTGTACTTGGCTCACGTCTGCAGGATGCCTCTGACATAGAGTTTGCTCAGCCCTTTGCAGCAGTTTGCATGTGCACGCTGCAGTATAAACCAGCTGCACATAGAGTGGAAGAGGATGGAGCAATCTCTAAGGAAATATAAAGTCATGTTGAAAATGTGTTGTTTTGAAACTAGTGTTGTTTTGTCCTTACGCGATCTATGTATCAAGACGCATTCACAGCCATTAAATATACTGAGACCGCCACTAATACTGTTTAGTGAAAGCAGTGGAAGGTATTTATTACCTCCTCTCCCTTTTAGTATCCAAATATAAGTAGTAATTAGTCAATATGTTTTTATTTAACCATGTCCTTGCTCTCAGAAATGTTTTGGCAGGATTTTTTGTATTTGTACTATTAAATCAACAATAGCAATCATATGAAGTGGATGATTCGCTAACAGCAGGTTATAAGACATGGAAATAGAGTAATAAAACATGTAAGAGGGATTTTTGTCCTGGATCATCAACATAAGAGAGAGAGAGAGACAAATTAGTTTTTAGTCCAAAAGATATTATTATTAGTATTCATTTATTTATTTTTACAACCTTCTGCTAAAATACTGTGTGGAAAAACAACATACACCATTGTGAATGAAAAACACTGGACGGGCTTGCATTTCCACAAACCTTACTCATACTTGTCCTTTGCATCCTTCTGCTTGTTTCCATGGAAATGTAGAATTATCGGTTTGCAGATTGTCCTTTAGGTTTGAGTATATGACCATTTAAAAGGAACTGGCTGCATCCATATCGTTCACAGTTAGCAGACTACTTTACTACCATGGATCTGTACTAAACTTTTTTAATGAGCCTCCTCTGTGTCCGTTGAAAAGTGAATATCCAGACTCTAATTGCATCCATTGGTATAAAACTTTCTGCATCCATGATTCAAAGAGCAAAGATGTAATTAAACCACAGGAGACCACTTCCTATTCACACCAGCAGCCCGTGCAGATGAATAATAGGCCAGGACGTATTCAAATCAGAAGCACACGGCCGTTCCCTTCGGGGCCCTCACAAAATGCTTACAAATCAACATTGTCTACAACAATTATAATCACCTTTTGTTATTACATGTTTAGATCCTCTTTCTGATGTGCCACGCTTGTTTGTAACCTCTGTGACCGACCTGCATTGCTGTTACAGATGGGGCCCCGCTGAGTGAGCTGTCCTGGCCCTCCTCCCTGGCTGTTGTGGCTGTGTCTTTCTCAGGCCTCTTCACGTTTGTCTTCCTGATGCTGGCCTGTCTCTGCTGCAAGAAGGGAGACGTTGGGTTCAAGGTGAGCTCACTGCTGCCCTCTATGGGATCATTTTGATGTAGTTAAAGTAGGAATATTTTACTCATGTATTGTGGTACGCTCAATCTAAATAGTTTACCCACTGAGGCTATGCTGGAAGAATTGTCTTATGATTTGTGGTGGGTTTTGACTAGTTATTTTTCAGAAATTTGATGAGAATTAGACAAAATGTGGGGTCCTGAAAAAGAGATACTCCTTATACTAAGAGTACTACTAAAATCAATGACAGAAAGATGCATGTCAAACGTAAGGATTATTATGAAGATTCAGGAGCTCCTTTTGCAATTGACCCCTTGCTAAGCCACCGCCCCAAACGCAATGAGCCAATCACAGTGTGCATAGCAACCCAATACACTGGGACATTCTTTGCATCCACAGCTATTGACATAAATGCCATATCTCTTCTAAGACAAGTGCTTGCTCTGGATAACGTTTTGGCTGAGCAACATAGTACAGTTTGCAGTAATACCGGTATCATTTATTAGGAATGGTATGAAGGTTATAGTGCGAACCACCATGGATCGCACTATAACGAGAGCAGTGACGTCGCCCGGCATGGCGCAGCCGGGGCCCCACCCTGGAGCCAGGCCTGGGTTCGGGGCTCGTATGCGAGCGCCTGGTGGCCGGGCCTTAGCCCACGGGGCCCGGCCGGGCTCAGCCCGAAGGGATGACGTGGGCAGTCCCTCCTGTGGGCCCACCACCTGCAGAGGGGTCCGTGGTGGCGCGGTGCTGAGAGGACTGAGCGGCAGTCGAAGGCGGAGACCTCGGCGACCCAGTCCGCACACACAACATCTGGCTCTTGGGACGTGGAACGTCACCTCACTGGGGGGGAAGGAGCCCGAGCTCGTGGGGGAGGTTGAGCGATACCGACTAGAGATAGTCGGCCTCACCTCCACACACAGCTTGGGCTCTGGAACCCAACTCCTTGAGAGGGGTTGGACGCTCCACTTTTCTGGAGTTTCCCGCGGGGAGAGGCGGCGAGCTGGGGTGGCCATTCTCATTGCCCCCCATCTCAGCCGCCACGTGTTGGAGTTCTCCCCGGTGAATGAGAGGGTCGCGTCCCTCCGCCTCCGGGTGGGGGACAAGTCTCTCATTGTTGTGACGGCCTACGGGCCTAACAGCAGTGCAGAGTACCCGGCCTTCTTGGAGTCCTTGGGAGGGGTACTGGACGGTGCACCGCCCGGGGACTCCGTTATTCTCCTGGGGGACTTCAACGCCCATGTGGGAGTCGCCAGTGACACTTGGAGAGGGGTGATCGGAAAGAACGGCCCCCCTGATTTGAACCCGAGCGGTGTTCAGTTGTTGGACTTCTGTGCCAGTCACAGTTTGTCCATCACGAACACCATGTTCGAGCACAAGGGTGTCCACCAGTGCACGTGGCACCAGGACACCCTAGGTTGGAGGTCGATGATCGACTTTGTTGTCGTATCATCTGACCTTCGACCGCGTGTCTCGGACACTCGGGTAAAGAGAGGGGCGGAGCTGTCAACCGATCATCACCTGGTCGTGAGTTGGATCCGCTGGCAGGGGAAGAGGCCGGCCAGACGTGGCAGACCCAAGCGTATAGTGAGGGTCTGCTGGGAACGTCTCGCTGAGCCCCCTGTCAGACGGACTTTCAACTCCCACCTCCGAGAGAGTTTCTCCCAGCTCCCGGCGGAGGAGGGGGACATGGAGTCCGAGTGGACCATGTTCTCTGCCTCAATCGCCGATGCGGCGGCTCGTAGCTGTGGTTGCAACGTCTCTGGTGCTGGTCCCGGCGGCAACCCCCGAACCCGGTGGTGGACACCGGCAGTAAGGGATGCTGTCAGGCTGAAGAAGGAGTCCTATCGAGCCATGATGGTTCGGGGGACTCCTGAGGCAGCTGTCCAGTACCGGCAGGCCAAGCGTGCCGCGGCCCGGGCTGTTGCAGAGGCAAAAACCCGGGACTGGGAGGAGTTCGGAGAGTCCATGGAGCATGACTATCGGTCGGCCTCGAAGAGATTCTGGCAAACCATCCGGCGCCTCAGGAGGGGGAAGCAGTTCTTTGCCAACACCATGTATGGTGCGGGTGGAGAGTTGCTGACCTCGACTGGGGATATTGTCGGGCGGTAGAAGGAATACTTTGAGGTTCTCCTCAATCCCCCCGTCACGTCCTCTGTTACAGAGGCAGAGGCTGAGGATGTTGGGGCGGATACATCCATCTCCCTGGCTGAGGTCACCAAGGTGGTTGGTAGCCTCCATGGTGGCAAGGCTCCGGGTGTGGATGAGATCCGCCCTGATTATCTAAAGTCTCTGGATGTTGTAGGACTGTCTTGGCTGACACGTCTCTGCAACATCGCGTGGCGATCCGGGGCAGTGCCAATGGAGTGGCAGACCGGGGTGGTGGTCCCTCTCTACAAGAAGGGGGACCGGAGGGTGTGTTCCAATTATCGTGGGATCACACTCCTCAGCCTCCCCGGTAAGGTCTACTCCAGGGTACTGGAGAGGAGGTTACGGCCGATGGTCGAATCTCGGATCCAGGAGGAGCAGTGTGGTTTTCGTCCCGGTCGCGGAACACTGGACCAGCTCTATACTCTCCATCGGATACTCGAGGGTTCATGGGAGTTCGCCCAACCCGTCCACATGTGTTTTGTGGATTTGGAGAAGGCGTTCGACTGTGTTCCCCGGGGTGTCCTTTGGGGGGTTCTCCGGGAGTACGGGGTCGGGGGTCCTCTGCTGAGGGCCATCCGATCCCTGTATGACCGGAGCCAGAGCTGTGTTCGCATTGCCGGCAGTAAGTCAGACCTGTTCCCGGTGAATGTTGGCCTCCGACAGGGCTGCCCTTTGTCACCGGTTCTGTTCACTGTATTTATGGACAGAATATCTAGGCGCAGCCAGGGGTCGGAGGGGGTCCGGTTCGGAGACCACAGGATTTCATCTCTGCTGTTTGCGGACGATGTTGTCCTGTTGGCTCCAACGAACCAGGACCTGCAACATGCACTGGGGCGGTTTGCAGCCGAGTGTGAAGCGGCTGGGATGAGAATCAGCACCTCCAAATCCGAGGCCATGGTGCTCGACCGGAAAAAGGTGCCTTGCCCTCAGCAGGTGGGTGGAGAGGTCCTTCCTCAAGTGGAGGAGTTCAAGTATCTCGGGGTCTTGTTCACGAGTGAGGGAAGAATGGAGCGTGAGATTGACAGGCGGATCGGTGCAGCGTGCGCAGTGATGCGGTCGCTGTATCGGACCGTTGTGGTAAAAAGGGAGCTGAGCCGAAAGGCAAAGCTCTCAATTTACCGGTCAATCTTCGTTCCCTCCCTCACCTATGGTCATGAGCTTTGGGTAATGACCGAAAGAACGAGATCGCGGATACAAGCGGTCGAAATGAGCTTCCTCCGCAGAGTGGCTGGGCGCTCCCTTAGAGATAGGGTGAGGAGCTCAGTCACACGGGAGGAGCTCGGAGTAGAGCCGCTGCTTCTCCACGTCGAGAGGAACCAGTTGAGGTGGCTCGGGCATCTGTTCCGGATGCCTCCTGGACGCCTCCCTGGGGAGGTGTTCCGGGCACGTCCCACCGGGAGGAGGCCCCGCGGAAGACCTAGGACACGCTGGAGGGACTATGTCTCTCAGCTGGCCTGGGAACGCCTTGGGGTCCCCCCGGACGAGCTGGAGGAGGTGTGTGTGGATAGGGAAGTCTGGGCGTCTCTGCTTAAACTGCTGCCCCCGCGACCCGACAACGGATAAAGTGGAAGAAAATGGATGGATGGATGGATGAAGGTATTTATATTAACGGTAACTGTTTAAATTTAAAAAGACGGGTTATCAAAGGTGAGCATGATCCCTGCATGGTTAATCATGACAGCCGCGGTGACCAGATACATTAAAGCTGGAGTACATAACTTTCTGTTGCTGTTTCATGCATACATTTGTTTGTCCCAACAGAAAGTAGGGTAATTATGGTGTCTGAAGTCTAAATATTTGTCTAAGATCCATGCAACCATCCAATACATGTGGAAACTAGTGATAGAGGCAAACTGTTTTGAGAACAATAGAACTGCATTATTATTTTTTTAATTAAACTATAATCTACATTTCCCCAATGCTTTTCATATTGTAAATTATTGTTATTTTGAGATTTCTTAACAATTTTTTGGCCTTAGCGTCCAGTCCTATTGAACATAGACTTTAACATCTATAAAGTAACGTTACCCTAACATTAGAAAACGTTCATCATGTCACTTTGTGCTGAGTTATATTTATCATATATAATCGTTCGCTGGTGTTACTAATAATATCATACACTAATCCACAAACAATGGCAATGTTCAGCGTCACATGTGCCTGATACTTTTGCCCTAAATATGACAACACTTCACAAAGGACACACTTGAGTCGGAAGAGCATTCCAAAACAAATTGTGCGGCCGTTTTGCTTTGCCTACAGGGTTTTTTTTTTTCCCTGAGCAGACTTTTTGGTGACTTTGAAATTATATATAATACTTCTCTAAAGATCTGCCATAATGCCTGTCAGTTTGTCCTACTGGGTGGAGGGGGCGTGGCTTAGTTAATTCTGCTACTTTGGTGCCTAAAGGGCTATCATAGTTAAATGATCAAAGTTAAATCTGGCTGGCAGATTAAAAGCTATCAGAGGGAAAATATATACATATCAGAAAGAGAAAATATGAAATGTATAGCAGGCTTTATGAGATTGTGGTTTAGTCCAATCAATAGCGGGTATGACACAGGATTAATAAACTATTCATGGTAATTCACAGTATATTTGAATCAATAGCCCTGGTTTAGTAAATTGATCCTTAATCTTTGATATCAGACTGCCACAAACACCTCTTGTCCTCTGATCAGCCTTGTCGGTAAGCTCTTTGCCTTCTTGTTTATCCTCCTTCATAAAATAGCAGTGTTATTCCTTCCATTATAAGGCTTATCGAAGTATGTGGTGTGTTCAGGGCTGTGGGTATTAAATGCTTTCAAACTGAAGAGCGTCAGGGGAGCGGTGCTGACTCAGAGCCAGGTGCTGCCTTTCAGACGGCTCTGAGGCGAAGAGAGTGGCAGATGAATCGTTTGAAAGAAAAACACAAAACACACATTACAGATCTTCTTGCACAGACTTAAACAAACAAGACCAAAGTAATTCATGGGACTGTACTAGTATTGTTGCATATATTGTCCTAACTCTTACTCTCTCTTGGGACGCTGCTGGACCGGATGCATGGTGTACTGTACTGGCTCAGTGCATATGAACAATCTGCTTTTCAATGTATGGCATTTAAGAGAAGACACTACAGGGACTTTGTAGACAGAGCTATAGTCCAACATGCCCCCCCCCCCATGAAGAGTACAAGGCACACTTTGTTAAGTTAAATTTGCCGAAGCTAAAACTGACGTATTATCATCATTTACGGCCTACCCACTACTACATCAACTCCACTAGTTTCAGCTCACATTGGTCCTTTGCTAAGTTGTCATGCAAATCGGAGGGTTCCATTTTGTTATTAACGATCTTTTATTGAATAACTGACTTCAAAAACATAAACCTTTTTTGATAAACATCCTTTTTACCCTTTATTCAAACAGGAGGCCCTTTGAGACAACATCTTTTTTTGAGGGAGACCCCTAAATCTCTAGTCTGGGAATACCCATGCTGCTAAGAACACTCAAATTATTATGAACTGCACAACAGAATGGTAATCATGGGCAAAATGTTCGCATGGATTTGGGAACCAATCACAGTACGGCAAAACAATGATGACACAGTATTTGACAGAAGGAAGCTTGTAGTTTGTTTTTGGATCCAACATCCAGTATCATTCATCTTCTTGTTGAAATTCAGTCTCTCTACATACAGTATGTTGGAAAAATTCATGATTGGCGCATACATGCGGAGGCAAATAGACATTTGTTGTGCCCAATAAATGGCTATGGACATTAAAATGAATGGGCGGTTCCCAATTGAAATATCCTCATGTGATATTTAGTCTGGTTTTAGCCATGCTATATTATTTGGGGACATTACAATTATTAGAAATATTACATAAAATCCCAATAACCAACAAAAATCAAACTCAAGTGACAACATTCTAGATTTTCAGTATATAATTCCTTCATGTTGGAAAATAATGCAGTATTTTTATTATTTTAATTTTTATGTATTTATTTTTTAAAAAAGTGTCTTCTTGTCTTTGTGTTGTTTGTTCTATTTTGGGTTGTACTTTTGTGTTTTTGTTTTATGATGTGTCTGTTTTATTGTCTTTAATGAAAAAATAAAAAATCAATAAATACAAAAACTAAATAATGTAGTATTATGTATTCTAATGTGTGCATAAGCGCAGTATAGCATCATCCAACACAAAAAGGACAAAGACATGTGTGTTTGTGCGTCAGCAGCTGTTTACATTAGTGTGTGTCCCACTGTGCACCCTCAGTCGCAGCACAATGAACCTCACAACATACATGATTTATCTGCGCCGGTCGGTGGGCGTGTCCTGTGTGTGGACGTCTGTACAGTCCAGCCATTGTCTCCCACTCGGTGTTCGCAGGAGGACAGCTGTGGGCCAGTGACTGATGCTGGTGTGTGTGTGTGTGTGTGTGTGTGTGTGTGTGTGTGTCTTCTCCAGGAGTTTGAAAACGCAGAGGGCGAGGACTACCAGGCAGATCTGTCCAGACTGACCTCACCTTCGTCCCACAATGGCCCAGAGGTGTACATACTGCCCCTCACTGAGGTGTCACTGCCTGTGTCCAAGCAGCCCGGACGAGCCAGTAAGAAAGACATAGTACAAGTTAACAAGCTTACTTTGAATAAGTTTGTTGTTTGTTAGTTTTTATTTTTATGCAGCTGTAATATACAGTAGCTTTTCTTCCTGGGGTCTATTTACTCATCAATGTCACAGAAATGAATGTACAATGCTCTATGGTGTATTATAATAAAAATACACCATAAAAACACACAGCTACATTAATAGCAGCCGTAAAGTTATAAGTTAAATTAGTAATCTCACAACATTTCTACATTACATTTTAAACATTGAATTACTTCCAATATTGTAAATACAGCTGAAAAATCTTTAAAAAATACCACTCAAAAAATCAAAACAAATCAATTCAAATTTTTCAGTGAAAAGGAAAAGTCTTTTATGAAAGTCCAGTGCATTCATCCCAACAACATGAAACCTAGTATAACATTGTGTATGTTTTATGTTTAAAAGTGAACTGCTTTGTTTGGAATGCATCTCACTATGGTATTTAACTTTTACTGTGCATTATTTAATTACAGATTAAATTGCAGATTATTTCATCCCTGCTCAAAACCTGATTTCATACTCTGGGTCAGATCTCCTCTCTGCATCTTTGAGCTTCACCTTTGCCTTGTGGAGTCTTGCTTGTCTCAAATGTTGATATGGCAGGGTTGAAAAGTTTCATGTCATTGTGAAACATTCCAAGCAAGGAAAGAACATATAGGTAGACCCAGGAGAACAGTGGAGGAATTAAAGTCACATAAAATAGTGAATTCTGGGTTAGAGATATTGAGGTTTAAAGTTCCTCCTTTTATGCCTTCTTCATAAAGGCATACAGAGTGCACCCAATTCTATAAAATATTGATAGAGCATGCAGACGCTATCCAGGACTGAGATACAAATGACTCAATCTAAACTAAATTCAGAGTGTCTATGTCTTGCTGGAGCAGTTTATATGACATATAAACAAGCGAGTGAGCGACTGGAGCGATTGCTTCTCTGTATAAAGAAAACACGTTAGTTAAGATGGTGCCATATAAGCCATGTCTGTGTTGATTTTATTTATTTTTCATGAATATAGTAAATGGCTTGTCTGGCAGTTCACATTGTTATCTCGCATTGCAGGCAAACAGGCTTTTGTAACATTTTGCACCAACAACAGTACACTCACTTGTGTTAGGAAGGTGACGTAAAGCAGGATTAGTCACATTAATGTCTGTGGGTAAGTAAAAACAGAAAAAAAGAACAAAACACGACTCAAACATAATTTGAGTAGTTAATATGCAAAAACAGATAAGTGCCATGAAAACATGTCGGAAAAGCTTACAATTTTCTCTTTACCAAGTAGTTTTGTGAAAAGCCAGATCTATTTTAGTGTCATACAAATAGTTTCACCCCTTCTTGAGCTAATTCTTTCAAATGCACTGCCATTAACAGAACATGTTGAAGATCGTAACTAGAGGAATACAAAAATTGGACAACATTTCAAAACGGAGATATCTGTTTTTGCACATTAACTCATTTGTAATCTTTATTTTACTACTGAAAAAAGCTTGTTTCCATAGGATTGGATTGGATAATAACATCTATGTCCATGTAGAATGTTCCTAAGTAGGCCTATGTTTAACTCCATTATGCAATTGTCCTACCAGCTCCATGTGTCCATTGTGTTGCTTGTAATGACTCATTGTACCCACCGAAACAACTCATATTGTCCAATTTAAGCTTTATTTCTTGGTCTTTCAAATGGAAGACAGCCTGTTCTGTTTTAACGCTGTGTCCACTGGAGTAAGTGTGGGGATCCTGCTGCCGCTCCCCGCATGACTCACTGTGCTGGAGTGGGTGGGACGTAGAATAGTCCATAACCCTCCAGGACACAAGCGCTCGCAGCCATTGGAGAAGGCAACACGCGGTTGTCATCCTCTTAGCCAATCAGGAGTGGCTGCTGTTGCATAGTTACCGCAGTCTGATTGGTCCAGGTGTTGTAAGGGCTTGGATGCATGCATTCTTGGAGTAACCAGAGAATGGTACTTTTGTGAGACACAAGATATGTACGAGTACTTTCTCTCCCTATTCATGAGTATTATATAAATGTCAATGTATTTAATATACGTTATTGCATGTCAACATCAAGTGATTAATAGACAGTTTTATACAAGAAACTATGAGAGGCAAAGATGAAGAGATCCTTTATTCGTCCCAGTGGGGATATTTCACTGTTGCATCAGCAGTTACAGAATGCAGGAGTAGGAGCACACAGCACACGATAGCGATACTAAAATAAAATAAAATCTCTAACTTTAGCATAGTAAAAACATGATTTGTGAACATGAATTACATGAACCTACCTATAGTTAATATCATTGTCCTGAGCATTGTAAGATATAAATAGTCAATAAAGAGTCAATAGACAAGGATCAAATGTCAAAAATCAAGATGGAGGCAAAAGTGTGAGGTTATGGCAGGTTGGAAAGGTGCGTACATCTGAGTTTGGGTTTGAGAGTTTTAAATTACACAAACAGCATCATGCATCAAAGCCTGCAGTTGTATTGTTTGAATGAATCAGCCCACCATTAAACAATATCAATGTATTGAGTGAGTCAAGGAATGCTCACTTACACATTCCACATTTGGAATAATTCTCTGTTTGGGAGGGGCACTCAGAGAAGTGTAGGCCTGTAATCACCGTGACAACCTCTGACAAGCGTTCCAGTAGAAAATGGGCCTTGTGTCCCCTACACAGTGTATGTGTGTGTGTGTATGTGCATGATTGGTACCAGCGCTAACAGCGTGAGCGTGTGAGTGAGTGGGGCTCAACAATGGCTCTGATTTAGGCTGATGGCCCAGTGGGTGAACATAAGGCTGGCTTGAATTGTCCGTGGAACGCACCAGAGGACGACTGGCATTATGGGCAGAAGACAGTGCAGTGTTTGTGAGAAAATGAGGAGACACAGAATGGGACGGGTGGTGGCATGCACCAGGACCTCTGTGGGGGGAGGGGGGCGCGAGATAGTGACTATGACAGAGGTCTTTTCTGCATCTGACAGTGCAGGGTTTGTGTCCCGTTTGGCTGAGGAATGTGGCTGTCCTGGTGACAGGGGGGCATTATGTGGGCCTTATGTCACGGCTGGGCGTCTTGAGGCTGCGCTCTGAGCGGAGCGTCAAATAGCACAGGACTAACATACATGACGGTCACTCCAGGTCCCAGAGCAGAGCAGCACATCTCTGCGGTGCCTCTGCTTTAGACTGAACCTGATGGAGAATGTGGATATGTGCATTGGCTCAACAGCTGGGAACAGTGTGTGTTTGTGTGCAAACCGGCTGGAGGAAGAGCCGTGTACAGACCACAGAGGCGACATGGTGAGCTTGTTCAGCTGTGCGAGGACTCCCAGGGTTCAATCCTGTCGACTTTCTCACACACACAATGAAGCTGAGGTGGCTGGGGCCAGGGCCCTGGGCACTTGGTTCTCACACTCTCAACCTGTACTTCATTCCTGCATGTTCCGGGCTCTCATGGGACAGTTATTGTCACGGTGTTCAGAGTGGCTGGCCGCTCTCCTGCTCCATCGTCACTGCTATCATCATCATTTCCCATTTGAAACATGAAGATCCATGGAGGTAAAGATTGTGTGCTAAACTGTGTGGTAAAATGTGTTTATTTGGTTTTGCTTCTAAACACTTTCCCCCTTGTTCCTTTTTTTTTAGTCCAACTGCTGAAATCACCAGACCTGGGTCGTCATAGTCTTCTTTATCTAAAAGAAATTGGTCATGGGTGGTTTGGAAAGGTAAATCCCCAACAAGTTTGTACATCTTATGAAGTGAAATATACTGTTATCAGGGTTGGTGTAGGTAATGGGCAGTAGATACATTTTACAATAATGACTTTTTGACATCCAGATATAACTATATATCTGTCTGCACACTCACAAGAACATGTCAATGGGGGATTTATTGCATGCCCTGATGATACTGTTCTTCTGTTAGGTTATGCTTGGTGAAGTCAATGCGGGCCACAGCACCACACAGGTTGTAGTTAAGGAGCTCAAGGCCAGTGCCAGCGCTCAAGAGCAGTCTGATTTTTTGGAAGAGGTTCAACCCTATCGGTAAGTTTAATCCTCACTTCATGGTTTTGAATACAGAGCATATTTCATCTTTAATGTGCAATGGTCAGCTTTCTGAATGTGTTTCTTCTGCTCAAGTCTTCAGCACCCGGCTCTTGTCATGTGTTTGGCTCAATGCACAGAGGTCACTCCTTATTTGCTCATCATGGAGTTTTGTCCCCTGGTATGAATATCTTTTTTTAATTTTTAGTTTTTATAATTAGTTTCAATTTAGATATTTATTTTTTATTTTTACTGATTCCAAACACTGTAATTCAGGGCGATCTCAAGAACTACCTCCGCAGCTGTCGGGGAGCAGACGCAGACGCAGACGCAGATGCAGAGGCCCCTGACCCCTCAATCCTTCAGAGGATGGTGTGTGACATTGCCTCGGGACTCCTCCATCTCCACAAACAAAACTTTATTCACAGGTAACTTTCTCACTATGTTCAGTACTCCTTCCTTGCTGACTGAAATTCTTTCATTTGGCAATTACTCCGCCTGCTGGCCACTCTCTACAACAACATCCTGGTGCTGCCTGAGTAATTAAAACTAAAACTCCAGCATCAGTGATTTTGTTGCTGTGGGTGAGCCCTTCTCTCTGGATCTCATATCGTGCAGAAAGTGGATTAGTCAATGTGAGGGTGAGAAGCACTTTATATTGTTACCAAGTCGAATGGCTTTATCATGAATGATTATTGAATGTTATTGTAAATGTTTTTTTCTATTACAAATGCCCATTAACAGTGTTGATGCAAATATCATTGTTTTGTTATATTGGTGGACATTATTTTGCTCCCGACAGTGACTTAGCACTCAGAAACTGCCTGCTAACCTCAGAACTGTCAGTCAAGATAGGAGACTATGGCCTTTCTCACAGCCGATACAAGGTATGCCAACACAGTCCTGCAGCTACAAGCATTACATTAATTGCTTATTTTTTTCTGATATTTTTTTATAGGAAGATTATTACATAACTCAAGATCAGATCTGGGTGCCTCTTCGATGGATTGCTCCAGAACTTATAGATGAAGTGCATGGAAATCTACTGGTTGTTGACCAAACTAAAAACAGTAACATATGGTGAGTAATGACATACATGGATCATGGCAACATTTGCAATTACAGTCAATAATTCTTGTTCTTATTGTAATCTTGTATTACAGGTCCTTAGGCGTGACCATGTGGGAACTTTTTGAATTGGGAAATCTGCCCTACAGACAGTTCTCTGACCGACAAGTGCTAACATATGCATTGAAGGAAGAGCAGCTGAAACTCCCCAAGCCCCATCTCCAGTTTCCCCTGTCAGAGCGCTGGTCAGTTTATGTTTACTTTTTATTTGTATAATTCTGTATAGTTATACTGCTAGAAATATTGAACGTAATTTTTTTTCAAAAATCACATCAAAGTTTTTTAAAATTAAGCATCCATTTATAGTAATTGCTGACATTTAAGTCAGCAATTACTATAAATGGTGACTTCAAACCAATGTCTGCATTCATGTCTCATGCTCAGATAATCAAGTTGCTGTGCACAATGTTTGAGGTTTTTGGTTTTTACCGTGTAGGTATGAGGTGATGCAGTTCTGCTGGCTCCAGCCTGAACTCAGACCCAGCAGTGAAGAGGTGCATCTTCTCGTCACATACCTGTGTGCCAAAGGCTCCAGTGAAGCAGAAGAAGATTTTGAACAACGCTGGAATGCCCTGAGACCCAATTTACTCGGGAGCAACACCCACACCTCCTCTGCTGCTCTGGTCCTCACTCCCACACCTTTAAAACAAACCCAGGTGGAGCTGGCCTCCTCCGCATCCTCCTTCCCCCTCCTTGAACATTTCCCAGATTCTGGAGACGACCTGCTTACTGTTACCGAGACTAGTCAGGGGCTCAACTTTGAGTACAAATGGGAACAGGCCAGAGCGGAGCAGCCTTACTGCTCATCATCCACGAGTGGGCCTTTAGGACAGGGAAACCCTCATTACCAGGACATTTACTATTCATGCAGAGAAAGCACATGTAGGGGTGACAGTCCTACTTACTATGAACCAGAGCACCCTGGGGTGGTTCCAGTGCTGAGCGCTCACAGCCCCTCTATAAGCAGCGAGTACTACATTCGCATTGAAGAGCCTGTAGAATGTAATATCACTCTTGATGACAGCATAGTAGACTACAGCCCTGGTCTGGAAGCCTGCAGTGTGTCTCCTGAGACTGCCTCATGCAAGGCTCAGGTCAGCTCATATTGGTCCACAGCAAATAATCCTAAATCCACCTGCTATAATTCAGATTCAAGTCCTGTTGAGCTAGCAATGGAACCACTGCTGAGAGAGAACTCAAACTCTAACCAAAACTACCAGTGCAGCTCACCAATCATCTCATCTAGTCCTGTGTACAGTGATCATCAGTCAGGCCTCTCAGATGACGACATGTCACCAGAGTCTAGGACACACTGCGTGCCTCCTGTTGGCCGATTAGAAGCTCCCTCAAACATGTCAGTAGCCATTAGTAGCCCTAGTTTAGGTTTCTGTGACCCCTATTTAGAAGCAAGTAGCAGCTTTTCTATGGACCCCCTTCAAAAAGCAGTCCCTGTTGTTAACCACATTAGCATTGATGTGGAGTCAGATGATGGCATTTTAATGGGTAGACGGAGAAGCCGAGAAATAAACAATGGTGACCTTTTCACAGAGGGAGAGCCCACAAATTGGACATCAAACCACTCGGCAAACAACAACAGCCTTAATATGGATGCTCAGCACACAGGCAGTGGTCAGGACAACTACCTTGACCTCCAGTATCATGTCAACACTCCAGAAATTTGGTCTTTAACTAAAGCCACCACAAGGACATTCGTTAGCTCAAAGTCTAGTTGCTTTGATGTAGAAAGACGAAACACGGGTGGAGTAGATTCATACATTCATCTGCATCGTGTAAAGCAACCTGTTCCTCAAATGGGCACAAATGCATATAATATCAAGAGCGGAAAGACCAATGCAAAGTTATCTTGCACTAGTGACAGGCTGTACTCTGAACCCCAAATTATCCCTGAAACCTCCTTTATAAAATCCCCATCATCTGGCCAAGTAGAGACACAGAGAGTCTGGGATGGTGCTGGGATAGATATAAGTCTGGAGGACAGCAACAGAGAACTACACAGGGGGGTTGGAGTGACTACTAGTTTGGTTGGTCTTGGCGACTACAGCGAAGACGAAGATGATGACTTAACATACATCACTGCGGGCATTTTTGCAGACTTCAACCTGGACTATGCCAATCTTGAAGAGGAGGAGCTCAGTCCAATAAAACACACACATGGCACTCCTGGTTCTGTAGACACTCTGAACTTGTCATCCTCCATGGAACAAGCTTTTAGTCCTGACAACTTTAACATCCCCCTTCTCCCCAAATCTCTGGACAGCGGCTACGACACCGAAAACAATGAATCCCCCGAATTTCTGTTCAAAGATGACCAGAGCCCTAGAATTGGTGGAGACTTTGTTTTGGAAATGGACCTAGGTCAAGAGATTTCCTCAAATATACAGCTGAAAGCACTGACAGATAAAAGTCCATACAGAGATTCAGCATATTTCTCCGACTATGAAAACGAAAGGAGTCCACACAAAGACGGGAGCAGGTTCTTTCCGAACTCCGACAAAACACACCTCCTTAAAGATGTCAAGTTCAATTATGATGTACAACACACCAAAGCTAATGTTGATGTTGACGTAAATAGTAGACGACTCGCCACTCCCGGATTGTCCATGCTGTCACCCTTTCCTCCGGAGATGGGCGGATGTCTAACGAAAGAGTGTGCGCCCGTCGATGAAGAACTTGGATTGGAAACGGATCACAGTCCGGAGGAACTGCCTTCGGAGCTTAGTTCATCCATGTCCGAACCGTCCTCATCGGTCCAAGAAGGTTCGTCTCATCAGGAAGACAAGAAAACGGGGAACTCCTTACCGAACAAGTCGTTACAATCAAACTGTACTTTGAACGAAGACACAACAGACGGTTCGGCAGAGGATGAGGAGATACCAGAAATCAGCAGCGTCGGGAAAGACGAAGCGAGGGCTGACGTGACCATAAACGAAGACGATTTCGAAGACATTGACGCCGACTCGCAAGACAGCCTTTGCGAAGAGCCCTCCAACGGTCCGGCCAACCTGTCCACCTCCTCCTCGCTGTTAGAACTGTGCGGTGAGGACGTGAGGGCGCCCCTAGAGGAGGCGGAGGAGGAGTACGACTCGGACGACAGCGAGTCCGACGAAGAGCTGAGAACGTACAACATCCAGGAGGAGGACAGCGACGAGAGCGAGGAGGACTTCAGCGCGGTGCCGGTGGTGTTCAGCGACTGCAGCCGAGCCAGTCACCTGCGGAGCCTCCTGAAGATGCCGACGCTACTCACGGAATCTTTCTGCGAGGAGCTGGACAAGAAGAAGAAAGCTGTGTCCTTCTTTGATGACGTCACAGTGTTCCTCTTTGATCAGGTAAGAGCTGTATCTTTGGCAAGGTGGCAATTCACACTTTAAAAATCTGTGTTCTTATTCCAGGTGTTTTTTGATCATTAATAACACGCAATAGAATACACGGCTATGTCTAATACTATGAACATTCCTGAAGACTGGGGGGATCATGAGATTAAGTTATAATTCTACTACAGTTTCACAAAATGCTGTAATTTCAGATTTAAAAATAATGGGTCTACACACGTTTTGCCTCTCCATATTATTATGACAATTTTATATAACATTTTAGTTAGTAAAACAATAAAAGTTAGGAACTCCCACTATCAGATCAAGAGAGATTACCTGCCAACTTCTTTATACCCCACTCTTACTTTTATATACTTTGTTATACAATTAAGCGCTTTCCTTGTCTTGCAGGAGAGCCCAACAGGAGAACTTTCAGATTACACATTTGTCACGGACACAGAGTCACTAGAAGAGGAGGAACTTCCGCTGAAAGACCCCGAGACGCCAATGGACACTGCTCTTGAACCAGAAATCAATGACAAAAGTGTGTTGCACATGTAATGCATTGAGAAGCCTTTTGTTTTGGTGCTAACAGTTGTCATTTCAATCGTTCAGGGGTGACAAATGAATTGGAAGACGTCGTGTGTGAGCCAAACCTGCCTTCACCCAATGACCATCCCGAGAGCCTCTCCTGCCCCGTGCCCAGTCCTACCCGTTCAGAAGTCCCCAAACCCAGCTCTGTGGCCCTCAATCGTTTCATGGTCTCTCGGTTCTCAATCACACACGTCATAGATCCCAACGCGAGCTCAGTAGCAGGTAAGGGAAAAACAAATATGTTCAATACAACGCTTTCCAAATAACATCAACTTCAGAAAGATTTCACTTCTTTATTTCCAGAAACCATTGACGGCAGCCCAAACTGAGCCATGGGACACATCAAGGACATTCTCAACACAGAAAAATGATTTCCTTTTAAATGTTTTTATTTTAGACCCCAGTGATTACCCTTTATGAGAGTGCCTCATACTGCAGTGACCACTTTGAGATTATTTGCACACTTACCTTGTTGCTTTTAGGTATGAATATATGTTGGAATGTTCTATTGGTTGCAGAAAAGGTGCATATTCAATGGAACTGTTCTCATCAATAGCGTCAGTATTTATAGATGCTCCCCTCGTCGGATGCCTTTGTTTACATGTTTCATGCAACCATCTCGTTTAGTGAGAGAAAGATTATTCAAAAACACTATGAAACATACCAGTAGAAAATCCATGCAATGTTTGTCATGGTCAGAGTGGCCTTTGTTACAACTCAACACGTTTGGTTTGAGTAGACGGACATTCTTATCTAAATAATCATTATCTTTATTTCCATGAGCCTGGAGCATAAAATGAATAATTAATGAATTAAGTTAATCGCAACTTACTTTTCAGTTGTAATAAAATCCTGTCAAAGAATATAACTATGATATAAGAAGAAGCTTTCAAGGTATTTTTTCAAGATATAAAAACTATTTATGCTTTTATTCCTACTTTTTCACCTCACACGAGCGGTACAAACCCACGGAACAGGCCAGTATGAAACAGAAATAGTTTTATGTTCCTTACACTCATACAAATGTATTAAACGATTCCAAATGCTGAACGCAAGAGGTGTTTGTTAAATGTACTGTAATGTCTGAATGTTGACATTGATATGTAGCGAGTAATTTGACTTGAATTACTACAGTGGTCATAGTAACTCTCTTGTGTTATCTAGACAATAATGGGATAAACTTTTGTAAATCTGTCAAAGATTCAATTTTGAATGATTTCTCTCCGATCCAATTTGCCAAAGAGATCGTAAAAAGTTCCATAGGGGAATTGAGTGACCACTGGAGAGAGTTATTTTATGCTCTGAGTAATATGACGCTCTCTCCATTTCTCCACAATCATTACTGTTGTACTGTCAAAATAAATGCAAAATACTTTTCACTTCATGTTTATTTGCAGCATCAATTCCCCCTGTACTTTGATTATTGAGTTGACTATATTCTTTTCCATAGAACCACATGTATCGAGACCAGACACAACACAAATATTTATAACTGACATTCATTCTGTAGCATTAGACATTTATTGTGGACATTTAGACTGTACAATACAGATATGAAACAAACAGTTAAAAACAATTATGAAATCTATAGAAAAAGCAACATATTTTATAAAAAGCATTTGTTATTTTCAAAGCAGGATCTTATTGCTCAGCTTGTGCAGAAGTGGTGGATCTTCAGAGTTTTAAAACTGAGCAAGAGAGAATAATAATCACATGATAATACTGAATCTCATCAGTAAGCTACCACTCCCACAGATCTAAGAAAACAACCCATCTATTGTCATACATTTAATACTTACTGCAAGCATTGATCATTTAAAAAGAGCCCAAAATACTCATTATAATTTCTGTTGTGCTGTAGCTGGCTTATGCAAAAAAGAAAAAGAATTCATAATTTACAGTTAAAGGACTTAAACTTAAATAAGAAAACATAAAAAATATGTGCATGACTTAAAGCCAGGTCAAAAACAAATGGTTTGAAGCTGCAAAAGTCAAAAGGCACAGTTCCCACTTTGGGTACACTGTATCAGAAGTTACTAAATGCATCGAGTGCTATATCACTTAACACAATTGTACGTTTTGATATTAATAAAGACTTCCCAAATGCCATTTATACAGTGTGTAGTAATTTTAAAATATTCCCAGTAGCAGTGCAGTTGATTGCAATGCTCTAGCATAGCTATTGTAACTAGTAGCTTCTTTAATTCATAATATAATAGAAAATAAGACGGAAACAAAAAGAAAGAAAAGTTACATTTACACTGACATAACATTATGACCACATGGTGGCGCAACAGCACTGGTTTATGTGAGATACATGACACACACTCATCACCAAACACATGTCTGCTTGTATTAACCAGATGTAACCTGCCCATACTACAGTAATCTTCTCATCACTTAGTAATGCAGTAACTACTACAGTAACCTGCTCATCACTTAGTAATGCAGTAACTACTACAGTAACCTGCTCATCACTTAGTAATGCAGTAACTACTACAGTAACCTGCTCATCACTTAGTAATGCAGTAACCTGCTCATCACTTAGTAATGCAGTAACTACTACAGTAACCTGCTCATAACTTAGTAATGCAGTAACTACTACAGTAACCTGCTCATCACTTAGTAATGCAGTAACTACTGCAGTAACCTGCTCATCACTTAGTAATGCAGTAACTACTACAGTAACCTGCTCATAACTTAGTAATGCAGTAACTACTACAGTAACCTGCTCATCACTTAGTAATGCAGTAACTACTACAGTAACCTGCTCATCACTTAGTAATGCAGTAACTACTGCAGTAACCTGCCTTCTCTGTGGTCATAATGTTCTGTCTGGTCAGTGACCTCCACATGTGTCCACATCTGTTCTCGTTTTGAGTGACAGTCCACTTTAAAGAAACTATTGATTGAAGGAAACCGGGCTTCCTCCTGCTCTATTCTAAACAAATGCCCACGTCACATAAGCGTGGGCAGATTAGTAGAAGAGGGGTACAGCTCGCTCATCATTGAAAGTAGATCGGAGGTACAACTCCAGCGCTCGGTCACTGTGGGGAGAGTAGGGACGGGGTAGTGGACAGCAGCAGTTAGGATGACATCATATTGTAGACTTTTGTGTTGTTACACCTTCAAAGGCCCAGGAGAAAAATGTATTGTGCAATTGTGAATGTGAGCAAGCATTTTGAGAAATATTTGAAACTATAGGAACACATGCAAGGTTAGTGTTGCTGTATTATTAGCATGGTTTTAGAGAACTGAACAGAAAAGTGGACAGGAGAGACCAGTTCCCTGCAAGTACAGTAAAGCCAATGAGAGCCAACGAGAGAGGGATTAGTGCAGCAAAACCATAAGGGGCAACAGGATTGGCTGATGACTGGTGACTTACGGAGGCCCTCAGAGGTTCCTTTAGAACCGGGACAATTCGGGACCCAAACTGGAAGGTAAAGAGAGTTTGAATCTCTCTAATTAAACATGCATGGCTCACAGTTACATAACACTGCTGGTTAGTGAACTACAACACACATTACATTCCCAAATAATAATACATGGAAAATGGAGATTACTTGTAATAATAATAATAAAAAATAGGAAAATAAACGTGCTTAACATGCTGTGTTGACATAAAAGAGCATTCCCCCTCCCTCTTTAATATGTCTCATTGTAATCCAGATAAAAACAAAGACTTCCAAGACAAGTTCAATCCCTTTAAAATGAACTTCAACATGCCAACCACACAAACACACGCATACACATACAAACACACGCATACAATAATTCACAAAAATTATAAATGCTAGGGCTGCAGAAGAAAGGATGCAAAGCTGAAGGAAAAATTTACAAAAGCACAAAGCATGCTGATGATACACCGTTGAAATCGGTCAGGTTAGAACAAATTTCTCATCAGACCAGACTGTTTATTAATATATAGAGATATGTTTTATTTAGAATATCTTTGTAAAAAGTCACCATACATTCAAGGTCAAATTTAAGAATCACATGTTTGTTTGTCCCTCCACAGCATGCATAAGATTAACACAGGTTTTCTCAGTTTATTCTGCAAATAATCCGTATTCTTTTTTACAAGGACAATAATTATACTATATTATAAATTGAGTAAAAGTAAAAGACCAAAAACTACATCGCCACTCAGGGAATACAATTATAAATAACACACTGAGAGCTGCAAACGCTGTGGAAATCTAAAATCAAAAATCACAGTTATTCAAAGAAATTCCATAAATAAACTGCTAAGTGAGGCATTTATCCAGCTGGCATTTTAGCAAAAATATTGGGCCAAAAATGCTTTAAAACAGAACATTTTCCTGCAATGATACAGTTCAACATATCAGACTGACAGAACAGTTCATAATATAGCAAGGTATATACTGTGGTGCCGCAGCTCAAAATGGCAGCTTCACAAGCACGTATATAACTTAAAGCAAAGTAAGGCAGATATGACACACAACCGGGACAGAAAAGTCACAAGGAAGCGGAGCGACCAACAACCTCTCGATAACGCAAACATCTGCACAGCCTTACTCAGAATAAACTAAGAGCAGTGGTTCTCAAACTGGGGAGCGAAGGCCCGTCTTTCTGCCTGCAGGGCATAACCGCGCATTTACACCTGATTGAGGCATCGGGGGCTGCTCCGGAAAAGTTGCTCTGAAAATTGAAGTATTGCTCAATATCTTGGATAAAGTTCAGACTTGGTCCATTCGTTAAAGCTCACAGAGGGATTTTTCAGCTCCTGCATAAGCTCCCACAGTGACAGGCCGAAAGGAGCCTTTGAAAAGGAACGGCGTGATGGCAACTCTTCAGGGGCAACCCACTCAAAAGTTCAATGGCATTTTAGGAAGACCACCGACTGTAGCATTGTGAGGATATTAGTTTGTGCTATTTTAAACTACCATTCAAAAGCTTAGGGTCACCCAAGACACTGGATTATTTTCATGCATCTCCGTTTGAGTCAAAGAGAAGCAAATATTAAATAATGAATAAGAAATAAGTAAAGTGAAGAGATTGACTTTAAAAAGAAGTTATCTTTAGTGTTGACATAAATTCACACATGTTTTCAAACCATTTGCCTTTTGAGATGATGTATATTTATTACTACTGTTTTAAATGCATCTCTGCCCAGGAATCAAAACCCAAGGCTGAAACATTATTAAATATTATAATTATTTTTTCATAATATAATTTTAAATACAACTATTTTGATATTCACTTAGCGATTCATTGTTTAAATCTGTCAAATAAGGGATTTAAAATATAAAGTTGGTTGTTTTATCGGAAATACTTTGAAAACACAATTTCACATAATTCTGTAGTAATCATAGCTTTGTCTGAGTCATACAATGTTGTGGTCCAGGTAAGGGTCAAAAACTATTCATCAATTACTAAATTAGTTGACAAAAATTACAATAATAGCTCAGTTGTGCTTATTTTTTTATCTTATTTTAAATGTATGTGAACAAAGCACTTTGGTCGACTTTTAAAGTTCTCTATGAATATAGTTGGTTTAGAATATTTGCTACAGCCATAATTCTATCCTTCATTTCTGGATTCTGGCTCCAGATGTTATCCGGATCACCTCCAGAATGTATTCCTGTCTGACTTTTATTTCTTTCTTAACCGTACACATTTTATCTTGCTTAACTAACTCACTCACTCAAACAAACAGACAGACAAACAAACAAACCCTGGTCAATACATTCCTCCTTGTAGTAGTAATTGACATATTGAGAATGTCGAGACAGTATTCTTGATTAATTGATTGCCATCCTCACTGGAAAAAAACCCATTGCTTTTCTTTATGTTATAATTCTGCGTGACCCCACATGTTTGAATGGCAGTGTACATAAGGCCATTGAGTCAGTGGTTTCCAGATTATGGCAAAAGTACACATGATCGTGCACAGGCTTCTACTGGTCTCAAGTCCTGCTTCATTGACGAAATGCCTTAAGTCCTCCTCAGTCATTCTACAAATTCTACCATGTAAAAAACTAAAATGTCGGCAAACCTACGCTGGGATTGCATTAAGTGAAGTTTGAGAATCACTGGAGTCTTGGGAGTAAACATGTCATATGTGCTTTTTTCATAAGAAGGCCATTGAGTTGGTGGCTTCGAGTACGACGGACACTGAAGTCTTTTGGCACTTGTACAGTACATGAACATGTCTTTTCATCTCGACAAAATGACACAACCATGTACATGCAGTTATAGAGACAAGCATTTATAGCAAAAAAAGGCAGAGAGAGCGAAAGATCATCGGTCAGTGTGCACGACTCAGAGTCCGTAATGCTGCGCGCCGAGCAGAAACGGCGCGCTCGGGCTGGCAATGCAATCTTCCACCCACCAACCGCTACTGTCCACAACACCACCGGAGGCAGCAGCGAGCGACACCCAGGACAAGGGAGGAAAAGAGGAGACGAACCCGGGGAGGAAGAGAGAAAGGAGGGGTGAAACGTGGCCTCCAACTTCCAACTTGTGTGTGGAGGTAGGGGAGAGAGGGTAGGAGGGGTAAGGAAGGAAGGAAGGGGGGGAGAAAAGGAAGGAAGGGACTGGATATAGGAGCTATCCGGAGCTGTCTGTGTCTGTCTGTTAGTCTGTTTTCTCACACAGTCGAAATCAATTTGCCATCAGGACTGTCACTGTGGAAGAGAGAAGGAAGCTTGCCAGGTTCGGACACACTCAAAGAAAGAGAGAGATGGACAGACGAAAGACAAAAAAGGGCAACAAAGAGGCGGAGGTGGAAGTGTGGGCGGGGCTTGGAGGGCCACTAACCCCGCCCACAACTCCACACACGCCATCATCAGAAGATCAGACTTCCAATTTCCTCATCAACACGTTCTGGGTTTGCCATATTGTCGGGAGTTCAAATGCTTTGTTGACGAGAAAACTTAAGTCATCTCTGATAGCTTAAGATGCAGCACTAGTATAGATCTAAGCGCACCCAAACTACTGCGGAAAAACCACATTAAGAGCAGCAGACGATATGAATAACTAGCTAGCCTCAGTTTTAAGCACTTGAGATGGTATAAGTAGGATATTAATGTCACAACATATAAAAGCTAATATGGTTTTACAACACACACCACAGTACTCATTCTCTCCCATATATACTGTACACACAGGTACACACACGTACACACACACACACACACACACACACACTCGCACACAAACACACAGATATTCTCGCACACACATACCGCAGACGCAAACCCACACACACACGAGCATGTTGTTCCTCATTGGATAGAAACAGGGACAGCATAATTCCTAAGCTAACTGGCCAATGGGACCTGATTGGATTACAATTAAAACATATTGGACGGCCTTAAAATAAACAGACACTGACCCCGCTAAACTGATTTATAACAACATGAAAAAATTCAATATAATTCTAGACTTTATACGACTACAAACCATACGGCAAACATTGTATCTGTGTCTTAAACATGAGCTGACACTTACCTTGTGGCAAAGCGGCCGTCATAATCCTCGATAGCAGGCTATAAAAGAAGAAAAGATCCCAAAAGTTGAACACGATAATATACTTATACATGGTTAAAACATAGCAATTAAAATATCTAATATCTAAGCTCACGGTTTAATCTACATGTTGTTTTTCAAGCTCACCACTGGAGGGCAGCAAAGACTAACCTACAAGTTCCTGTCCATGTTTCAGCCACAAAACATTGTAAATATCCATGTTTTTTGTTGTCGTTTTTTTTTTTACATAATAACCACTTAACTAATTAGTATAATGTTTTTTTTAATTTACACACAAGCAGAGCAGAAATGGCCAATGAGAAAAATGGACAAAAGTAACAATAAGCAACACTGATATCTGTGAAAGGCCATATGGAATCTGCCACTGTTCCTATGTAGAGCTGCGATGTGCCCGCCCACCTCACGGGTTCCGAAATGAATAATCCCATGCATATTTTCCTCATTGGGAATTCTGAAAAAGCCATTCCGGCAAATACAACCGTGCAGTGGATAGAAGTTGTCATACACATACAGCTGTGTTTGCATATCTCAAAAAGCCAATGGGGATTTTGATTGGTAATGCTACTTATGGAATCAGTGGGTGGTACTTTGCTGCTCCATAATGGAAAATCTATTGTATCATCTCTGCAAAAAGCAAGAGATACTCAACTTTCAATAACATCTATGGACATTTATCAACATTTATGGACATTAGTCGTCTGCCCCTCATGAACCAATGTGTTTTTATTCTTGCATTTCTTGTGTTTTAACTGTTTTATTCTCTGATCTGTGATGGCATGGCTAACTCAACTGTTTTGTTAAGTCCTCCGAGTTAACTACTGTTGTGATTTAGGGCTATATAAGAATACATTGAATCAAACTTTTCCCGAGGAGGTCCTGAATCTTTAAAAAAAAACAAAAAAAAACGGGTCGTACCTGTGTGCCGAAGCCTGCCATGCTGTAGGGCCGGGGGCGAGTTTGTGCCAGACTTTGAGCCAGCAGCCGCGCGGTCAGGCCATAGTCGGGCGTTGGAATTGAACCGTCATTCTCCAGCAAGTTCCCTGTGCTGCTGCTTTTCCCATGGTGTAGACTGAAACCATAATTGCTCCACAGTTTAACTCACCTGGGCCCAATAAGGTGAAAATGGTGCGTGACAAAAACACTTACTTCACTCTGAGCTTATCACCTTCGCTGTCGGGCAGAACTCGAGTATAGGAGAACGGGAACCAGCCTCGCCTGCACAAACACACACAAACATATACACACACACACACACACACACCAGTAGCACACCTTGTTAAATCCAGGACAAATGTTTATTCAGTTTATGGACTGGGGCAAACAGGAATCCATGAATTCATGACTTACATCTTGTTCTTCTCGTTTTCGCCATAGTGCCAGCCGTCGCGAGCTTCAGGCACCAGGAGCGTGATGATGTCGCCCTCTGCAAAGCTGAGCAGGGTGCCGTTGTCTCCCGCAGCGTGGGAGAAGATGGCCTGAACGCGGGCGCGGCCGTTCTTCTCCAGACCGGCGGCCATCGAGCTGGATCTCGGCAGGGTTCGAGTCTCACCTAGAACGGAAACACGGAAAAGGAATGAGGACCACACAGCAAAAGAAAAGTGAACAATAACTCAAATCAAATCTAATAAATATAATCTCTGACTTTAGCATAATGAGGAAGCAAGTATGAATTTAAAGCCGCAAGCGGCGCACTGATGAAAAATCGCCGAAGTCATTTTGAAGGTACATGTGTTGAGATGATGTGGAGCAATTTTGAGGCCAATCGGTGAAACGGCCGAGGAGGAGTCGCTTTCCAACCGACGTGTATGAAAATGATTGCGGATCATTTTTCCATTTTGCAGTGAAATTTATGGGCCTCCTGTTTGTCAGAGGGCGGAGCCATGATAACCTTTTGGTCTTATCTTGACTTGAGGAACATGTGTACCGAATTTCATGGCTCTACGACAAACTTGACCTCTGAAACGCCCATTGGCTGTTGTAGGTGGCGCTGTTCTGGCATTTTTTGAGTCCCATAAAAATAAACACCAAAATATCAAATTTTTCACCAGGTCTGATGTTTGGGCAAAATTTTACAACTTTTCATGCATGTTCAGGGGGTGAAATTAAGGCTCAAAGTGCAGAATTTGACATCTCTCGAGCAAAAACAATAGGCCCTTTCCCCGTTCGGGGCTCGGGCGGCCGGGCCTAATAAACTACTGTATATTCTAGCGCCGGGTCAGGAGCTAACAGTAGCTCGCCAGCCCCTTTCAGGTAGCTCCCCAAAGGATATAGGATTTAACAGATGAACTTTTGAGTCAATACATAAGTATATTTGGGTTAGACAATATGATGACATTTGTTTCCATGTTTTATCATAATTACTACATAGATTTTTATTATGTCCGCAAAAAGGAGTAGCTCTTCGCCTCTTTAGTTGTATAAAAGTAGCTCTTCGATTGAAAAAGGTTGGAGACCCCTGTTCTAGCGCAATAAATATGTAGAGTTGGTTGCTTATGTGAGGTCATATTAACTCAACTTAAGAGAAAAAAATATATATAAAACTTCGAACAAGTGATTAGAATGAGGGAATTCATTTTAACTGGTCCATTCCAGGTTCACTTCAGGCAAAAATGATTTGTAAAAACAACAAACAAGTGACTAGTGGACTCATGTTTCACTGAAGTCAGTTTCCATCTTTTGAAAAACACATCTTTGAAGACATTTTCGCTCCATAAATTTGTTGCGGTTGTTTGAAGCTGGTTCTCCAATTTCCTTTTTTTTTTTCCTCAAACCACCATCTGTATTTTTCTCAAACACTTTAATATTGGAAACCTCACAGTCACAAATGAATATGGAGTTAGGCCTCCTGGTTTAAAGACAGATTTCATGTTTGAGAATAACGCGAGGTCTTTTACTACTACTGCAACTACTACTACTACTGCAACTACTACTGCTGCTACTACTACTACCGATACTGCTGCTACTGCTACTACTACTACTGCTGCTGCTACTACTACTACTACTGCTGCTACTACTACTACTACTGCTGCTGCTACTACTACTGCTGCTGCTGCTACTACTACTACTACTACTGCTGCTACTACTACTACTACTGCTGCTGCTACTACTACTACTGCTGCTGCTACTACTACTACTACTGCTGCTACTACTACTACTACTGCTGCTGCTGCTACTACTACTGCTGCTGCTGCTGCTACTACTGCTACTACTACTACTGCTGCTACTACTGCTGTTACTGCTGCTGCTGCTACTACTACTGCTACTGCTGCTGTTACTGTTGCTACTGTTGCTACTGCTGCTGCTGCTACTACTGCTGCTTCGGCTGCTACTACTGCTTCGGCTGCTACTACTGCTTCGGCTGCTACTACTACTGCTACTACTGCTACTACTGCTACTACCGATACTGCTACTACAACTATATATTTCCTATTTTCTGAATCAAAACACTTCTGGCAATTTCAACCCTATAAATGTTCACTCCTTTAAGAATGCAATGTTATTTTATTTTGTTGGGGTTTTTCTAACATGTAGCAACGCAAATAATACAAATAACGTCTTTTAATGGGTTTTTTCTTTTTATCTTTATTATAGGCCTTTACCAAATGGTTGAGAGGTAGTTTGTATTGTAAAATAGCCTAAAACCAAGTGAGATTCCCCAAAAAGGTAGATTTCAGTTCAAGAAGAATAAAGTAATCTACCAAGTGGTTGAGGAAACATTAAAGGGTTAAAGTAGTTTGTACTTTTTCAAAAAAATATACAAAAGTGATTAGCATACTGCACACCAGCATAAAGGCCTGGGCAAACATTCATGGGACATACTGACAGTTGAAGAGGAGAGGGGTGGAAGGAGGAGAGATGAAAGAGGGTCGAGAATGAGATTCAGAAAGCAGCTGAACCACAAGGGAAGCACGTATACAGAGCATCGGAACAGCTTTAAAGGTGATGACTAACACACAGCAATACATAGGTGATGGACAGGAACTCCAAGTCATCCCTGTTCATTCCACACACTTTTTACAGATAGATAAGATAACCTGGTTGTCAATGTTGAAAAAGGTTTGAAGATAAACTACAGTATGGACTATATGGGCAGAGAGCTGTACTGTGATCTCCAATGTTTTTGGCTACAGATTTTGTGAAGACAAAAGAAAAACGTGAATTTCCTTTGCTATAATACTTGAAAGTATGTGCATTAATATAAGTAAAGCAAACACAATTCAATAGAAAATGCTGTAGAATGCTGAGGTAAACCAGATCAGAAGGATTAGGAGCAGTAAATGGTGAAGTTGACATGAACTTGGAAGGGTTGTAATCACATAACAAAGACTGTGGCAAATCAGTTTCAGATTTCGCCTTTTCAAGTATATTCCAAAAACACAGTGATTACCCTCTAATTTATCATAATAGCGAGTCTTCTAGTGTCATCATTAGTCAGATCAAGTAAATGATATAATTCAGCCCACATTATCATTATGATTACGTCCAATCACTTGTCCATTATTAGCATTCACAGTATTTGTGTGGCTTTTGTTCTTCAGACTCTTACCGACAGGGTTCTTGTTCTTGGCAGGCTGAGGCCGGCGCACGGGCAGCGTGTTGGAGTACACGTCGCTGACCTGTCTCTGAGGCTGTGGCTGGGAGGGCCCTGGGGCCTGGGTCTGGGGCGAGGCGGGGCGCACCTGGGACACGCTCATACTACCCCCTTCTTGCCAGAACTCTTCCCCATGGACACCTGTCGTCCCATTCACCATGGTCATGCCGTCAGGACCCATCAGCCTCTGCAACAGATGATGGACACTAAGTTAGTGCCTAAATCAATATAATTGTGGCCCTTAAAACTGACTGTACCCTGGAAAGTGTCAAGGGAGAGTTTTAATTTGGTCTGTCAGCTGTGACTCAGCGTGAAATGAAGCTCATTAGAAGTAGTACCATCTTTAAGTGAGGCCGAAGAGAATCGCCACTTTATTTCATGAAGGCTGATGAGTTGTCATTAGTACACAGCAGCTCAAGACCTCCCTGAGGTATTTAAATCCAACAAGTTTTTATTTTTATTAGGGCTTCAATTATTCCAATATTCATCAACTATTTTGGTAATCCAGTGAATTCATACACACTGACTCAAAACAGGCTGTATACACTGTAGATGACGTTTTAAGTCTCAAATGGAGCAATAATTGCTTCCAGAATGACAGTTTTTGTCTGGGGAAATATCCCACTCGGATGCTTTTAAGCAAAGTCACAACTGTTAGTTAATATAAATATGACCAAATATGGAACACAAAAGAGGGGAGATGTTGAACTCACTGCAGGATGTCCGAGGCCACTTCCCATGAAGACGGCTAGCTCTGGAGGCACAGGGAGAGGCGTGGCTCCTGGAATGGGGTCCGAGATGACCAGGTTGGATTTGGAGGTGTGCAAGGGGCTGGTTCCCCCCAGGGCAGCAGAGCCCATCTGCTGGGCCAGCAGCATGGCTCGGTCTGGCAGCTTGTTTGGATCTGAACAAGCTTGCTGCCATACAGGGATCTTCTGTGTCAGGAGGTCCTTACCCTGCAACAAATTAAGAGGATGAAGTGTGAACATTCAGTCATACACAGCGCAGTGCAGCAGCCTTGACCACTGGGCTCTCACAGCTATGGTAATGCAGTGCGTGGGAGAGACAGAGGGACAGTGTAGCACATGGCCGACTGCCCACCTGCACATCTCTGCCCGTGGAAATGTGTGTTCTTCAACTAAAGCAAAAGGATTTTAATGGACTGACGACCTCATGCACCGTATAGATCCTGCCTTTATTTCAACGCCCAACACAGACAGAGAGGGACCCTCAGGGAAAGGTTTTTTTTCATCCGCTGAAGGTGAATTCTTCCCACGCACAGCCCATCTTGATTAATGACTAGACTATGTTGAAAAGAGAAGTGGCGATACAGTCCTTCTCTAGCCACATCTCCAGGCTGGCAGTTTACTCCCACTAATAATCCCTGGAGAAGGACGATTACCCAAGAATACAAAACTGTTGGCTGCTTTCAGGCATGCACCAACAGAGACACATTTTCAGTGCCAGAGAAAACACAAAGAATAAGGTTTGATAGTCATAATATAGGGCGCTGTTAAAGACTATGAGCATCTCGGGAAATACAGAGAAACAAAGAGCTTATCATCTGAACAACATCAAAGTGACCAGACGTTGGAATGAGCAAAGATAGATGAGTGTCAGTGGATGGATTTAAAACAATACTCAGAGATGTTAGTCTGCAGAATAAAATAAAATAAGGCCACACTTAATGTCATATTGTGTATAATATGTAATTGCTGTAAATTCTATAACTGATTCCTGTTTATGAGCTTGAAAAAAACCCAATCAATCAATATAATCATGTTTTCTTTTCAACTATAAACACTGTGTTTTAGTTATAGCAGTGATTTCTGATTTAAACATACAAGAGTGCTGTATAAACAGGCACTTGCTTCAACAAGCTCCTGATGCATTCCGTAAGGGAGTTCGCAGCCCTCAAAGTATTCCACTTACACGCAATTAAAGACCATGTGACCGTTCACAGGATATAGTCAAAACATATACAAAACTAAGAAATACAATAATAACTGTTCTGCTATTTTAAGTCTTAACAAAGACAAGGCATAACTTTTGTTCAATCAATCCATTTAGTTTCAACCAAGCAGAGTAGAATGTAATAATAATTTCATTGTGGTTATGATAATATTAGTGACTTCTAGTTGCATTTCAAAGCCTGGATGATGCAAACAGTTCACATATTTAGAAAAGTCTTCAACGCCAATGCACGCTTTAGAAAAATATATATGATATTGAAGCATTTACAGCTGGCTAAGAAACACAGGAGCTACTTATATTGTCTATATTGTGTTTTGTGTGCTCTTACTACTGTCCTATATGTGCGCTGCAACATTGACATTTCCCCACTGTGGGACAAATAAAGGATCTCATCATTAAAAGCACTACCATAAAATGAAAGATATAGAAAAACAAAACTGGTTATTTGCATAATCACAACATAGTTACCACCAGGGCTGCACGATATATCGAAAAAATATTGTTAACGCGATATTTGTTCGTGAGATATTCATATCAAAAAGATGCGCAGTAAAAATATATGTATTTTTTTCCTTTATTCAAGACAACAAAACAGACACACATCAACAAGAACAAACAAACACAAAAGTATATAAATATGTGCATTTGAATGTCATTAATGTATTTTTTTTTATTTGTCTCTTGCGTTTCAATGCAGATTGCAATTTTAGGTGAAAGACAAAAATATTGCAAGATATCGTTATAATTTACAATATTGTGCAGCCCTCGTTACCACTATGACTCCCAGAAATCTGAATCTACTAGATCTTCAGAAAGGAATTCATAAAAAAATCTGAAATAAAAGTAATTTATAAAAGTATTTTAGTTTTGTTTACCTTTACTCACTTTTAATAAGTGCTAAAACTGATAGATATATAAATACTGCAAAACACTTTGGGGAAAGGCTACCCAATTCCCACTGCTGCAAGTTTGGCTCTAACTGTGAGAGATGTGAGTTCTGTCCCCAGTATTCAACATGCAATGATCAGTACCTTGCCATGGTATGCACTGCTGTTCTTGGCCACAGCGCACTGACGGTCCACGAGGAAGCAGTACCGACGGCGCTCCTCGGACAGAGCGGTCTTGTAGCCCTCAGCGATGAAGGAGTCCAACTCTGTCTGTTTACCGCTGATGGTCTCCACAAACTACAGCACAGACAAGACAAAAGACACCAGTCAGTGAAATACATTCAGGCTATGTTCATGTTGTAGACTTCTCTTTCAGTTTGCGATCAGGGAATACAACTCTGGAGGAAAGAAATGTTGAAAAAGAAAAAAAAGAATCAAAAACCTTCATGAGGAAATAATGAGACCATAGTCAATGTGTTGGAACTTTGCCACAGTCTTGTTTATTCCAGATTGCTCCAGGAGTAAACTAAGACAGAAAAAGTCTGATTTTTGACAGTTACCATAGTTACCATTATTATTTTTCAGCTGCCCACAATGTTGAACTGTAGGCTCTTTAGAAAGTTGTGACGTCACATATGAATGCAACCAATAAGTAATTTGTCTAATTTATTAAGTGTGACGTTATCATATTCGTGTATCTACTGTATATCTGTCAGTCAGAAGTTTTTCTTGCTTGGAACATTTATGGATCAGTCCAACTTTCTAAAGATTTAATACTATTTTTCCAGCTACAAATACACAGGACAAAACTCTCAGTCTCACTACAGAAGAGACAATATGTTATTCTCAGCTCAGAGGGTGTTATGTGATGCCACTGTTGCGCCTGTGCCAAACCAATCACAGGTCAAGTGCAGTGGGGGCGGGTCCTGGCTCAAAAATGTCCATGAGCACGTGCACTGACATGTTTGGAAACTGGCTCCTTGCCTGTGGTGGTGTAGCAGGAAACAGAATTATCCAATACATTCTTATAGTGCCTTTTTACCCTCAGCTTTACAGGATGGTCCAAAAGTCTACTCTTGGCTCAACGCTACGTTCCAGATGCTGTTAATGCTGAAGGGAGTTTTGTTTTTTTTGGTTTTTTTTTGGAGCGGCCTAGTTTAATTTCTGTGGAAACGGGTTGAATGAACGCCATGTGTCAGACTTGTCCCGGCTAACACATGCGCAATTGAATCAGCCTCCTCTCCGAAAGTGTATTTTCACCATTTTCCTGCGGGAGGGGCTGCTCGCGGCCATTTTGAGCCGTGGTGATCACACAGAAACTTCTAGGAAGGCAATAGGCGCAACTACATACGCTATTATTTACAACCTATGTTCAAGTGTGTCGGTCCATTCTGTCCACACCTTTTCACTAAGTTTACTGGACAGATTCACCAAGTGCTACTCAGGAAATTGTGTGAGAAAAACGCCAGCGGCACGTGGGAAGACGGGCTCAGCTCACACCAAGCATTTTATATGTTAATGATGACTATCACAAGAAACCGGTGCAACCAAGAAAGAGCGACGTTCAGAGAAGACCAGAAAAGCCCCAACCCTGACCCTGTAAAACAATATTGTAAACATGTAATGTGAAAGATCGTTTAAAAAGTGTGACGGCAGGTTTGAAAGGTTTACCGACTAATATTCAAAACTTAACAAACCAGTAGAATAGAATAATTGTTTAGCATTTTGTATATGAGAAAACTGCCCAAGACTAATAGCTGCTGCTGCTGCTGATTTTAAAGGCCCCTTTTTTCATCATCATGTGGCAATGGTACACAACCTTTAAAACTCAATCATCCCTTAATTCTCTTCGGCGAGCTGGTTTTAGCGTCAGAAAACCAATTAAAACTTGCAGTTGACTAGTGTGCCTTACGCCGTTATGATTAACAAGGCTAGTTGCATCCCCTCAAGCGTCTCATTGTTTATGTTTCTGATAAAAGGCTCTAATGAAGTTATGAGAGCGGTGTGAAGTCAGTTCTGGACGTTCAGGCAGGATCCACCGGGGGCGCACGGCACAACCTCATCTCCTCTGACAACAACCTGAAAGCTGAGGAGCGTATGGGCAGGTCTGGTGCTGTGCTGTACCAGTCTCTTTGATGGAAACACTGGGATAGCTGATCTTTTAGAAGCAGTCTGTATATTTGTTTAATGTGAGTGTTTTTTGGTGTCCGTCTCTTGTTTTGATGTGGACCTAGAGTCTGGATAAATAAATGATGATGATGAGGATGTATACAGAACACGCCCAGCAAAGGAACGGAATTGCACACACTATCGCACAGACTAGATTAACTCTATCACCAAAAGTCAGACTGATAAAGGATGAATAATATACCACAGACGACACAAAACACATTGATTTATGATGAACTGAGTGAAATGCCTCAAATGGAAAAGAATTGCAGACCTCCAAAAGTGTTAAATCCACCCATACCTCTGAGTTACTATTTGTTGCTAACAAACAAACAAACAAACTGAGGTGATTACATGGCATAGGTGAAAATGGACGTCTGATTACACCTCCAGGTTTGGTTGTGGAGGTGTGAAGCAATTTGTAATCATTATAATTAGTCTCAACCATTTTGGCTCAAATGTAAAAAAAAAAAACTAATGTTCAATTAGAGTGGCCTTTAAAATATATAATTATTAACAACTAGTGTTAAATTATCTCTATATTTGCGCATTTTTCTAGAGAGTTGGAAATCTTTATTAATATAGCACATTTCATGGATCAAGTCACACACTTGATCCATGAAATGTGCTGTATAAATAGAGATTTCCTACTTTCTATCAGTCACAGACACACCATTTGATAAGAGCTGCCACATTAATATCAGACTGGTTCAAGTTTTAACCGTGAGATTTAACATTTTAGAAATAAGAAATATTTGAATGACGTTTATCAAGCAGAGCTAAAGCTATAGATGCTGAAAATCAAACTAACAACTGTAGGAAAAGCCTTTCAGATTATTTTACAAAAGCTGCGTTGGGACAAAAATCTATCTTGTCCGCTCTCCGCTGAGCCCGAGTGTCAAATCAGGAAGGTAAAAATGATGAACGTTCTTCCCCCTCGAGAGCACGCTGACCTTATTCTGCTTTTTCTGCACCTTAAGCTCCAATTAAGAGCCCTGACACCGGTGCAGTTTGCCGCTTTAGCGCAACTCTAATGAAATAGGTAGAGAAAGGAAGACTGGATGACCCCCCCAATCCACACTTATATTCCTGCTCTTGTTTTTCCCTTCACCTGTGAAACAAGTTAAAGATAGTGATTTGGTATGAGTCACGCTCCATGCTGCAGAGAAAGAAGTGGCAAAAATTTGACAGACTGAGCCAACATAAAGGCAGACACAACTGGACACATTTATGAATGGATCTGTGGAGCTGAGAATGTGGTTTCTCCGGCCCATTATCACTGTTCTCTATAGTATGACCATTGCATTAAGAAAAGATGGAGTGATGAGCAGAACATACGGCATATACTGTAACATACAGTGACATAATTTATGCTAATCAGTAACGCTAAAAAGCAGATGATTTTCCTTTGGCAAGTACAAGCAGAATTGTATGTGAATATATACAGTCTATTAATGGCCTATATTTTGCTTGTTCCTGCCTGAATGTATAGAACAATGTGCAGGAATAAATCACTGGTTCAGTCCTACACAACGATGCTAGAAGCAGTCTGTTGACAACCTGTTTTCCTCTGAGGAAAATTCTCTTTGTTAAAAGAAGCACATTCAGGTCAAATCCATGACACTGACCCAACACTCAAGGGCAGCAGACAGAAGCTAAAATTACCAGGTAAATAACCCAATTTGTTTCCCTTTTTTATTATAAAAAAGAGAAACATGTAGAGATTCAACAGCAACAACAACACAATAAGGACAATTATGATACTAATTTCAAACCATGTGCAATGAGCAACACCTAAAGCTGTGGATATCTGTAAACGTCTCTAAACTCTGACACATTGAAGATTATTGTTTAAATTATTGTTAAAAATCTACATCCATGTGATCACTTTATGGCAAACAGAAAGGGCAGATTACAAAGATCCTGGCCTGTGTGCATGGCTCAACGCAGCATTAGGTCCAAGAGGTCCAAGAGGGCAATGAACTAATAATGGAGATTGAATTTATGGATTTATGCTTCTGCTCGTTTGTGAAAGCGGGTTTTTTTCATTTTATGTAGGTATACCAACAGCCATAATTGTAACCTACTCTTAATCACTCGTATACAGAAATAAGTTTTGTTTTTCTACATTTTAAATGATTTATGTACTTGTCTGGTGCACACAGGGGACTTTTGCAAATGTATTCCAATGTGGTGTTACTACAAATGGAAAATAAAATGAATCGGAATCTAATTTGACTATTGACGATTGTCCATACATGGCATTTTACCTTATGTAGGACTTATAGACATGATTTTGGTTTGTAGTCACAATTATTACTAGCACAAAATTGCATATGTTTTGTTTACATTATCACACTAAAACACTTGGTACTCAGGCAAACTCTCAGTCAATGGCCTCATAAATAGAATAGGGTCCTGATCATATTCTTTTTACGTAACTCCGCTGAGATCCACTGTATTTGCTCTAAAGTATTGTAGGTATTGATAATCCTGCGTAGGACCGTGGCTGCCTGTACGGGAACAGAAAATGGTTAATACCTTTCTGCAGTCTAGAGGATTTTCTGCAATGCCATACAGAGCTGCTTTGGCATTGGCACGCTATTCTACTTTATCGGGGAGAAAAATATAGCAAAGAGCTTTTGTTTGTGCAAGCATCAATTTATAATAACACGCCAACTCCTCGACACTAGGGTTCTTTTATTGCTCCGAGCAGAAGAAACCTTTATCAAATATCATATTTAATTCAAACTCTATCTTCAGTGGGACTTTTATTAAGGAAGTCGGAGCATCCAGAGTTCATTCTATTGAAATTCACATTACTTTGGTCCACTACAATTGAACTTCTGTACATAATGAGTAGATTAGCATATTTGGCAAAGGTTTTGTATCTTGAAATACAGGGGCTGAAGAGACCCTGGCGTTGGTAAAAGAAAATCACAATGACGAACAACGGGAAGAGGCCAGCTGCGTGGGTCCCTTATTAGACTTTTTAATGAATGAAGACGAAAGAATAGAAAAATCACCATACCTTATCTGCTAAAGGAACTCAAATACTGCAGAATTACATGGCGGGATTAATTTGATTGTATAGCTATTGCTGCAGGTATAGTTTTACATATATTCATTTATGACCTTATAATTTGCGTTGCATTAATGCTTAAAACTACATGCGTCTACATTCATAACAAAACACATTGATCCTTTTTTATTCAAACCACATTCTCTGATTATTCATTCCAGTCTGGGTGGACAGTAATCATGGGGAAGGATGACATATTGGCCCAGTGTCTTAACCTTCGTCTGTGTGAAGTCCTCGGGGAATCTCTCCACAAATGAGTTGACTTTTCTCTCTCGCAGAGAGATCAGTGCGAGTGAGCAGGTTGGAAATGAGAAGGAGCTTTAGGTTATTGCAGTGGGCTAACTGTATGTTATGAGAGCAGACTGGGATTTGGTCAGTCGGCCCAAATGGGTCCACATTATCAGCCACAGATCCTCCATGAAGGTGACGTCCACTACATCCAACAGGTGGAAGTAACAGCAAGAAACAAGAAAGTGTTCTCAACAGGACATAATGCACTTGTGTCTATACTTCTTTATTATGCTAAAGTCAGACTTTTTGTACGCATTATACTAAAGATAGAGATTTTATACTTGTTTCTTCTTCAGGCTAAAGTTAGAGATTTTTATTTTATTCCATTTAGTATAGAGTTATTGTTCATTTATCTTCTGTTGTGTGCTCCTCATTCCTACTGATCTGTAACCAGTGATGCAACACTGACATTTCCCCACTGTGGGACAAATAAAAGATCTTTTAATCTAATAAACACTGACTCCCGTGTCTCATTAATGTACATAGTGAATTTTAAAAGCTTGGAGCAAAATTGATGGTGTTTTGGTGGATTCAGAAACAGATACTTGCACTTAAGCAACCTCTTCCCTTTCTATCTCAACTCCACTGTCCAATTAAGCTGTTGCAAATCTGCAACGCCTGCCTGGATAGGGTTAAAGTGACACGTGAAAATGACACACCCATGACACAGTGAGAAAAGCAGTGTGAGAGCGCGGCCGTGCCAGTCCGGGAACATATGACAGGTCCAGGCAGACAGGAAGCCCACAGCGAACACGCCAATCATGTGCATGAGGAAGAGCACAACAGAAGGTTCAAGAATAAGCCTTTTAAACAAATCCACCTCCAAATATCAAACTATGCCGAAACTAGAATTTCTCTGTGAGAGGTATATGTGAAGATTGTACATATGTGTCCTTATTTATTTCGGTGTTTGGTTTTAGTTTTCCTCTTCTAAAGTATCAAGGCTTCACCTCTTTGTTTTAGGTCAAATTTCTGAAAAAATAGTGGCAAGAAAAAGGGTTGATTGATTATTGTGATTATAATCCAATCATGAGAATCTGTTTCATTCCACAATAGGAATATAGAGTAAACAAATTGAGATAAATACTACTAGATAAAAAATTAGAAGGTTTAAAATACATTAAAACATAGTATATTCACATAGAGTAACTTTATTTGACTATGCGACTTGAATTGTGCATAAAAATGGGAAGAAACAAAACATCAGCTGCTTTGAGCGCGATTCCAGTGATGATAAGAAGGGTAAAGTATTTGCTATCCATGTTTTAACCCGGTTGGATTTATTGAATTTAGAAATCCATATTGAATTTCTTCCCGTTGCTCGTTCACTGCCATCGCCTGCAGCTCTGATCTCTAACTCCTCCCTTGTTTGCGAAGGCTGCTTCTCTAATTACCCATCACTACTGACAATAATAAGTGGCAGGGCTCAAATCGCCTAACAACGTATACCGGCGCTCTAAACAGAACGACTATGGCCACTGTGCACACACCGTCACCCGGATTCAAGGGGAAAGGACGGTAAGCATGAAGCATCACTCAAAATCTATCTCACTAATCACTATTCATTTCTTCTGAGCAGGTCTGTGGCAGTCTGTTCTAACGTGGTTTTCCGTGGTCATCAAACAGCCTGAACTTAAACCATGACACAGAACTAGGCCATCGCCATCATCCTGTTACTGCTGCTAAGTCCAGTGATAGTAATAAGATGTGAGGATGGCCCACAGTGCACTGGGTTTAGACGGTAGACACCAGAGACACGTGGACTACTGACTAGATCACTTGGCATTTAAATACAGATTTGTTTTAATTGTTCATAAGCATCAAAGCCAAACTGCGCTCTGGGTATTGAAAGTTATGAGACATAGCTGTACCTAATCTAATACACTAAGCTTTGAATGAGAGATAGATTTCAGCCACCAGTGTTACTTACATCTTGCTTCTTATTACGCTAAAGTCAGAGATTGTATATACTTAATTCTTAATTATGCTAAAGCTAAAAATCTTATTACGCTAAAGTAAGACATTTGCGTTACTGTTCATTTATCTTGTGTTGTGTACTCCTCATTCCTACTGTTCTGTCACCGGTGTTAATCTTATACTGTATTTTCCAATTTACTTTAGTTTATACATTAATAATGAATTGATATTAAACTTTCTGCAAGTTCTCTCTGCCTTTTTAAATAGTGCATCATTTGTAAACAACACATACATTTGAGGGCAAAGTTAAACCGTTACAGTTCTCTTCTATTTTAAAATGACATATTAGAAAAAGAACACTCGCTGGGAGTTGATTGGCTATTGAAGAGTGGTTATCCCAAACTGTTCTAAAGCCATTCTTAAGAAACAAAGCATATGAGTTTGGCAGATTGTTTACTTGTTAAACAGTTTTAAGTCTTTTGGTGAGTAGCGGTGGGAGTTTAGCCTTTTGAGTAATCCTTATAATACTATAGACTGTAAGGTCCTGTTTAGACAGAGACGCTGCGACAGTAAAACGTTAGAGTTGAAGACTGTTTCAGGGGGGTCAAAACGCAAGTGTTGAGAAACAGCCTCCTCTTCCCCGCACGTACATTTGGACATGCGCAGTAGCCGAGAACAAACGTAAACAACAATGGCGGCGGGTACACTAATGCTACGTATGCTTCGAGCGCTACACAAAGGGGGATTCTTCTAGTCAGCTTTGCATGTTTTTGTCCAAACTAAACAACACAAAGCTGTAGTTTCAGTTTCCATTTTCGCAGCTGCTGTTAAATGCCTAATGATGTTGGTGGATTCTTTCACGACTGTGCAGTGACCGGAGGAGGATGTTGTTGAGGTGGTGAACATACTGGTGCGGGGGCTGGGGGTTGCGTGCGTCGTGTTGTAAAGTTCCACTGCCCACTACCGACCGTGCGCCTGAACTACATTGTTTTCAGGCGTTGTCTAAACGTTTCACAGGAGCCTGGTGGTTTGTGTTTGCTTTGCAACGTCTCCGTCTAAGCAACAGTAGCCAAATAAGATGCATAAAAAACAAAACAAAACAACAACAAAAGCCTCAATACAGTCCTTGGCTGCAGGATCACCTAAACTCTGCCAGGGAGTTGTACAGATGATCCCGGTTCATATCGTTAATAATTTTATAATGCTGAATTCAAAGTGCTTCCAGGTTGAGCGTCTGCAAGCATGGCATAACCTCATACTCTCATTTCCCGTGCAAAAAGCAAAGAGAATAGAACACACAAGGATGTGTAAATATTATTGCCTGGTTAGTATTCATGCCATAACCTTTCAAAGCTATAATCACGGGCAGCATTAAACATGTACCCTTTCATTACATTAGCTATTTATTCCAGTGTTTTGTGAAGATGAGCTGCAGATAGGACGAGGGGCACGCAATTTCAAACCTCCGCCATTCTCCATCCCACACGCTTTATGCATTTGCCACAGCCTCCACCTCCATCTTTGCTTGTTTTGTAAAATCAAATTTACTTCATGAAGAATAAACCTATTATTTAGTAATAAGTCTCTGCAGCCTCCGGTCTCCCACATGAGTGAAAACAGAAGGTGAGCAGGCAAACTTATGGAGAAGTGGACTTAACAACTGCCTTGTCGACGTCTAAGCCACAGTTTAATTTGCATTGATTGGTGGATGTTGGAGAAATTCTCCTTTGACCTGCTTTTCAGGTTTTGGAGCTCAAAAACTCGCTGTTCTTACTTGTGATTATTAATTACTTCCTGGTTGTACATGTTAGATTAAAAAATGCTTACAGCGCCATTTCCTCAACATGTAAATCTACCCCTTGCTCAGTTCTGCAAATAGTAATCATTGTGCAATAATGCATGTAGTACAATACAAATACAATACAATACAATACAAATACCCGTTAAAAGCATCCCCTTTAACTGGTGATGATGAAGAGAACAGTCTCTGATGCAGACGCAGACACATACCTGCATCTCCTTCTCTCCGTACTTGGATGGGTTCTTGCTGCCCTGGCTCTTCCGACGCAGCTTCTTGAGTTCACCCTGGCACTTCTCCAAACTGTCCCCTTTGTTTTTGTGCTCCACTTGGTATTTCTTCAGAGCCGCCTATACAGACAACAAAAATACAATTATAAGAGTTGAAAGACGAACAGCATAATTGAGCATAATGGAGCCTGATAAAGGCCCTCTTCAACAGCTCTGATCAGCTGCTAGTTCTAAATCCATGCATCGTCACCCAATGATTAAAACCACTATGGCTTTATCCCTTCAAATGTCAAATATTTATTTCATTGATTTAATTTCTGCATTAGATTATGAAAAACAAATTTGTTTCTGATCTAGCAGTGCAGTTGCTATAGCAACTGTGCCTGGTGTGACAAAGCCTGTGTGGTTAGTTTCTCTGCAGAGAACTGGCACACGAGGGTTCGACAGCCGCATTTACATTTAGTCAAACACCGAGTTTGGAGGTCTCCTGTTCCTTCACAAGCACATACAACGACACACAATGTACGTTGTCATAGTCGTCATAGCAACACAACAGCGATATAGTGACCGTTTACTAATATTCAGGAATGAACGTCAAGTGTAAAGATTATGGGATGTGCATAAATGATTATGATTTCCTCAATAAGTAAACACTGCATTATGAATGTGTTTGGATTCTACAGCCTTAGGGATACACAAACAAAATCAAAGATGTATAAATGGCTCTTAAGTTCACCATGCCTCATGTTTCAGTTTATGTAACAAACTATTTGCTACATTTTTCTTCTTCAGAACAAACTGATTATCGATTATGACTTCTGAAAGATACATTCCATCCATCCATCCATTTGACTCAATGATGGTCCCAGTGTTAGAACAACCACAAACAATGCAGTGCGCTCTACTTTTCATATGGATCATTTCATTTCCTCAAGTGGAGGTTCCCCCTGTGGAAAGTCCCCAGCTTGTATTACCATAATGGATACACAGATATGCAAGTGGGTTATGTTGGGAGCTCGCTTTTAATTTGCAAGGTCAACAAGGTAACATTGGAGATGCACAATTGCTGTAAGACAGTTGAGAGGAGAAGATGTATCTATTGTTATTTCATGTGTGTGTCATTCTGAAAAGCCGGGAGGAGGATAACAGAATCAGACACTGCACAGCTGGATCCCAAACACAAGAGCTGTGTGGTTTTTCTTTGGAATCTTTTTGAATGAAGCAATAAAAAAGGAGGGAATCAGATTACAAAACATGTGTAATTTTTCATTATCACTGTTGTAAAATAAATATCAGGAAATTTAGATTAGTGACGCACAGAATATGAATGCTGCTGTATGTTTGAAGTCAACAAAGATGACTTCAAACATCAGGAATGGCATTTAAAACAATTACCGGTACATTCATATCAAAATGCCTTATTACACACTATTGACCAGTGCAAACCACATAATTTTACACTATTCATCTTACAATAGGTGAGGGTCTGGATCTCTGTCCCTGGCTTCCATTTCTGAGCTGTGTTTGGTCACATTTGAATGGAGTCACAATAACATTAGTGTCTCAGTAGTAAGCAGTGAAACTTTTCTATTTATTTGTATTTTAAAATAAGTGTGAAACATGAAGCAGATGCCATCTTGAATGTATGGCTGTGTCCAAATCGAAGCAGAATACCTCCTTGTCCAGCCTTGTGCTTCCAAAGTGACCTTTGATGAGACCAGGTTTGATAGAGAGTGACATTTAACCCCATTTTCAGAAGTGTATGCTGCCAATGTTGTCAAATTATGCCACAAAGGTCAATACAAATCAGGAGGACCAACAAGGAGGCAGAAACACATAAAAGTCAGATGCAGGGTTCCCAGTTCTGCCATCTTTGATTGGAGATTGAAGATTTTCTACTCAATCTACTGTGTGTCAGCATGTAGTAGAAGCTGGTTATGGATATATTATATAATTTGGATTAGGGTAGCATGGCGGTGGACTACCTGCACTCCTGCAGCATCAGCCGCCTACAAAGTTTAGATTCTGTGGAAATTGTAGTCTCATTTGTCAACAAGACTTTTATGTAATAACCTTGGCTCGTTCTTGTTGAGTTGAAAACAACGTGAGCAAGCGCCGCTGTTCACAGTCAGCGGTGATTGGTCAGAACGCTGGACTTACCTTACACTGGGCACCAACTGCACAAGACCGGGATCCTTAGGTGACCAAAAATGTGTCATGGTGCGAGCAAGCGGCAATAAGCACGATGTAATAAGGGGCTTAGGTCACTGCTGCCCCAAGCCCCAATCTGGCAGGTCAGACTACTTTGGTATAATTATGATAGTAATGCATCAGGATATTATATAGCGCTTTTTTGACACTCAAAGCTTGAGTGCTTCACGCGTCATTTTTATTTCACTCCAAACATTGTGATGATAAACTACTATTGTAACCACTGCTGCCCAGGGGCACACTGACAGAAGCGAGGCAACCAGTATGGATCATCAGCCCCTCTGACCACTACCAGCTATTCACACACACACACACAAACCAGACTCATTCTAGGCAACATAGGTGAAGTGTCTGGTCTAAGGACACGACAACAATTTGAAACTTTACAGCTGCAAATTGTGGCACCTGGTCTACCCAGAGGTCTCCCATCACAGCACTAACCAGATCCTTCCCAGCTTTAACTTCAGAGGTCTGACGGGATCTGGCTTTCAGTTATATGGCCACAAAGGTACACAATCATCTTCTGTCCTAAACAATATTTGTGAATTCACTGGTAAAGAAAAAGAAATAAGAAAAAAAAAAATCACAATGAAAGCAAACAACTGTGTGGCTAAACAGCTCGTAAATGTGGCCTCTTCCAACCATACAGTAATAACAAAATTATCCCATCCCCCAAAACAAGGCAGCGCGCTCACTCCGAGGCAGCAGCCCACTCATTCTAAAGATATCACATGAAGCCCAGCACGGCTTACACACACCAGAGCAGCGCTGGATAATAATCAGTCTGCACTCAAGGGTGAGCACACGTCTTCAAGCCACACTTTGATGCACGCTTTATCGTAACCAAGTGTTGCTATCGTTTGTCAAAGACTTTCCCATACGGCGGCTGATTAAAACCTGATCAGATACTCACAGTGAGATAGCGGGCATCGAGGTCCACCTTCTTCTCCAGCTCAGACAGAAGCTCGTTGTGGAAGCATTTTAGCTGCACACAAACAAACGGCAAAAATCAATCAATGGGCAGCGACACGGCTCACATTCACAACATCCGTGTGTCTGTGTGTGGCCCGCATCTACCGCTGTGGTCCTTATCGATCGCTTTTATGAGTATCAATCTGTGGAAATTGGTGTGCAGAAATGTGTTGAAACTTGTTGGACTTTGAAAAAAGAATTAGTAAACAGATTGCAGCATGTGGTATTAACCCTTTAATGGTTTCACTTGAAGCTTGGAACTGAATTATAACTCTTTGGGGCTTGGTTTTTAGTAACTTTTACCATCAAACTGCATCTTAACCATTTAGTAAAGGCCTATAATTTAAAATAAATGTGTTATTAATGCGCCTAAATGTTAGAAAATCCAAAAAAGAAAAACAAATAAATTTCTTTCTTCAAACAGTGAATTTTAAGGGGGAATTTTGGGAGATGTTTCTACCAATTAAACAGAAATAGAAAAAGCAATACTCTTTTTGATAGTCGTCTAGTCAATTAATCGATCGGCAATTGCATTAGTCGACTAATTCTTTTAAATTACACTTCAAGAATTTCTGTGGACAAACTGCTAATTTGCTCTATGGCTTCAGATTTTTAAGCTTTTTTCCATTTTTTATTCAAGCGAGATCAAACCCTCACAGTAGTATTTTTTGTGATTTTAAGCCTTAATTGTTTCTAGTTTCCAGAATTTTTGCCACACCCCCTTTATTTTGACTAATCATTCACCTGGCCATGTTTTTAGTCAACCACATTTTATTTTGAATTTATACATATGCTAAAAGCGTCTTTCAACAAGCTGTTACGAGTTTGAACAGAGCACTTTAAATGATCTTACATTTGGTATTGAAACTATTATTGTCGAACAATTTCACAGTGTCAATTGTTTGCTGTTTTGTTTGTTTTGTTTATGTACTTTTAGCCTTGTTTTGTATATGTACTTGTCTTGTCCACACTGGGGACTTTTGCAAAGTTTTTCCAATGTGGTTTTCCTGCAAATGGCAAATAAATTAAACTGTGCTTATTCTCTAAATATATGTGACTCTTTTTCTGTTCAATGGGGAAATATTTTTTTTTAGGAGTGCGGCTTTTACGATCACCATTGTTTAATTTTTATAGTATTTTAGCATTTGCAAATGAGAGCAAAATCCACTTTTTTTTTGCTGATAAACGGTATAAATGAGTGTCCAATAGTGTTGTCTACATATCCTGGTCATAATTTTGTCACTTTGGTGAAAATTAGTGTAAAGTTAAACTTTCTGGCTAAAACCGTCTGTGAGGCGCCATCTGCTGGCGACCTGTATTACTACATTTGAATTTTGAATCTGGCGCCAACACTGGCGCGGCAGCAAGACCTGACGTCAGAAGCAAGACCTGACGTCTGAAGCAAGACCTGACGTCAGCAGCCCCCCGCCCAGAGCTATATAAACGGCCCAGTCTCGTTCACGCCCCCTTCAGTCCTCCAGGCTACGCCCATTTAGAGGAAGATTTGAACAGGAAATGTGAGTGACGTAAGCTCCGAGGAGCGGGGGTGAGAACCACTTTAAAGACATCATTGGGTAATCATCATTTTAATTGATCTTGATTTTTGATTTAATTTTTTTCTCAGGTGTAAGTCTGATTAAATCAATTAATCACAACAAATAGTTTTTTCTCTCTAAACTCTCAGTAAATGCTTAATCGTTAACTGCTGCATTCACAGATTCCAACATATGTAAGGGTAAGGCAGAAAATTAAAACATTTTTTAAATGTCCTCAGATGAAGTGACACAAAATATATAGCAGCCTTGACGACTAATCAATCAATCAAACTAAAGAACTACCACTAGAATCATACATTTTTTAAATAATTACAGCCCTGGTCGATACATTCAGATACATTTATTTACACAACGGTTTTCAGTCGGCCACAACAACCGAAGTAGCAGATAAATCCTTTCTATAGTCTAGACCAGTGTTTTTCAACCAGTGTGTGGTGGCACATTAATGGGCCTTGGGAAATACTCCAATATCACATAACAGGTCAAAATAATGTGAGAAGACATTTTTTTTTTTTTTTGCACTGGTTTAATTTTCTTATATCTACTTTAATTAGAATGACTTTACTTTCATACTAAAAGTTGCAAAGTGTCCTGTTTGTATCAGTTTCAGCTGGTTGTGTTTCATGTGAGTGTTTTCGACCCAAAATGGTGTGCCACGACTACAAAAAGATTGGGAAACACTGGTCTAGACAGAGACAAGAACATCTCAAACTTACGCTGGGTCAAAATTAAAAACCTGCCTCCAAACTTTTATTTAAATCCCATCTGTGCTGTGCAGGTCTAATATCCCCTTTGTCCCATTAGCATAATCATATCAGCGCTGCTGGACACGGGCACGTTTCACATTTGACTGAGCTGCCATCATGCTTGACTTGTGCCCTCTTTGATTACACGGCATGATCCCTTTCTAATGTGGAAGGAACTGTTGAACACCAACCATCTCCTCGAGCTGCACTTGGATCTGCCTGTGGACCTCCGCCATCTGGAACAGCACATCCCCTGCACACACACAACAACAATAAAGAGAAAAATAAATGAGCAGCAGAAAAAAAAAAAACTACAAAGAAAAGGCGAGCCGTGCCACGTTCCCGCACTCGTCGAGAAAGGCGGCTGTGATGGAGGATACAGCCTTTCACCAAATTAACACAAACACACGCTCAAATTAATGTGTCTCTTTTTGTTCTTAATTTTGTACACTGCATAAAACTGTACAATCTATGAAATATAAAGGCAAGGCAAGTCAAGTTTATTTGTATAGCAGAATTCACACACAAGGCAACTCAAAGTGCTGAACAAAACCAGATACAGACAGTCACACAAGGCATTAGAATCCATCCATCCATCCATCCATCCATCCATCCATCCATCCATCCATCCATCCATCCTGCTAGTTTAAAGGAGCAGTATGTAAAAAATCTGGCCAAAAGTGGTACTGCAACCACTCCCATTCTGCCTGACTCATGTTGCCAGATATGCAGACAAATCCAGCTGGGACCGTAATAACTGAATAGACAAGAGATTTGACAACAACAAACCTATAACCAACACAAAAGATAGAAATCCTCATTTTATTCCTTGTTTTGTCATGATTGAATGATTTGAGAAACATAATGAGACCTCTTTTAGTTCTGCAGTCACATGTTACTTTACCAGTGAGACAGCTCGGTGCTGTGAGTTCTGGCACCCCGGATCACAGACTTTCTGATTGGTAAAACGGTGGAGGGCGGGACATCGAAATGAAAACAACAAGATTTAGGGATAGTAAAACTAATTTTGAAATTCACATTCATAACTTTTTAATGATAACTTGACAAGGAAATCTTACATATTGCTACTTTCAAGATTTGCCAATGGGACAAGCAAAACATTTTATATTTCAAGCACTGTAGTATTTATTTCCTTATTCCAAGTTATCTGAGTCTCTTCAAAATATGTATATTTTTTGTTAGTCCCTTTTGCAAAACGTCTATTAAGACCAGCATTATTTACTAAAATCAATTGTAGTACTTGACAGCATTTTGTATGACAACATGTATACAGGAAGTAATGTGTGTATTAAATAGATACCCTTCACCTATGTCAGCAAATGAAAGACAAGTAACCCACAAGAAAAGCAATTTTCTGAGTTCAAACATTCATTCAACCAGATAAACATTTCCACATTATTGAGGGAAAGTGATGACTTTGGTCCATGTTTACTGGTGGTATTTGTGGCTTGTAATCAGTCTCATAAATTTCTATAGCTCCAAAAATACTTTTACTGACAATTGCATTCTTATTTTAGGGGGCTACATATATTCCAATGGTTATGTCATCCCATTGTTTACATAGAGATAATAATGAATGCCAAATGCGGAACTGCTGCCGCTGTCAGACTGTACAATGAGAACTGCTGAGCCTGAACGTGTCTGTAAATAGTAAATACTGTAATCATGTCATGTGCAAGACTGCAGTTTCAGAATGTCCCCTGAATCAATCAAGGGCGTAGGTTTGCGTGGGGACCATGGGGACATGTCCCCACCAATATTTGGTGAGGACTAAAAAGTCCCCACCAAAATGACATGATGTCCCGGGACCCGGACGGTCCGGGACACATGTCTTCCGTTTGTGCACACGTCGCGCCTCCTCCTCGCCTCCAGAGCAACAGCAGCAGCAGCAGCACGTGACCCGTTCCGTTCTCTGCAGTGATTGGCTGTCTTCTTCAGCGCCAAACTGAAGCACTGAGCGACTGTTTAATTTTTAAAAGTTAGCCAGCGTGAAGCAAGTGTTTTTTTTCGTTCCCTGAGCGTTGTAGCACGTGAGTAATCAGAGGAAAGTATTGTAGATCTATTACCATTCAAAGTACTTACGTTATTTCTAATCTGTCAGCGCACTGTTTAATGTTCCGAGGAGCTCACACGGCACAGAGACAGAACAGAACTGGCTCCAATAAAGAAACAGGTTGGTTGAAAGGCTGAAAAAATACTTATTGTGCTCTTACTATCCAAAATGTATAAGTGGGTGTGTTGTGTGATTCAGGATAAACTAGGGATGAAAATATTCCACGGATCCACGATTTACAACCTTTATCTGCTGATAATGTAATTTCTGTGAAATGTGTGACAGCGGGCACTTGCTGTTATTTGCTCTAAGCACATTCAAGCGATGCACTCGAATGTGCACGTCCTGGTGCAGCTGCTGCCGCTTTGTAATGACAGCCGCGGCGCTCAGTGAAAGCACCGCTCTAACATGGTACCGAGCTCGGACCATATGCAGACAGAACCATGTTGCAAGTGCGGGTCTCCCTCGTATCTCCCCCCCGTTTCTCCCCTGTGTCTCTGACATGTCTCTCCCCTGACTCTTCCCAAAGCGCAACCAGCGCTCCCGAAATTAAAGCTCGGATACGTAAATTTTCCATTGCGTTAACGATGCATGCTGGTTGTGCGCAAAACACACCACAACAGGTCATTTAAGTTTTTATTTTGCATACTTGAGAGCCCTGTGAGTCATTACTTGCCTTTTTGGGGAGAGAGTGGAATAGAAAAAAAGAAAATATAGAAAAATCCACACTGTTACTTATTGCCAAACTCTTGTTAACTCATTGTATTGAGAAATACTATGTAACTTTTGACATTGGCCAAGTTATATAAATGATTCTGCAGTTCATGTATATGAATGTCTGTTTTTGATTGTCTATACCTTCTTATATAATTTAGAAAAAATGCCACCTCCACAAATAAGATAAAAGATATCAGGAGCTTTTTTAACAGTTGGAAAGTAAGTAAGAGAAAGCACAAGTAATAGCAAATTATGAATTGTGATGATTAATCTTCTGTTAACATACATAACTGCTTCTCATTCAGTCTACAGCTGAGTTTAGTATAGAAGGCAACACACTATTGCAAATATAGTGTGTGATTACACAACAAATTCTGGGGGAGAAACTCTGGACCCCGTGTCAATGGGTGTAGACTCAGGTCGTAGTGAATGTCCCCACCAAGATTGGAACCAAACCTACACCATTGCCTGAATGTCACTTTATCTACTCATTATCCTGCCCTTTATGTATATAACTTTACAGATAGATAGAGATAGAGAGATAGACCCTAACCCTCTGGCCTGAACAATGTACATTTCTTGGTACTTTAAACAACCAAAATAATCTTTTATCAGTTATAATTTACAGCGTACATGTCAGATTGTGGTTTCTATATATATTTAAAAGACTGGCACATTCAAAGCATTTATTTCTAACTACACACAGAAACACTGGGTGAAATGCACACATACAAAGCAGCGGTGAACAAAATGACACGTGAAGCTGACGGAGCACTGCTGGACATGTTAATAATCTTTATATTACGGCTATGCCATTTCAAATCAATATTACTACACTCCTTTTCACGTCGTGCTGTTTCCCCTTTAGATGGCTGACCAGCTGAGCGACTTGAAGCTCTTTGCACATTAAAATCAAAGCCGATGCCTTGTGGATCCATACAAAAAAAATGAAAAACACTCCTTACATCACGGTGAAATGTAAATTGCAGCAGACAGAAGACATGGAGAACGCTCTAGTGGGATCTTCTGACAGAGATTAAAGTGAACGCTAAAGTGGAGACATGAAATAAATGTGACATCAAAATGAAAGTAAAAACATAACTAGTTTCCAAGCAGTTTATGTGGCTCTCGCAGTGTGCTCTAATGTCTAACGGGTAGATAAAAATGACCAAAGACAACATTTGAGAGAGAAAAAAAAAGTCTACAGTTTCACATTTTGATGGACTGCAGCTGGAAACAAAAATTGTTCCTGGTAACTATGGTGACTGCAAAAGTCTCTGCATTTCTTGGGCCAATCCATGTGAAATAAAAACTGTCACCAAGTTTACTTTGTCAGCACCTTTCTTGTATCTGTGGTCCACATATTGTCTCATGAAAGTGTGTAGAAGATGTTCAAACAGCATATGCATGATGTTGGCCAATAGTAAGAGCTTTCAGATATCAATATTATATGGCGGGTTTGCGAATCCAACCGCTGTCAGACTGTACAATAAGTCGCTTTAAGTTGCTAATGCAATAGGACTAAAAAACTTGCACTGCTATTGCCACTCTTTCTTTAAATGCCACTTTTTATTGTAAATAATATATCCTGAACAGACTATATTTTTGCCTTTAACATGTGTGCAAACTTCTGTCTTTTGCACAATCTGAGCAATTCTATCTATGCCAAATGTGAATGTAAATTTTTAGAGTGTGAGATCAATAAAGTCTGTCAAATAATAGTCTGAGGAAACCCTTTTTTCAACATTTCTTTCAAAATTTGCCTTCCCATGGACATGTAGTGACACCTGCCCTCCAACTGAAATCAAATTCTACAATATGAATACAGCCAAAAGCCAGACACATGGTTTCTTGCATCAGAAAAACAATTTAAGAACAAATGACCACATAACACTAGGTCAGTGGAGTCTGTATATAATGCAGACTTGATCTTGAGACTGGGGCTATAGCATGCTGTCACTTCCCTGCAGGCCCATAAGCAGCTTACAGATACTCATCCCTGATCACCACATTCCCGACTTAGGCGCTCTCGTCGCTCTGTTGGAAGCGCCAAACCAGCTGGATCAATTAACAAGTGAGCAGTCATGTCTGAGACGCCAGTGTTGCAAATGGACTCCAGCAACAAGTCTTATTACATTAAACTCACATATTAGCGTGATCATGAGGGTGTTCAAACCGACAGTTTCCAGTTGGGGTGGGTCCCAGCAATAAGACTTCTGAGAACAACAAAAAACTGCTCCTTCCTCTTTTTAAACCGGATTTTAAAGGTAATTTAAATGTCTCTTTTCTTTTATTATCACATTACATCTCTTTGAGACATTTTGGAGACATTCTTTTTCGTCTCTATGATGCAGAAAAAGGCTCACGCGTTGACGATACAAATGGTTTCCATGGAAACTTTGTGAATGCTGTGAATAAGAATATTAGGGAGTCCAAAAGATATTTTTTAAATAAAAGGAAAC